GCACATTTTAAAGTATAGTTTCTCTAGTGTTTAATATATGATAAAGCTGTTTGGAGTATACAAGGAATAGATTGAAAAAGAATATCAGGGCCTGTTTTGCTTATGTTCTTATTTTTTGTTTTTACAACTGTTTTATAATACATTTTTTAACATTATTTTTAAAACAACATAAAATGAAAATTCATTCGATTATGTCAATTAAAAAATAATTTTAGAATTTAAAAATGGATTGATAATTATGGTTATATGTAGTTAATGGTGGTGATTAATAATAGAAATTGATTAAGGTAACTATATTTGTTAATAATTAAATTTAGTGTATTTTAAAAACAAGAAAATTAAAATGAAAAACAACTTAAAGTTATTTCTAGTTTTTTGTTTTTAAAAATAAAAAATGAAAATAGTTTTTGAAAACAACTAAATAAAAACACTTATCCAAACAATTTTTTAAATTTTCAATTTTTAAAAAAAAAAAATATTTTTAAAAAGTAAAAGACAAACAAGCCCTTGCTTTATCTTATATTGATGATTAACAAAACTTTTCAAAACTTACCTTGTCAAAGGCATGAACGATTACGCGCAGAATTGCTCGCAAAAGTGACGTATCATCATTCTACTAATCACTTTCAACATTGAAAGCACTTTAGGGTTCTATTGGAGAATCTAAATTTATTAATATAAAATATGTTTAAGATTACGCAAATAGAGCATTCAGTCCTTAAAATAAAATAAATTGACCCGTATACATAAATGCACATACAAAGGCCAACAGATTGATACCAAAATCTCCATTAATAAATTATAGAGACATACTTTTATCAAATTATTGGGTCCTTATCTATATATGGCTTCCTTTTTATTACGCAATTAGACAAACCTTGATTTGTATATATTCATTTCTAAAATATACTCTTCATTGCTCCTTCCACCCGTAAGCCATAAGCTAGTCCACATTCATGCTCCCCTTTTTATCTCCATAGTAATTTTTTTAATAAAAAAGTTTAAGTAAATTGAGTTTCAAAAGTTTACTCAAATTTAGTTGAGGGTTGAGGGCTCACTAAAATTAAGATTAACCCTTGACTCTTAAAAAAAGAAGAAGAAGAAAATACTTACAAGTTATTTAGCCATAGAATTTTCATACATTAAAATATTCGAATCTATTTTATAAAAAAAAACTTAATCAACTTCGCTTAAGAAATTGTAGTTATATTCTTAAAATTGTTAAAAAAATATAAATTTTTAATTTTGTCATTCTTTGTTAATAGAAATTCAAATCATAATAAATAAATAAATAAGAGACAAAATTGAAAAAATTACTCTAACTACATCTTATATTGATGACAAAAAAAATTTCTAAAAATTTTGTTTTATATTAAGGACATATGAAAGTATACTTTTAGAGATATTTTCATACAAACATTTTTTTTGGCATTTTTCTAAGTCATTGTTCCCTGTGATCCAAAATATAAGCAGCTTTTAACAATAATTATAACAAAAACAACAAAAGGCCTTATCCCTCTAGATAGGATTGGCTACATGGATTATATGATGTCATTATGCTATATCATTTATTAAATTTTTAAGAATATTGTTAATTAAAAGGTTTCATTCAACAACCTTCAAAGGTGTTCTCTTCGATCTTCCTTTACCTCTCTTGACAGGGTTCAAAATTATTTATTTCACTCTCCTCACAAGTACCTCCCGTGGTCTTCTTTGTACATGTTCGAACCACGTCAAATAATTTTCTACCATTTTTCTTTCAATAGGTGCCACGCCCACTTTCTTCTGTATTCACTCATTTTGAATTTTGTCTTTATGTGTATATCCACACATCCATCTCAACATTCTCATCTCTGCTACTCCAACTTTATGCTCTTACTGTCCCGTCAAAGCCCAGCATTCACTACCATATAAAATTATTAATTTTATAGTAGTTCGATAAAACTTTCCTTTAAGTTTATCAGGAACTTTATGATCGCAAATAACTACTTTAGTCTTTCTCCAATCAAACCACCCTGCTTGTATCCTATGTGTAGTATCTTCATCAATTTTTGTATTTTATTGAATAATTGCTCCCAAATATCTGAATTTTTCACTTGAGGTATAGTCTGATCACTTAATTTTACTTCCAAGTTACTACTCACTGACCTCTTATTAAAATTACAATATAAATATTCTATTTTACTCCTATTCAGGCGAAAACCTTTTGACTCCACTGTCTTCCTCCATAACTCAAGTTTAAAATTTATCTCTTCTCTTGTCTCTGCAATAAGAACTATATCATCCGCAAAAAGCATGCATTTAGGAATTTCCTCTTGAATATGGTCAGTCAAAACATTTAACACTAGATTAAATAAATAAGGACTCAAAAATGATCCTTAATGTAATCCAATCTTTATAGAAAAATTTTTTATTTCACCACCAACTGTTCTTATATTAGTTGTTGCCCTCTCATACATGTCTTGTATAGCTTGAATATAGGTAACCCGGATACCCTTCTTTTCCAGTGGCTTCCAAAGTATTTATCTCAGTATATGATCATGAGCTTTTTTTCAAATCAATGAAAACCATATGTAAATCTTTAGTTTTATATCAATACTTTTTTATTAATCTCCTTAATAGATAAATCGCTTTTATAGTCGCTCTCCCTAACATGAAGCCAAACAGATTCTTCGAAGTACCAGTTTCCAATCTCAACCTATGCTCAATCATTCTTTCCCATAATTTCATAGTATGACTCATAAGTTTAATCGCTATATAGTTAGTATAATTTTTAATATTTCCTTTATTTTTATAAATAGGAACTAAGGTGCTTCTCCTCCAACCGTCTAGCATTCTTTTAGATTATAAGATCTCATTAAATAACTTAATTAACCACCACACTCCTTCTTCACCCAAACATTTTCACATTTCAATAGGTATACAATCAGGTCCATTGGCTCTACCATTTGTTATTTTTTTAAGAACTTCTCTTACTTCCCAAGCTCGTATTATTCGATAAAATGACAAATTTTGCTCTCTTTTAGAAGTTACTAAATCTTTCAAGTTAATTGAGGAACCCCCATCATCATTGAAAATCTTAAAAAAGTATGTTTCTCATCTGTCTTTAATATCATTATCTATGATTAAAACATTTTTCTCTTCATCCTTTATATATCTTACTTGTTTCAAATCTCTTGATTTTCTTTCTTACTCTTAGCAATCTTATAAATTTTTCATTATCCATCCTTTATCTCAAAACTATTATAAAACTCTTCAAATGCTTTAGAACGGATTTCACTCACGACCCTCTTAGTTTTCCATTTAGCCATACGATATCTTTCTTAATTTTCATCATTATTGTACAAATGGATGACTTTAAACACTCTTTCTTATACTTGATTTTTTTCATGTATGCTATCATTCCACCACCAAGCTTTTCACTATAATCACATGCCAGTAAAATCCTTATTTCCATGAAAATATATATTGGTTTCTCTTTTTATCCTTAGTTCCAATTTATGATGAGTGAGAAAAAGATCATAAATTCACAAAAATAATAATCTAGGTTAATAAATACAATAAGCAAAATGAGAATTTTTTCTTACTAATACTAAATTGGTTATATTTTGTATCAATATTAGTTGGTAAAAAATGCTTATACTCCCTCTAGACCATGATATAAATATCTTGTAGAGACCTTGTTTAGTCCAAAACATAGGATATTGGATAACTTTTGTAATTGTTCTTCCAACTATACCCTACATCATTTATTTTTTTTTTTAAATGATACATTAAAATTTTAATTATTATTATCAAAACACTTCTATAGGGAATTTAATAAGAGTAAAATTGAAAAGATTTTTTTAAAAAAAGAAACTACCAATTCAACCAACAATTTATAAGAACTGTAAAATAATAATTAATGCTCTTTATTTTGATCCACGGGAAGTATTTTGGATTGGATGGAGTATATTTTAAACCCTTTTCCTCTTCTTTTTTATTATAGGAATTCGATATTACCTACCAATTCAAGTCAAGTAGGGTGAGCCAATTAGAAGGAAACTAGTGGCTCTTTAACTATGCCTTCCCTTTAATTGCGCAATCAGACAAACCTTTATTTTGGTATATTTAATTTTAAAGATACTCTTCAATGCTATTTTCTTTCACCCATAAGCCATAAACTAGTCCACATTCATGCTACTCTTTTTCTTTTCCCCACAACAAAGTTTAATTATGCTGATTGTTAAGGATTCGCTAAGGTTAATATTAACTTTTGGCTTTTACAAGTTGTAACGATGCTTACAAATTACTTTCAGAAAAAAATTGTATACATTAAAATACATGAACCTATATTTTTAGGGGTGTTTTTTTACTAACACATTTGGCGGTGTTTTCTTTTTCTTTTTCCTTTTTATTTTCACAAATTATTTGGAATTAAATATTGTCTACCAATTCAAATTTAAGACAGATGGCCCAATGGGTGGAAACTCATATTATAATTCTTTTTTAGGGAAAACATCAATGAAAAACCTCTGAAATGCTTTAATATCTCACAAAAACTTTTAACAAGTAAACATTATTAATTAACAAGTGATGTTCAAATTTTAATGAGTATTCAATTTATCCAAATCTTTGTAAGACATTAAATTATTGCAGCCTCTCATTAATATTCTCCCTTCTTTTTATTCATAAGGTTGATTTTTAAGATTTTATTCAAAAAACATTTGAAGTCTTTTACTACTCATTCTAACTGTTCTCAAATTCTGTTTTTCCAAACCCATCGAAAAACAAAAATCATAGAATTTTAGAGGAACTCATCGAGTTGAAAGTATGAAACTAACTAGGGTCGTTTACTGTTGGCCCAATCAAAACTACCGGTCGTTTGAATGGAAATTGAACGCCCAGGCCAAGCTTTCTCCCATTTTCGTAGTAAAGGGAGTCAATCAGGGGTATTTTCATAATTCCACGCCTTTAAAACCCACGCGGATTGCGAGTCATTTTGCCATTCAGCCATTACACACAATCTCTCTAATCTGTATGCGCGCGGCCGAACAAAGTACGGAAAAGCTCTCTCCTCCTTCTCTCTTCCTCTGCTTTCTCTTTCTTAGGTGTTAGTGAGAGAAACTCTACTTCAAATCAGAGAGAGAAGAAAGTGACCTCACAAAGCTTTTCAGTGAAGAGGAGAGACTAATGGACGGGAAAAGGTATGCAGTGTTGCTGTGCACAGAGGATTCCGAGTACGTGATGAAGATGTACGGAGGGTATTTCCGGGTTTTCATCAGAATGCTGGCGGAGGAAGGCGAGACCTGGGACGTCTACAAGGTGGCATCCGGCGACTTCCCCGAGGAAGACGGCGATCTCGACCTATACGATGGATTCGTCATCACCGGCAGCTGCAATGACGCTCACGGAAATGACGCCTGGATCGAGCGCCTCATCACTCTGATTCAGAAAATCGATTCCATGAAGAAGAAAATCCTCGGCATTTGCTTCGGTCACCAGGTAACTAATTCATTCATCTTTCGTCGGAGATATCAGTTCCGTTTCCGTGATTCGATTCTGTTGGATATCCACGAACGATTTTCGAAATCGACACAGAAAGTCTATCTTCTTTCCCTACTTTTTTTTTCGTCTTTTATAAAAAAAAAATGAAAAATATGTTCATATAGCACGAGTGTATGACAAAGTAAAAAGAGATTTAAAAATGCAAATAAAAAGTAATATCTTCCTTCGTTACTTTAGGAGGCATTTAGATTTACAGATTCTAATAAATTAACTGAATATTGGGAAAAATGTAGAATGTGTATCAGTAACTCTTACCAATTTACAATGCTTTTGAAACTAGATTTGGGTTTCCATTTGGACTTTAACAAAATATGTTCGTATCATACGATATAGAAGACATTTCAGAAAAGTTAAAAAAAAAAAAACAGAGTATATAGCTTCCTTCTTTTCTTGAGGACGCGCTTCGATTTGGAGATTCTTAATTAATAAATTAGTTGAATATAATTAGTTTATTATTAATGGATTTGGAGATTCTTAATTAATAAATTAGTTGAATATAATTAGTTTAAATTAGTTGATTCGGAGATTCTTCAGTTGTCTATTTAATTATCTATTTATTTTTTTAACGTTATGTTTATTATCATCTCTTGAAAACTTAAAATACAAGATTATTTTGGTAGATTGTTATTTAATTATTAAATGAATAATATATTTAATTTAATGTCACAACTAACAATCTCACGCATTCAAATTAAATGAGTAATTATTTGGCCAAAAAAAAACTAAATGAATAATTAAATAAAAAAATGAGATTGGATATTTAAAAAAAATTAAGAAGACATTGAGAGTGTCTGAAGATGGTCCAAATTCGTTTTTATGGAATTTTAAAACCTATTTAGATGCTCATCTGTCTTTATATATAAAATATTTTTAATTAAATCTTGCATATCAATAAAAGTTTATTATTTAATTAAACTTACATAAAACCACAATGATTTTCTAATTTTACCTCTAATAATATCATAATTAATATTATGATAGTGATAGAAAAAATATATATTTAATGATCTATTTTATTTTTTAATATAAGAGTAAAATTATCTAATCATTCAAAAAAATTATTGTCTTCTCTTATATTTAAGAATAAAATAAGTTTTTAAAAAATAGTTTATATATAAGAATGGAGGAAGTAACTCTTAAAAGTATATTTAAAGGACATTTAAAATATATTTTTGTTAAATTTAATAAATAGTTAAATCCTCAAATTAAACTGAAAACCAACCACAGAATTAATTGATTTAGTCCAGTCTAGTGCAATAATCCCGTTTTGTTCCATTGTCCAGCATCGTATCTGCTGGGTGGCTCATAAGCTAGAACATTCGCCTCCTCTCCTCTAAGCCACATGTGTGCTACTGTTTCTATTATCAAATATCATGGATATTTGTACGGACGAAAGTGGGACCTACCACTGTAAATTTGACCTGGTGGTGGAACCTTAGTCAGAAGAAGATATGGCACTTTTTAGATAATAGAATCAGGATTCAGCATCCCAGGACGGCAGGACGTACTAAAAGGCATGATGATATGTTTCATTATACTTCCCCCGCCCCCCAGGAAAGAAAAAAAAAAAAAATCGTGATCTGGTTCTCAAAGAAACACTATTGTTTTCTCAGGCTGTGGATGATGATGATAATCTTTATTAGCAGCCTTTGGTAATGAGATTCTCGAGTGTGTGGTTGGGACCACGTACAATTTTTAAGAGATGTTTACGTCCGTCCAACGAGGCTTGTCGTTCCCATAATATAATAAGTACCCCTTCGATTTGGCTCTTGACCCTATCAGATAAATGTTGGTGGGTTGGTGTGACATGCATTAATTGAACCATTTTGGCAGCAAAATATCGGAGATGAAATGAGATCCACTTCATCACGTGTCGGTTTTTGGTCAATTCCAAAACACCACCGTCCATATCTACTACTACTGCTATTTCTTTGGAAAATGATGACGTGGATGATGATTCTTTCTCTGTCTCCTCTCTCTCTATATTTCCCTTTTCAAAGTTAATTATCACAATATTAAAAACCAAGTTAATCCCAGCGACTTGACTGTTTACATAAAATGTATTATTTGTGATTGGTATAATTTTAATTTTGATCTTTGACTCATCTTAAATAGTTGAATAATCGTCTAGATTTTGATATATGTAATCATTAATTTGGATTGGTGTGCTTGTGATTAGATACTATGTCGTGCATTGGGAGGAAAGGTTAGCCGATCTCCCACTGGTTGGGATATCGGTGTGAGAAGCATAACCTTATCATCATCATCACCATTGTCTCCGACATCTCTCATGCTGCCATCAAAGCTCTCTATAATCCAATGCCATCGAGATGAGGTCTCAACCTTTTCTTTTAACAAAAGTTATACTCTGAATATATATCATTATGTTTCCATTATTAGGATTGACTGGTTATGTGTGCGCGCACGTGCGCGCATTGATTGGGTGAGGAAGTTAATGAATTTGTGGATATGAAAGTAGGTGAGAGAACTTCCGGCGAAGGCAGAGATTATTGCATGGTCGGAGAAGACAGGGATTGAGATGTTTAGGTTCGGTGATCACATAATGGGGATCCAAGGCCACCCTGAGTACACCATTGACATCCTTTTGCACCTCATCGACCGTCTTGTTCAACGTGACCTCATCTTGGTATTTCATTCTTAACACCCACAATTTATAGTTCACAGTTCAGCTCGTCCAAATCAACACATATTTTAATAATGTTAAGTCCATGTTAGAAAAATAAACTCTGTCTGAACTTGCTCATTTTTCAAACCAAGAGATTAAAGTTGCAGATTTATCAAATAGATGGGACGGGGAATAACGAAGATAAATTATAGGAACTAAAACAAAGCATGCATGATTTATTAAATGTTCTTCTTGGTCTTTTTCTACAGTTCTTTATAACGTGAAAGATTATTTATGTTTGACTCTTCTCACTGGCATCTTCATCACCTATTTATACATATCCAAACCACTTTAAATAATTCTTTTTACTATTTCTTCCTCCATAGATGTGACACTATCCAACATTTTCTTTGATGACATGGCGTAATTATATATCTTGTTAAACTTGATAGCATATGAAACTTGTTGTCTGGAAATATATATTAATGGATGAACGTTTGGAATGGCAGGAGGCTTATGGTGTGGAAGCTAGGGCTAAAGCGGTGTTGCGAGAGCCAGATAGAGAGGTTTGGAAGAAACTGTGTGTCAGCTTCCTCAAAAGTCGCCCATGATCATGAGAGAGAGAGAGAGAGAGAGAGATTATAGTTTTGGTTGGCACCAGAAGGTTATAAATTATGAAATAACTCCTCTTATAATGAAATTATTATCGCCTAATTTAAATATATGAATGCAAAATGTAAACATGCGAGTGTTATATAATCGGATTTCTCCCTCCCTCCCCTCTTCTTTAAAATTATCCTTTAAAGACCTTGGAGTGATTTTCCCATTTATATTTCACATGCAATATCCTTTATTCTTCGGGGAAATCAGATATATTTTTAAAAAAAAATCAGAAATCATATTAGGTGGCCTTAAAAATTATAATTAATTTTTAGAAAAATATTATGAATTTCTAGAAAGTGACTGATTAATTTTTAAAAAATTAGCGTTAAACATGAACTGATAAAATTTAACAATTTAATAGTACTCATGTTAAAATTTCATAGGAATTCTTAAACATGATTACAATTTAAAAATCCTTTCATGTTTGGATTCTTTGATGCAATTTTTAAAAATATTTCCCTATTATCCTTTCAAATGTGGGATACATGCATATATATATATATATATATACACACACAGTCACAGGGAACTCGTCATAAATATCACATCTGCTAACATATATAATGAACATTTGCTGCAAATCTACAAATTGATTAATTGAATGCCGAAACTTTTAGGTTGAGAACATATGGGCCACACACACCCATTTGTCCATTTCTCTACTAATAATTGAAGCCTCAATAATAATGCATTTGTTGATCAGGTATTCGTGAAACTTGTTCAACTTTTAAAAAGATTATTATTATGAAAAATATCACACACAACAAATACAAGAACACACGCATAACTGTGTATATATTTATGTGTGTGTATATATATAGAGAGAGAGAGAGAGCTAGTCAGTAGGGAGGGGAAAAACTTGAAGGATTATGGAATAACAATATACCATAAATAAAAATGAATTATATCTGCATTTTGAATTTTATAATAACATTTCTTCTTTCTATTTCTAAGTCATTTCTAACATATTTTATTAAAATTAAATAAAACTTTAAAACTAATTAATACAAAGGGGTTGAAGCTCGGGCAATCAAATTTTGTACCTTTTGAAAAAAAATAATTAACACAAAGGGACATTTAAATCATTTGCTTAAATTATTTAATGAATAAAATATTAACTTTAATCTTTCAAATACATTTGGTCTGTAGGACCATTTTGATTTCAATTAGGTCTTTTTTACCAATTTTTCCTAAAAAAAATGTTGGCTCATAAAAATAATTCTTTTCGTATAGAAAAATTTATGTGAATTAGATTTTAAAATTAACTAACGTCAGGATATGTTTTAAACAATGGACTTTAAACTTATGACTTCTTAAGTTATGGGTCAAATCCTTATCAATTAAGTTAATTTTTTTTTGCTTTTCATAAAAATAGTCTTGATTTGATGTTTTCTGGATAAATATAAGAAGTATATTCCATTGATAGTAGAAAATATTTCCCCTCAAATAAAGATTTCTTTAGAAAATGATGACATGGATGATTCTCTCTCTCTCTCTCTCTCTCTATATATATATATATAGATTCCTCTTTTCAAAGTTAATTACCACAGTATTGAAAACCAAATTAATCCCAATGACTTGACTGTTTACATAAAATGTAGTGTTTATGATTAGTATGATTACAATTTTGACCTTTGACTCATCTTGAATAGTTGAATAATCAGTCCAATTTTTGGTATAGGTTAATTATTAATTTGGGTTAGTGTGCTTGTGATTAGATACTATGCCGTGCATTTGGAGGGAAGGTTAGCCGATCTCCCACTAGTTGGGACATCAGTGTGAGAAGCATAATCTTAACATCATCATCACCATTGTCTCCAACATCTTTCATGCTGCCATCAAAGCTTTCTATAATCCAATGCCATCAAGATGAAGTCTCAACCTTTTCTTTCAACAAAAGTTATACGCCGAATATATATCATCGTGTTTCCATTATTAGGGTTGACTGGTTATATATAAGTATATGTTGATTGGGTGAGGAAATTAATGAATTTGTGGATATAAAAGTAGGTGAGAGAACTTCCGACGAAGTCAGAGATTATTGCATGGTCGAGAGAAGATAGGGATTGAGATGTTTAGGTTCAGTGATCACATAATGGGGATCTAAGGCCACCCTGAGTACACCATGGACATCCTTTTGCACCTCATCAACCATCTTGTTCAACGTGACCTCATCTTGGTAAGTTCAGCTCATCCAAATCAACACATATTTTAATAATGTTAAGTCCATCTTAGTAAAATAAACTCTGTTTGAGGTAGCTCATTGTCCTTATGAGTATTTTTCAAACTAAAATATTAACATTGCAGATAGATCAAATAGATGGGATAGGGAATAATAAAGATAAATTATAGGAATTAAAAACAAAGCATGATTTATTAAATGTTTTTCTCGGTCTCCCTTACATTTCTTTATAATCATTTATGTTTGGCAAAATACCTAGGTAGACCAACTGTTCTCCCAAGCACCTCCATCCACCTATATATACATATCCAAACCACCACCTAACATTTTCTTTGATGACATAGTGTAATTATATATCTTGATAAACTTGATCTCATGTGAAACTTGTTGTCTGGGAATATATATTAATGAATGAATATTTGGAATGACAGAAGGCTTATGGTGTCGAAGGTAGGGCTAAGGTGGTGTTGCGAGAGCCAGATAGAGAAGCTTGGAAGAAACTCTGTACCAGCTTCCTCAAAAGTCGTTCATGATCATTCAAGAAAGAGAGGGAGGGTTGGGACCAGAATGTTATAAACTATGAAGTAACTCCTCTTATAATGAAATTATTATCGCCTAATCTAAATATATGAATGCAAAATATAAATATGTAAGTGTAATATAATTGCATTTCTCTCTCCCTCCGTTTTTTAAAATTATGACTAATGACCTTGGACTGATTTTCCCATTGATCTTTCATATACAATATCTTTTTATTATCCTTCGGGAAAATCGGCTGTAATTTTTTAAAAAAATTTAAAAAAATCATATTAGAAATTATAATTAATTTTTAGAAAAATATTATCAATTTCTAGAAATTTATTGATTAATTTTTAAAAAATTAGCGTTAAACATGAACTAACAAAATTTAACAATTTAATAGTACTCATTTTAAAATTTCATAGGAGTTCTTAAACATGATTAAAATTTAAAAATCCTTTCATGTTTGGATTCTTTGATGCAATTTTTTAAAATATTTATCTATTATGCTTTCAAATATGGGATGCTTGCATATACACACGCTCACAGGGAACCAGTCACAAATATCACATCCACTAATATAATGAATATTTGATACAAATCTTCGGATTGATTAATTGAATGCCCAAACTTTTGGGTGGAAGATACGTGGGCCCCACGCACCCATTTGTCCATTTCTCTACTAATAATTAAAGCTTCAATAAAAATGCATTTATTGATCATGGTATTCGTGAAATTTATTCAACTTTTAAATAGATTATTATTATTATTAAAAATATCACATGTAACAACTACAAGAACGCGCGCGCGCACATATAGAGAGAGAACTAGTAAGTAAGGAAGGGAAAAACTTGAAGGATTATGGAATAACAATATACCAAAAAAAAAAAGAATTATACCTGATTTTTTTTTTTTTGCTATTTCTAAGTCATTTCTAGCATATTTTATTAAAATTAAAAAAAATTAAAATTTATTAGCTCTATATAAAAATTAAATAAGTTTTTAAATTTACTCTAATTAAATAATATATATATTTTAATAATATATTTTCTCTTACAAATATTTATTGGAGATAAAAGAAGACACTTGTGATAAAATATAATTACATGACTTACAAATAGAATAAAAAAAATCATTTGCTGTCTCCCTTATAAAAAAGATTAGGGGGAATAATCACTTAAAACAATAAAAAGACAGTTGGCTCATAAAAGAATTCTTTTTGTATAAAAAAGTTTAGGTGAGTTGGATTTTAAAAATTAAATAAAGTTTAAATTTAAGTTATATATCAAATTCTTATCAATTGATTTTAATTCTTTTGTTTTTCATAAAAATAGTCTAAATTTGATTTTTTTTTTGGGTAAATATAAGAAGTAAACTTCATTGGTAGCAAAAAATGTTTCCCCTTATAAAGAGATTTGATGTTGTTTGACACAATTAGAATTGGGCCTGGCCTAATACCACAAAGATAATTGTTCTAAAGTGAAAACACAATATTTTGCTCAGAAGAAAGAAATATTATTTATTAATGCATGTTGGCTCGCATGATAAGAGGTCAAAGTTTTCTTAACCAACAACCTTTGGGTTTGATCCTTGGTGTAATAAAAATGAAGGAAATATGGTTGAAAGAGCCAACCCCTTTGAAACACCATAGAGCTTGAATTTGAATTAGTCAAGATTGTTGACTTTAAACACCGAATGGTTACATTAAAAAAAAAAATGAAAGTAGTATTTTAACTTATGAATCTCGAAATGTGTTGACCAAATCAAGCGTACTCTCATTCTCAATTGTAATTGTTGGGATTTGATATCAAAATACATGATAGAATGTCTTCGGGTACAAATATGAAAAGATTTATCTAGCATATGAAATTCTCATTACTCATATATACCCATGTTATGTGCAAAAAGCTATTAAAACTAGTTGATATATTAGCAACCAAATAACATATATGATTCAATTGAGCACACATTGAAATTTGATATAATCAATGAACTTTTCCTATTATCCTGTGTATGTCTGCAGAACATCATCAAACATGAAATAGTAAACTTCTTATCCACTTCTAACATATTTATTTGAGTAAACAGGATTTAAAAATTACATTGGTACAATTTGCAACTAGAAATTGTTTTGGCGTCTAATGGTAATTAATTAGAATTTTTTTAGAACATGTATGCCATTCCTACTACCAAGGGCATTCCTGTCTTTTTCTACATTTTAAGCATTATATTCATAATTCGAATTATTGAAGTGTTGCTCCAAAAGAGGACGAGTCAGCTTATCACGGACGAGTCATTATATTTCGACTTTTTCTGGGAAATAAAAATATCACAAACTAAGAAAGATATTATCTGACTCAACTACCTTTAAAAGGCATTGATTAGTAAAAGAGATAGACTGTTTAAGAATGAGATTTCGAGTTTCAATCTGTATAAATGTAGAAAATGCTTTTAGAAAAGTTACTCTAAATTGAGTTTGACAATACTAAAATTTAAGGAGGAATCTAATGACCTAGCAAAATTAATATTAGAAAACTATTGAATCAAAAAAAAAAAAGCAAACAACACTAAATAATAAAAAAAAAGTTGAAACAAGTAAGAAATTAATCAAGCATTTCCAAATCACCACGCATTAAGACAGAAAATAAAGCAGGTTTGACCAAACACATTATCTTTCTCCTTTAATTGTCAATGTCAAGTCTTTCCCCTTCAATTTCAACCTAACTTGTCGTATATCATCCAAGAATTCCAAAACATATATATAATGAAAATACAAGTTTTGTTCTGACATAACAAGTGTATGTTGTTTCATGCTGAAATAATGACCAAAAACTATATATATTCTCGACTAATTGCTTCCAGCACTAAAACGATCGGTTTCGATGGTTTTCAACGTGAGACTAATTAAACATACATGAAAGGACTAGGATTCAATATTTTTCCTCAAATCTAAATATGCATGTGGTGATTTACTATCTTAAATATCATTTAATTACAATGATCTTGACATGATCATGAAATGACTTTTTAACATGTATATATATTGATCCAAGGATGATCTGGACGACTAGTATATATATACAGGACGAAGAAAGCTAGTGAGAAAGAAAATTGGAAGAATTACATCCAAGTCCTTACAATTAAATATACCACAAGTCTGTATATTAATGGATCTTATGTTCTGATGTGTTATGATAGCAGTGGATCTTATGCTATTTAATAGCATTCTCGATGCAATTAGAAAAGACTAGACTGGAAATGTGGAATCCACGTTTAGAAAAAGAAGAGATGATGCTTCCAAATAATTGAATAATAAGTTTGGTGGCATGCACAATGGGAACAAGACTGAGATTACGTAGGGATTCAAACATGAAGAAGGTGCTTTCCACTATATAAAGCACTTGGATGATTATTACTATATATCTTTTCCAGTAATAAAGAAAGTCTTATCAAGGATGTCTTTTATTATTGTCAGACACCCAAAAAAAAAAAAAGATAAGCTCAATTTATCTGTTTATTTGTGCTCCAATATGTCATGCATAGATTTTTGGAAATTATAATATTATTTTAAGAACTGGACAAGATGATTAGATCACTTGAATCGTTAAACATAATTGTTAAGGGCTCAATCTGGACCAAAAAATTTATTATGATTAAGTTCAATGGTGATCATTTTTTATCTCTTAAAAGTCAATATCCGATAATACAAGATATTGAGCATCTTGTAAATATGTTCTCAAGTTATTAGTTTTTCAAGTGTGGCCCTGTTCAATTAAGCCACCTTTTAGTTTCTTTGATTTTTTTTTTTTTTGCATGACTATCACTTCTTGACTTTCTTTTCATTTTTCTGTTATTAATATATTTGATTTTTTGACAAAAAAAAACACTTGTCTAATTAGACTGCATTAAATTAAATATAATCTTAGTTTGTTTAAATTAGTCAAATAAATTGACATAAGTTAAAAAATTCCTGTCAGTTACATTATTTTCTTCTACTTTAGAACATTTATTTCTTTTTTATTTTAATTTTTGTCCTCTTATCATTTTTTATTATGCAAAGCGATACTCTTATTAGAAATTATATATCTTATTCAAAGCATGGTTAATATTAAGCGTGACACCCATTCTAATGAGAATGCAAATTTTTATTCATCATGTTATGTGAGATTAACTCATTTCTGCCCTAACTCTATTGGTTTTTGTCTTCATCCCATGCACATGCTAAGGTATAGTTTCTCTGGTCTTTAATATACGATAAACTTAACTAACTTTGTATTTATTAAAAATTGATAGTTAAATATGAAACTTTTTAAATTTGCCATTCTTTTCAATTAAACCTATAATAAATTATTATTTAGAAATTCAAACGGTAATAAATATATAAGGAATAAAATTGAAAAAGAATATTAATCACTCTAACTTTATCTTATATCAATGATAAACAAAAGTTTTCAAAATTTACCTTGTCAAAGGCATGAACGATTACACGGAGATTTGTTCACAAAGATGATGGATTATCTTTCTACTAATCACTTTCAACTTTGAAGGCTCTTTAGGGTTCTATTGGAGAATCTACATTTATTAATATAAAATATGTCTAAGATTATGCAAATAGAGCATTCAATCCTTAAAATAAATTAAATTGACCCGCTTGCGTATATGCATATACAAATGCCAACAGGTTGATACCAAAATCTCCATTAATAAATTATAATGACATACTTTTCTACAATTTGGGTCCTTATCCATATATGTCTTCCCTTTTATTACACAATTAGACAAGCCTTGATTTGTATATATTCATTTTTAAACATACTCTTCATTGCTACTCTCACCCATAAGCCATAATCTAGTCCACATTCATGCAATAGTAATTTTTTTTAATGAAAAAGTAACCACTATTGATTACATGTAAATCAACATAGGAAAAAATTTACAAACATGCCTAAGGAATAATTTACATATAATCTTTAATGGTTTACATATAAATCAAACATATAGAAAGCATGCCCCTATGAGTGGCCCAAAATTACATGAAACAGCCATGGTTTACATGTAAATCTACAGGTGAAGAAACTTGTGAGTATGATTGAGGAATAATTTATATCTAATCTCTAGCGAATTACATGTAGATCAATCACACAGAGAGCATGCCCTTGTTAATGCCACAGAATTATATGAAAATGATTGCAGATTACATGCAATTCTCATTACTATAACACAAGCTAAAAACCTTGCACCTTAAGCCAAAATACATGCACCCTAAGCTAGAAGCCTTGCACCCAAGCCGTAACCATTACATTTCAAGCCAAACTCCTTGCACCTAAACCAAACTTCTTGCACCAAGCCATATTCTTTGCACCCTACGTCATAACCCTTGTACATCAAGTCATAACCCTTGTACCTTAAATCATAACCCTTGCACCCAAGCTAATAGCATTGCACCCAAGCCAAAACCCTTACACCCAAACCAGAAGCCTTGCACCCAAGCCATAACCCTTGTATCTTAAACTAAAAGCCTTACATTCTAACCATTTCCCTTACACCTTAAGGCAAAAACTTTGCACCCAAGCCATACCCCTTACACTTTAAATTAGAAGCCTTGCACCTAAGCCAAAATCCTTGCACCTTAAGTTAAAATCCTTGCACTCTCTAGTAGTTGAGTTGACATGTAATCAAGTGGTGTTGGTTTTTTTTAGTGAAACTTTCCGGCGACATTTTCTAACAACCCTTGACCTGCTGGTTGAAGCTTCGTCAAATGCATTATCACCTATCAAAGGAGGGGTTGGAGCCCTGGTGACTAGATCTTGTACCTTTTAAAAAAAATTAATTAATACAAAGGGGCATTTTAGTCATTTGATTCAATTAGTTAATGAATAAAATATTAGCTTGGTCCTTCAAGTGCATTTGGTCCATAGAACCCATTTTACTTTCAACAAGGTCTTTTTCACCAATTTTTCCTAAAAATAAAGTTGGCTCACTAAAATAATTCTTTTTGTATAGAAAAGTTTAGGTGAGTTGGATTTTGAAAATTAACTAAGATTAGGATATGCTTCTAAACAACGGACTTTGAATTTATGACTTCATGAGTTATAAGTCAAATCCTTACCAATTAAGTTAATTTTTTTTGTTTTTCATAAAAATAGTCTTGGTTTGATTTTTTTATATAAATATAAGTATACCCTATTGATAGTGGAAAATATTTCCCCTCAAATAAAGATATTTGATATTGTTTGGACACAATTAGAATTGGACTGGGCCCAATACCACAATGATAATTGTTCTGACTTGAAAACGCAACATTTCGTTTAAAAGAAAGTAGTAGTATTTACCAATGCAAGTTGGCTCATATGATAAGTGCTCTGAGTTTTCTTAACCATCAGTTCTTGAGTTTGATCTCTAGGGTAATGAGAGTGAAAAAAATATGTTTGGAAAAGCCATCCTCTTTTGAAATCCCACAGGCCACAGTAATCAAATTTAAATTAATTAGAGCTGTTAGCTTCAGATGTTGAACGGTTATAAAAAGAAAAAAGAAAAAGAAAGAAAGAAGTAATATTTCAACTTGTCAATTTGGAAATGTGTGGACCAAGTCAAGCGTGCTGTCGTCTTCAATTGCCATCATTGTTATGATTTGATGTCAATATACATTATAGAATGTCTGAAAGATTTATCTAGCATATGAAATTCTTGTTACTCTTATATCCATGTTATATGCATTAAAGTACTAAAACTAGTTCATATACTAGCAACCAAATAACATATTCAATTGAGCACACATTGAAATTTGATATAATTAATCAACTTTTCCTATAATCCTGTGTATTATATAGAACATCATCAACATGGAATATTAAACTTCTTATCCACTTCTAACAAATTTATTTGAGTAAACACGGTACCGGTACACTTTGCAACTAGAAAATTGTTTTGGCGTCTAATTGTAAATTAATTGGAATTTTTTTAGAACATATATGCCATTCCTACTTCCAAGGGCATTCCTATCTTTTTACTTTTTAGGCATTATATTCATAATAATTAATGTACCAGACCAATTTTACAATAAAATTTTATTTAATTTTCATTACAAGTTAAACATAATCTTGGACTCAATCTCGTCCATCAAGACCAACGCCATTAAAGAATCTGTGTCACGTCTTTGAATTATTGAAGTTCTGTTCCAATAGAGCACGAGTCAGCCCATCACAAGCAAGTCATTACATTTCAACTTTTTCTGAAAAATAAAAACATCACAAACTAATAAAAATATTATCTGACTCAACTGCCTTTAAAAGGCATTCCTTTTAAGCGAAAGAGATAGACTATTTACACGAGATCCCGAGTTTCAATCCGTATAAATGCAGAAAATGCTTTTAGAAAAGTTGCTCTAAATTAGGTTTGATAATAATAGGGGAAATTACAACTAGATCTAAACATAAAAAATTAATTATTATAAGGTTCATTAATAAACTAAATTGTATTGACAACTGACTGTATTGTTAATGTAGTTTAGTTCAACTGTCAGTGAATCTTGTAATAATTAATTTATTATGTGGGACTTTAATGTAATTCTCTCTTAATATAATATTTAAATTTAACACAGTCAAATAGCCATATCAAAAAAAAAAACACAAGTGCTAGATCAGAACAAGAAGCTATATATCATGAGTGAAGGACGAATCTCATGACCTTGCAAAATTAATATTAGAAAACTGTTGAACATAAAAACAAAAGCAAACAACACTGAATAATTGAAGGAAAGTGAAACAAGTAAGCAATTAATCACTCATTTCCAGATCACCACGCATTAAAACAGAAAATAAAGCAGGTTTGATCAAACACATTATCTTTCTCCTTTAATTGCCAATATCAAGTTTTTCCGATCCCCTTCAATATTTCAATATCACTTGTCATCATATAACCATCGAAGAATTCCAAAACATATATAAATCAAAATACAAGTTATGTTCTGACATAACAAGTGTATTTTGTTTCCTGTTGAAATAATTACCAAAAACGATATATGTTCTGTACTAATTGCTTCCACCACTAAAATGATCAGTTTTGATGGTTTTCAACGTGAGACTAATTAAACATATATGAAAGGACTAGGATTCAATATTTTTCCTTAAATCTACATATGCATATGGTGATTTACTATCTTAAATATCATTTAATTACAATGATCTTGACATGATCATGAAATGACTTTTTAACATGTATATATATTGGTCCAATGATGATCTGGACGACTAGTATATATGTACAGGACGAAGAAAGCTAGTAAGAAAGAAAATTGGAAGAATTACATCCAAGTCCTTACAGCATTGCAAAATCATGTAACTATTTGGTTGTCATTTTGATATGTTCTGATAGCAATGGATCTTAGTAATATTTAATTGCATTATCGAGAGAATTAGAAAAGACTAGACTGGAAATGTGGAATCCACGTTTAGAAAAAGAAGTAATGATGATTCCAAATAATTGGCTAAGACTGAGATTACGTAGGGATTCAAACATGAAGAAGGTGCTTTCCACTAAATAAAGCACTTGATAGTTTTTTTGAAGCATGCATGCTTTGCCAATCCCTTCTCCATTATTATTATTATTATTATTTTGATCGATCCTTCTCCATTATTATTATATATCTTTTCCAGTGATAAAGAAAGTCATGCACTATGTTTTAATGTCTGCTCTGTCGAAGTCTTATCAAGGACGTCTTCTATTATTTTTAGACACAAAAAAAAAAGGTAAGCTCAATTTATCTGTTGATTTGTGCTCCTAACTTTATTTTTGAACTCTTCACATATATATAATATGATTTGAAACATTTTTTAAAGAAATGTCGACACTTATAAGTGCATGCATGTATACTTTTGAGACTATTCATGCTTGATTTGACCAAGATGCATGTATATTAGACGAGTTATAAAATTATAATTTATAATAATGTTGATTTATTTTCATGCATTATTTTATTAACAACTAGATGTATTGTAAATTTGTTTTTGACACACACATTATATGCATTTAATATTATTTTTTCATTAATTATTACATTATCGCCTATCAAAACTAAGACCTATTAATCTTGTTGGTTTATCATCCAAAGGTTTTTTTTTTTTTTTACCAGCAATCTAGTCTAGCTTTTAAAATGTTGAATCAATCACACACATAAATAATGTAAGCTGAAACTTATGAATTAATGATAGAGTAATTTTGTAGATTTTCGCAATAATTCAATATCCACAAGTTCTCTATTGGACTTTAGCAACTTTTTGTAATGGCTATAGTCTATAGAATAATCAAAAGTGAACTTTCCTTGTTTTTTAGCAATAATCATGAATGGCAACAAAATGTCATTGCACAAATGAGTTCTATACAAATAACCTTCTAATTATAACTATCAACAATATTAAAAATTTTATTATAAAAGATTAAACAGTCACCTTTAATCATGTTTATAGGAAAGCTAAAAAATACGCTAATTGGTTGGCTCATCAGGCCTCTATCGATAATCTTAATGTTCATATTTTTTACACTCCGCCATTTAGTTGTAGAAATTTTTTATACGCTGATAGGACATAACATGTTATCTAGCACAGTGTTTTTGTGACCTTTTATTCAAAAAAAAATGTCATTGCACAAAACATGCTTCTTCTTTTTTAACTAAAGTATTTAGTGATGATGCTTGTAATATTTGTGATGACTTTTATAATTATAAAGACATCACAAAACCTTACAATTGTTTTTATTTAAAGCAAGTAAATTCCGAAAATGGCCTTAACACTTCGGGTTGCAAAAAGATATCTAACAATTAAAACAAAATTAATTAATTTTTCCTCTCCATAGGAACGGAAGGCAGTTGAATTAAATCATTGATCTGGACTTTCGGTTTTGAGTTTTTCAGGGCCAACATAAACCCACTAAAGATACGTTGGGTTACAATTAATATAATATTTATTTTTATCTTTATTATTCCTCAAAAGAAAACTCAATGGGCGGGCTAAATTCTGCCTTTATACAACTGAAAGTCAAAAGAATTTTCTATAATAATATTTATTGAAAATCCTGGTAACAGATAAAAATACTGAATTAAAATCTAGTTCTCTAGATTGCAAACTGTCCGACTCTCCTTCTGTATTAAAAATTTAGAACATTCATTGATATTCAAATTCTAATTACATCAACATGATATTCACTAAACTTCAAGCAGCCTTATTCAGCCATCAACATGACTAGAGAATTAATTCAGGAAAATTCTGATATAAAATAGCGGTCCAACTTAGCAACACAAAAATGAAATAAATGAAAAAAAAATTATATACTTAACCTTATATACTTAAGGTAATTATTTTCAATTAAATCAAAAAATTTGAATCTTTGATATATTATTTATAATATACTCCTATTATTATTAATACATAAAAATTCACTTATCTTAATTTGATCATATAAAAATATATTAAGTATATAAGACTAAATATTTACTAACCTCACTCAAAAATATGAAGTGAAATCATACTTACAACTTTCTCATTTGGTTCTGCCACGTTGGTCGTGGTTTTGTTTTGTGTGGATATATAAGTTTTGGAATATGTATTTTTTTCTAAATGTAGATAAAACATAAGCACTCTCCCTCTCTTGCTTGGTCTTCGTTCAAAAAACTATACTTGCAATTGTTGCCATATGTAGATAAATCCACTCCATTTTACAATTTAGTATCAAAGTATATTGGGCTTCATATTAGAAAGAATTTATAGTTTTGATGATGTACAACGTGAAACAAAATAGACATGAACCAATTCAAGAAAGCAAACAATAGGTACCTAGTACCAATGCAAACACATTAGTATTGATGTAGCACGTATATGACATTAGTTTCTTAAAAAAAGTTAATTTGTCATATTCTACATTAATTAACATGCACTCAATAAAAAAAATTTAGAAAGACATATTAAACGTGTACTTCTTTAACTAGTCAAAAATCATAAAAAAAAATTGAATACAAAGATCACCAACAAAAAAAAACCATGCAAAAAAAGATAGTTTAAATCATATCAGCATATAAAAAATTTCTATAACCAAATAGTGACATGTCAAGTTCAATGATATGAATATTCCATTTCATTTTTTAATGAACTCAAGCCTTAATTGTTTTTAACTAGAAGAAAAATACTATTACTAACCATTGTTAGCTTGAGTAAGAAACACAAATCTCTCAAAATGAAATTAAAAGTTTGAATATTGTAAATGAAAACAGCCTAATTGGATCCATTTTACAACAAAAATAGTTATTGAACTATGAATTGAGCTCAATTATACCATTGAACACAAGGCCTTCCCCTATACAGAAGTAGAAGACAGTTGAGTTGCTCGTTGATCCTAGAGTTTGGGCTTTGGACTTTACAAGGCCATACTCAACCCGCTAAAGATTCTTTGGGCTATAACTTACAGCTCGGGGAAAAAAATCTTTTATCATGTCTTTTTGTAAATTAAACACGAAAATAACTGTTTTCAATCATTTATTTAGTTCTTTGTTATTTGGTGTTTTTCTTTTTTCCTTTTTTTTTTTGTTTTTGGGGTTCGGTGTGGGAGGTGTTTAAGTCCAACCTACAATGCGATCCCACCTGAACTAATTGAAAATATTGAATCCAACTGAAGACTGTTAGACTCTCATACAGTAAAATATATATATATATATATATATATATGAGAACACGCAATGTTATTAAGGATTCTAATTAAATCAACTTGATATTATCAAGCAGCATTGCCCAGCCATCAAATAATTCAAGAAATTTCTAGCAAAACAGCAATAAATTTTTATTCATACTGATGTTTGATTCAAAGTAACCGAAGGGACGTGTTTGTTCAAGCCGTCAGTTCAGAGGCAGAGTTCCTTCTGCATTCTGCAAGCATGTCTACGTAAAACTGGCACTTGCTAATCTCACTCCCGTTGCTGTTCAGGCACTGCAAGCAGATGAATAAGGTCATGTAAAGCTATCCCTAATATTCTGTCATCAAGTAAGTTGAAAGAGACGAGCCTTAATAGACTTGTTGAGGATAAAATGCAAGAGTATGAGGAACCGTAAACAAACTCCAATTAGTGAACCAGAGTGCTTTATGTTATCTAGCTACTTGATCATAGATGCGAGCCAGCAAGAGTGTTCAAAACGAAACTAAACCCATTGAACTGACATAAATTGGCTAGAAGTCTAAGACCAAACCAAAAGATTTTTTATTTGGTGATATTTCATGCCTGATTTCAATCAAAATAATTCCGTGTCATTTTGGTTTGGTTCATTTAAAACCACCAAAACAAACCAAATCAACAATGAGATTTTTCTCTTTGGTGATGATTGAAGAATAAGTTAAGCAAACAATAATACAATATTCCTAATTTTTTGTATAACTTTTTCTTGAGATTGATATCTCCAATGCCCTACTGAAATAGCACAACAGTTTGACTAAACAACTTTGAATATTTGAAAATATTACAGACAGAAGTCTGGAGAAAGAAAGGACCAAACCAAACCAAAACCAAAACGGAATAGGTCTTCCATTTTACAAATTAACTGCTTTGGTCTAGTTTATTTTTAGTCCAAAATTGAACTGAGCCAAACAATGAAATCCCTAATGCTAAGTAAACCAATTCTATGAAGGCAAAAAAATGTTTCCAAGCAGCCACAATTGCTTGAGTCATTCTAAAAATCCCCGACATCAAAATCAAAACAAAAAATCGCATCACTGCAAAGTTGAAGAGGAACGGGACATGGGTGAGTTACTATCTAATGATTCATTCCACGCTCCATCAACCATTACAGTACTTGTACTTGAGACAATAACTCTTTGCACGAGGCAAAAATATCATATCACCACACAGTCGAAGCAAATTCAAAACCCTCTTTTCACACAAATTAGAATTAATAAAGTTATAAAACCTTCCTATTAATCTATCAGTTGTGATAGTTAAATAGGACCAGTAGAAGAAAAGTGAGTTCTCCTCTCCGATACCAATTTATATTCCTGATGTCAGACCTACAGCATTGCCAGCGATGTTGCATTTAAAATTGGGAGACAACTATATATGTCAATGCTGATTATGATACAGCAGTGAAATGCTACGTCGTAGATTATGTACCCAGAAAGGGGGAGATATTAGCAGATAAAAACTACATACATCCAGAAAAGCTTTTGAGTGAACATTGCAAGCATCAGAACCAAGACTATTAGCAGTGGGTGCAGGGGCTGCAGCAGCAATAGCAGCCGGAGAGCCCACTGTCTCATGTTGGATGGTGCGAGGACCCATTACAGCATCAACGGCCCTGTGTGCCACTTCAAATCCAGTTCCAAGAGCCATGCCTACAAAATTACAATAAGAAAGAAGACATGCACGTTTAGTACTTGATACACTTATAGCAACATAATATGATCATCTTGCTTCACATACCCTCAGCTGCGGTACCAAGGAAAGATCTATCCCTGCCAGTTTGAGCAGGAGCTGGAGGAGGAGCATGATGAACTGCATGAAGACACAAACAGATAAATAAAATTTAAACAGCAGTGTTTGGTAGCATGACAAGGATTTGTATCAGGAAGGTATTAGAAGCTTCCAATTCAGATCAGGCAAAAACTTGGCAACTTCTTGTATGCGTACCTGGCCGAGGAGGGTTATGGACTAGGGAACGACGTCCTGAACGAGCTGATCTTCCTGAGGAAATAAAACTATTATTTCGTCATCTTCGATCAAATTACCCCTGAAATGAAGTATTTTTCCATGAAAACATGAAGGCTTTCCCATCATCAGGGAAAGACGAAAGTGGCCTAAATTTAAGAACCCATTGACGTTCTTGAGTCAAACTATTCATCCATAACAACGAAATTCTCAAGTTTATTTGATATTCGAAGACTACCAATTAAACAGAAACAGAGGCAGGACTCGCCGGCATTCTAGAATCAAACTGGTGATCCCGAGCATAAATGATAACTCTCAACATATTTTCCATAATCAAACGAATTTAAATAGAAACATGGCAGATCTATTAAAAAAACCTAGATATCATTTTAAAAAAAAATAGAAAGCGTGATAATCTAATGAGTCTTGGAGCAAGAAATTGTAAATGGAAAAAGGGAAGATAATGCTAAATCACGACGAGATCGCGAGAGCTCACCACCAGAACCACCGCGAGGCATGTTTGGAGAATGTAGGAAATGGGGACTTGAGATAGAGCTAAAGAAGCAATATGACGATAAAGAATTGAAATTTATATCTGAATTTAAAGAGGATGAAGAGGCGGTTAGTATGAGATCATTGACGGTGTCATGCACATTACGAGATCTTTTCGCGCCTCAACGTACGCCTTTTGCTTGTTAGGCAAGTCAAGTTTTCCGCTGGGCCAAACAAGCCCATGAAACATTGTAGCCGAGAAAAAAAAAAAATGGTTTCTACATTGATTCTTGTTTAATATATTTAAATAAAAATTATATGAACACATTAGATTGAAAAATTAAAATTATTAATGTACCCTGATAATCTAATGAACTCTCTCCACCCCAATCTCCAATTTAAACAATTTTATGCACTTAATAACTATAAATATTTAAATTAATTAAATTTAATTTTTATAAGTTAATAATGAATTAGTAAAAAATATAAAGGAAAATCAGGCAGGTTGCATATGTGTTTTCTAATTCGCAAAAGGAGAAAACTTATATACTTAACTTTATATAATTATAATACATGTATTTAATTAAATTAAGATATGTAAATCTTCTATATATTATTTATTCTATAATAAATTCTTATTATTTCTTAAACTAATATATTAAAATAAACATGCCATGATTTAATTGAATGTAAATATATCCAATATTAAAAGCTAAGTGCATGCAAAAAATCCCATGAAATACACAAGTAACCCTAAAGTCTCATAGTTAGCAAAAAAACCTAAAGTTCCAAAAACTTTAGTCGTAATTAATTTTAATTTATATTTACTAAAAATATTCTCTTTTAAAAAATTTAAAATATCTCCCTGACATCGGAGCTGCCGTCAGTTGCCGTCTGGTCCATCACAAAGGAGGGTAAGTGTACACCAAAAAATAATTACTATAAAAGTTTTTAAGATTTTAGGATTACTTATACATTTAAGGGGACTTTCTGAAAAATTAGAATCCATGAGACGTCTTGTAACTTTTCCCTAATATAATCTAAAAAATTATACAGTTTATGTATCATAACTTTGAATTCTAGAAGACAATTATATATATTTTTAAAATAGAGGTGTTCTTTGTATCTGCTTTTTCCCGCTTGAATGAAGCTTTCAATATTTAGTCAAAAATAAAAAAGGAAAAAGAAAGAATCATAGCTAAAATAAAATAAAATGGAAATCTAATTAATTGACTCAATCGCATGACTTTCGATTTGGAGAGTAATAATTGTGCAAAAACAAATCAAATTTTCTTTTTCTTTTTCCTTTCTGTGAGAGTCTCATTAAGCACACGACTTACGCATATCTATTTCCCCATGTAATAAAGAATATCAAGTACAACTATTATATCTTAAACTTCTTTAAATTTCACATTCTTCACTTAAGAAAATAATATATTTGTAGTCAAACAAGTGATCAACTTGAAAAGGGAAACCCCCCGGGGGATTGGGGGGGCTCATTGAAAACCTCCGTAGAAAATACCCAAACATGCAAAACAATCATAATATCTCATTCAAATGTATGTCATTGCAGCCAATAAAATGTTGGAACTGCATTTTACACGGCGTTCTGTGTTTTAACAGCCTAACGGCCAACCTGGAAAACTGGTATGAACAGCACTTGGCAACACATTGAAATCTGATCATCAAAAATTTGAGAGAGCTTTCTTTTTCCCTGGACTGTTGTGACAGAGTGTCAATCCTATATGTTGCAGGGAACAATTGAAGTAGGAAAAAAGCATTGGCCAACATTCAAAGACCATTCTATTTAATGTTTTTTTATATATATTTAAAAAAAAAAAAGGCAGTGATTTCCCTGCAGACTACCTCCAGGAGCCTGAATTCCAACTCCTGGAGGGGTGCATATTATAATAAAATGAATAAAATGACTTGAATTAATCTAATTGGACAGACAGTAACATTCATTCCACTAGCTCAATCGTCGACCGTGGGATAGAAACCTGACGTGAATGGTCTTCCACTTCCATTGGAATCTGAATAAGCATGTGATGGCGATTGAAACTCCCCAGAATGCGAAGATTTTCTAGACTTTGGGTTCTTTGGGGAAGCTGCATAGTAGTCTCCAGAACTGCTTGTAGAATATAGAGATGAAGTTGGTAAGCCATGAATTCTAGGCAAGCCAGTTGATTCCGGCAAATTATATCCCCTTTCAATTGTTTCAGCTTCCAGTGGCAGTTCATCCAAGTCCTACCAAGAAGAAATACAGTCATCAGACACCAAACCACATTTTGCCACAAGTGCAGTTAAGTGAAAAGGCAAAAAAGCTCAACATAAAATTAAATAATTTTAGACCATAATTGCATGAATGTTATTAAAGACGCGCAAATGATGGGCATATATTCATAGAAAATCAATAAAGGGCTTCCTCCTTTTCCTTTTTGCAATATCTATCATGCTATTTAGCCATTACTCAGTAGTTTCTTTTTCCTGTTTTTTTTCTCATCACTTTTTTTTCAATTAAAGACATCCATGCTCAAAATTTAATTTCAAAATAATAATGCCAACTAAAGCATTAGGATTACTCACCCGGAACGCCTGTTGATAAGCTCTGAGCAATTCTCGACAGCGCTTTCTTTTCAATGCTACCTCATCAGGTTCTTGCAGCATCTCTTCAAACAGGTTTTCTCTGATTTGAATTTAACAAACAAAGCAGGCTTAGCATGATGAAACAACAGATAATTCAAAATTTATATAGCAGGCCATAACCACTATGTCACCTGTAAAGCTTTTTAATGAAAACATTGTGCAACTCTCTCTTTGTGTTGTTTACCTGGATAAAATTCAATACACAAGTTGTCAGAATTTATTGTGTGCTTTAAAATTCAGACATGTTTAGACACTCCAAAAGAAATATCATGAATGCTAACAAAAGTTATCATAGCCCCGAAAAAAGTGACTAGCTGGATCAACTAGAGAACTAGATTGAAGAAAGGGAAAAATTGCAACTATTAATAGTTCTTAAGGACGCGAGAGAAACTGTCTAGGAACTACAAGCATCAGGCAAAAGGAACACCAGCCAAATTTTAATTGGATCAACTAAAGAGAGTTCAAATAGACCTTGATTCAACAAAGAAAAATAACAAGTAATGATAACTTTTGAGCATGTCAGATAGAAAATCGTCTAGAAGCTAAGAAGTGAGAGACCGTGCACCAGATCCAGTAAATATTGTTTACTTAGCCACATTTCAACAGACAAAATAAACAGGAATGGATTTTGCCATACCCTGCACCAGGGTTTGGCGATTCAAATTTTCCTGCAAACTTTATTTTTCATTTAATCTAGAAATATCCAATCAACAAGAATCAATTTTTGCAGAGCTTAGAAGGATGGGTGGTACCAAGAAGTGCATAATTGCTTTAGGGACCAAATCCTCAACATTTTTTCTGACAATGTCATAGTATGATTTTAAAAGCAACTTTGTCACTGTAATCTCTACGGCTTCTGACTCTGAATTGCTCTCAGATGGCTTCAAGACAGCAGGTGGCTACAAAAAAACAGGGCATATTCGGAAATCATATAGCCAAAATATAATATGTGCAAGAGATAATAAACGTCACACAGATACCTCTCTCAGATGGATCATAGAGAACGATTGTTCCATGCTATGAGTGTTAACTGGTTCATTGTGTGGTTTACTTGATGTGATCTCCTTTGTAGACACACGGCTATCACCTCCTCCAAAAATAGATGAGATCCCCCAACTTGTTGCACTGGTGTTTCCTGAAAAGATCCCCAAAACATATGATTAAAGATTGGACAGAAAAGAAACAAACAAATAAATAAAAAGTACACAAGCAAATGCATAAAGCAACATACATCATCACATGAACATCAAATAGAAGGGGGGGGGACTTACCAGAGGATGCAACTTTTTCAACTTCTGATGCAGCACGAACACCCTGTTTTTTAATTTATATTAACCAAACAAATTGATGTGATAACATTATGATAATAACTTAAAAATGCTATTAATTATATTCTGGTCAGCTTAATGCAACACAACCACATACCTGATCAGCCACTACTCCATTTAATTGCCTTGCAAGAAGGCCCCGAGACTTCACACTTCTTTCAGAGGTTGATCCCTTATCAGATTCCATACCATCCTATGAAAAATCAACAAGTTTATTTTATTTAGTACAAAAGTAAAGGATGGCAAGAATAAATAAGCAACCACAGCTGACATGGGAAACAAGCAACTGGATGAGCGCCCAGCACCATGCACAATACCTTTGGCCTGGAAACTGGCAGAGGAACCCTGGAAGACTTGGTCTGTTGCCCTGCAATCTCCAATGCCTTGCTTCCACCAATAAAATTTGGGTGGGAAGTGTTTATGTAATCCATCTGAAAATTCAAGTAAATTAAAATTAGCAAACGCTGAGATTTTACTTTAATAGATTCATCATCAGAATGTTGAGGTTTTACTCTAATAGATTCATCAACAGAATGTTGAGATTTACTCTAATGGTCTGATCATCAGAATTCAAAATATTATGAGTTAACATGTGGACTGTTCCCACAAAATGCATGTCATTATGATTTCTTTTCCCAAGAGAAAAGGCATCATTCAGCAAAGCCATAACAAGGTAACCAATTTGACCACCAATTAAGCAAGCATTAGGTGAAACTCACACACACCCCAAAAAAGAAACATCAGAAACTTAATCATTCTCTGAAAGCAAAAAAAAAAAAAAATATATATATATATATAAATGTCAGCATTGCCAGGAAAGAAAAGAAAAATCAGAATAAGTATTAGGCATAAATAAAACAAAACACAACCTAGATGAATGTCAATGAAAAGTAAAATAACATAACAACACCACCCCAATCCTCCAGTAGCAATAGTTGACTCATTCTGCCTTGACCATAAATTGATGTTCAGATGAGGAATCAGGAATTAAAGAACGTTGGAAGATTGGTCAAGACTGCACTATCACTGTTGAAAAAAATGTGAAGTCCAGGTATTAACAATGTTGAACTTCAAAACCACTTGTATCACTCTTTTGGTGGAATTATTTTAGCTTTGTAACCTAGCTGAACCAAAATTGCCATGCAATGAAATGAGGAGATTGAAGCAAACACTAAATATTAAGTTAAATTTGATCTCACCTCCATTTCTATGATGTGTCCAATCATGTTCTCTGAGGGTTCAAGACCTTCTCGTAGAAAGTTCCCTATTACTTCATCCATACGCTTTCTCAAAAATGGGAACCGCTGCAGTTCATTGACCATACAGCGATGGCTCATCTGAAGATAGAAAATCATAATTAAGAACAAAAGATATGGCAATGCAATTGAGACTGGAGAGGATTATCTATAAGACATGACCTTCATCAACTCGTCATATATGAACCTTGCACACTGAAGGCTTGGGTCTAACAGACGAGCTATTTGCCGTCGCACAAGGACTTCAAAAGGTACCTAATTGAATGGAAATACATTGTTATTATTGAGTTGTGGAAAAATTTACATTAGTGTCCAAGTTGGATTCACAGTCATCTATTATTCATTAAGAGAAGACGGTCATAAGAGCTACCTCTGGAACGAATAATGCTGATTTAGGCCCAGTTGCATTCTGTATAGCAGTTCGAATATCTTCATCAGTCAAGTCCTCACAAGGATCCACCTCCTGCGAGATACAGAAATTACATCTCAAAGAAATTAGCTTCATAGAAATGTGGCCGCCTGAACAGATAGAAATATGTATGCAGGTTGTGTTGCACTGATTCATGTAATCAGCTGATGGTTGGATTAGATACCACTCAAATAGATGGATAAAGAATGGGTGGAAAAGCAGGAATGGGTTATGAACCATAGAGAAAGGCTAGTTTGAACTGCCATTTTAAAACTCCACATCAATCCACCTTTTTAATTCAAAAAGAAATAAGGAAAAAAAAAAAAACCATCCGTTTGCCCATCCTTTCAATACGCTGTAAGAATTGGTATGATTTCCTTAAAAAATTATAGAATATAATGTAAATACAAAAATATATACCTCTAAACTCTTCACAAATATAGATTGAAAAATATAATGAATTCTGGCTCCACCAGATAACTCAGATGTTGACATCTCCTCATTCTTACCCTCTACCATGGAGGAAAATGCTGTTGTCACCCAAAAAAGAAAAGGAAAGAATATCATTACAGCATTTGCAAAGAACAATACATGTAAATTACATGCTTGGCAAATATAAGAGAAGAAAAACAAATGAGTTAACAACAAAAAGATTTAAGTTGAGATAACAGACCACACAACAGGAATATTTAGGTACCTTCAGAGTATTTTGAAAGAATATTTAGGAGAAGAGCACCCTGACCCGCCTGTTGAAGATAAAGAATTATAATTATAAATATAATAACGCAAACCACCAGCCAAATCAGATGATATATTGCTTTTTAGTAACAGCAAATATTAATACATATAAAGCACATGTAAAATGTCATAAGGACACAACCAAATATTGATACATGCCTTGGACTCTGTGATTTCCCCATAGCTTGCATGCTCCTTTGCAACAGATACCAGTTGAGAGCTTATACGAGCTCTCAGCCCTGGGAGAACAGCCTTTATATGTTGGGCTAGAATCTGCAAATAAATGTAAGAAGCATTTGACATGCATCAATCCCAAACTACAAAACTGAAATCTTCTAAGCAAATAAATACTTTGGTTTTCGGTATCAAAGAATGTATCTCACATTCCATATCCCCTCTAATCCTGTAACTCTTTCTCTCTTCAACATTTACACATATTGCTCTGAGAAAGTTAAAAAATTGATCAGTATCACTCCATCGAATAATCCTAAAGTGACAATTTTTGGCATAGAATAAAACCACCTATAAAGTTCACTTCATCTCTCCCTCTTCTCCTTTGTCTTTATCTCTATTCAACGAATGATAGAAACAATTAAAAACATATTTCCTAATGCATACCTAAATTGGCATTGTCAATATAAGTAGAATGGATTAGAAGCAAGTCTTTGATGTTTTCTTCTCTCTCTTTTTGTAAAAGGAAACGATTAGGTTATGTGACACCAAGGAAGAAAGTCTTTCATCTCATGCATGTGTTGAAAGGAAAATCTAGATATAGAAGCGTAAAGAGAGAAAGTTTGGGAACAGAGGGTCTATGCCACAGCATGAGTGAGCACAAGATATAGTTTGAACTTTGAAGCAGAAAATATATAATAAAAGAAAATTTGAGAGTTCAATGTTGGCAAGCCTTTACCTGATTTAATTTCTTTGCCAATTGAGGAATACCACAGCTCTCTGCTAGACCACTGTAAATCTGAGTATAGCACAAATTAATATTTATAATAAATAATATATACATTAACAGAAAGCTTGAATTTAACAAGTCAGTGGTAATGCTTACTGGACGACTGCGAAAAAATTTCTCTTCAGCAATAAGAGCATCTTTTATACTTCGGTTCATTAGGATATCCTGATTGAAAGAGACACAGACAAATCAGGTTTCAGCATTGCATGTTTACCTTCAAGCTGATCAAGTAGCCAACAAATACAAAGTTGGGTATACGTCCTAGGTTCAACTCCCAATCTACCAGAAATAGATGCACATTTGTTTGTAACTGTGTCCTTATGTGTGCACAATTAACAATCACTTTCCAGCAAAAATTCTACCAGAATACATGCTGAACTATATTCAGTTAGCCTTAAGAACCATCTTCATCACAGTAAAATATCATTACCTCCTGACTACGATTAACAACACCCACATAACCAAGTCGGAGAGGAATGACTTTCCCAAGTAACAGATTCCGAGCATCAGTGCCTCTGTCCATGATATCCAGCTATTTTCAAGGAATGTTTGCAAACCTTATCAGAGATGGAAACAGGGGGGAAAAGAATAAACAAATCAATAGGTTATATATTAGATAGTACGTATAGTGTACCTTTGTGATTACTCCTATTGTTCTGTTGCCTGAAATAGAAAAATGAACGTATAAAAAACCCACCAGATAGAAAGAAAAGAAATTACCATTGTTTTAGACATATGAAAACAAAAACTCACCATCCGGATCAGCAACCCCTGCCATTTGAAGAGCGTCTGAGTTGGCCAAATCTGAATTAGCTGGTGTAACAGCGAGAATAAGACAGGTGGGAGTTTTAATGTATGACATAATCATTGTTCTTATTCGAGCTTCAATATCAGAAGGCTGGTCTCCAACAGGAACCTTTGTGATTCCAGGTAGATCTACAAGTGTAATATCAAGAACATTTGGTGAAAAAATCTTGAGCCGTATCTGTTTGTCTGAGACGCCCTTATTCCCCCTGCTTCTCTGTCTGTTTCAGCCTACATTCAATAGGATATAATGTTAAACAGTCAGGAAAATAATCAAATCAGTAGGGTATCAAGATAACGCTACCTAATTAGTGCATTAACTTTTGAGAGATACAATTTATGACATGCAAATAATCTAAATCATGAAACCCATTCCAACAGACTACAACATAAACCAAAAATAGCCATCAAGAGGTTAGTAATGTTGGCAAAGCACAGAAAGCTGCCATGACTACTGAAAAAAGAATGCCAAGCACAAATATTGGGGAGCACAAGTCTCGCTCAAGCTAACCTTTTCTCTGAACATAAAGGATAATAATGGTTGAAAGAGAAGACAGTATCTACAATATTAGGGTAAAGATTTCTCCATTCCAGGGTAAAACCATAAAATGTAAACTGCACCAAATACATAGGAAAGCCATGGATAGACAGGGCTTCCTGTCAGTCCAAAGCCACACAACAATAGGATAATTTAATAACCGAATTATATGCATAACACAGGGAAAGCTCAGCCAAAAACACACTTGATATTGAACAAATTGAATTATCTGGAGAACTACTTCAATCCAAAGTTAAGGCCAAAACTATCACAATTTTCTAATGCATGAATATAAGGAAATTATGATTTCCAATATAGATTTTTAAGTGCACTTGATAGACCAGCAGATAGTTACTCAGAACTCAAGTAGAGAATATGATTAAAACAAACCCAGATTTTTAGAATCGAAAAACTCATATGTTTTATGCTCCCCTCAGCCATATAAAAGCTTGTCTCTAACCAAATTATACATATTCCACTTTCGCGCAGCTAGACCCAGGAGCAAAAGCCATTGAGTTGTCATAACGCATAAATTGTGTGCTATGCGATTGCCATTGAAGATGGAAGAAAATTTTTCCTTACTATCATAGCCAATGAAGTTCACTTTCACTCGAGAGGAACAAACTAGAATTCATAATTTGTAAGGTGTAAGTAAGATTATCAAAACTGCTCACGATCATAACTTAAATAGAGCATCAAGCTAGATTCCAGGTCCGCAAGCATCCCAAACTCATTAAGAAACGAACTCCTCAAATCCAATAACAACAAATTCTATCTCCTAAACAGTAAACCGTAACTTGAAATGCTGAAGAATTCACTTCCACTCAATATCCTACATTCACACTTATTTCTCAGCAACTAAAACAGAAATAGCTTTCGTATTTTAGCATGGCCGAGCTAAAACAAACAAAAAAGCAAAATATGCAATTTTTACATATAATGACGATGATGATGATAAAAGAACCTGAATCTCCCTTCGAATCTCAGAGAAATCGTAGAACCTCTTGCCGGGCAAGTGGAGGAACTCCCCGTACTCCTCGTCAGTGCCATCGGGCTTCCTCTTAGTCTGCACGAGCTGCAGCACCAGAGGCCTCCTGGTGCAAATATCACTACCCCTGGGCAAGAAGTCGCGGCCGACAAGAGCCTCGAGAACACTGGACTTGCCACTACTCTGGCTCCCAACGACGGCGACCTGGGGAAGATCGATGGTGGACTGGCTTCCGACCCGAGCGAAGATGTCCTGAAGCTTGTTGACTATGGAGATCACGGAGGAGCCAAGAGGAGCAGATGATGAAGCCGAAGATGGAGGCGCTGCTGCTGAGTCTTCCGCCATGGTGAGATCGGGAAAACCCCTAAGCGAAGAATGTGAATAGGGAAAGAGAAATAAGAGCAGAAAACGAATGTACGATTCAAATTGAAAGTATCTGGTGGTGGACTCACTCCTTGCCGGTTCTCGAAAGGGATTAAAAAAAGAAAAGAAAACACTTTTTCACTCAGTCTTTTTTTGGATACAACGGAAATATTTTCACTTCACAATTGTCCCACCGTCAGACGCATATTGTTTCATTAAAAAAATTTAGATAAGTTTGCCTTGATTTTACCAGGCTGAAGATCATAATAACATGTATTTGGGCATGGGGCATCTCCAATTTCTGAAAAACGTTACCGTTTAGATTATTAAAATATACAGAAAGTAATAAAAGGCAACTAAAAAGAAAGCATCCACAGGTTTGTCTGACCGGCTTCTCTTCTCTCACCCACCCTTGTATAAAGTCCATATTCCATGTTTTTGTTTTTATTTAAAATTTGTTAAAATAAAAAATATAAATATTCTTTTTTTTTTATGAATGTGGGCAAAACCCTACTTTATTCCATTACTAAAACTTCTCTTAAGTGGGCAACACCCAAAAAGTCATTACACAATAAATTTTGTAAAGGATCAAGAAGATCCCACAAACAAATAAATGAAAAATCATGTGAAAAATTGTAATTAGCAAGCCAATCCGTACACTAGTTGCCTTTCCTATATGACTGAAAACAATATTTCTAAAAAAATCAAAAACTCTACAAATATCATCAAGAAAAATATTGCCAGACTTCTTCTCCACCCAAGCATCTTTTAACATTGATAAGACAGTAGCCGTATCTCCTTCAATTATTAGATTTTCCATTAATAGTTTCTTCGCCAACCTAATTCCCCGAAGCATGCCCCATAATTCTGCATTTATAGCTAAACAATCACCTATTTTCTTAAAAAATCTAACCACCTAGTCTCCATTATTATTCCTCAACAGACAACCACACCTAGCCATACTTAAGCTACTCTTTGCTGCACCATCAAAGTTCAATTTAAACCACCCCAAGGAAGGACAAGACCATCTAACATCAATAACAGTTTTTCTAAAAATAATCGAAAAATCACCACCCATCAAATTATCTAATTCCCAAACATAATGATTTATAACGCCTACTGGGTTCTCAGACATCACAAAATTAGAATCGAATAAGGTTTTATTATGTCAAAACCATTGCCACCAAGTAGCCACAACAAAAATTTTGCTTTAGTCAAATCTACCCCTCATATTCACATTTATCCAATCACGCAAGTTAAGTTGGAAGAAATTATAATTTACTTCAGATCTACCAAGTTGAAGCCATGTAAATTTTGCTTTTTCATAATCACAAACAACAAGGAGAATATCCTCCACACATTGCACACATCTGCAACAATTAGGAGAACTACCTAATAATCTTGCTCTCCTCTTTGAAGATTACTCAAAAGCCACAAAAAAAAAACTTGAATTCTTCTCGGACCCTTCCAACTCCACACAACTCCCAGCCCTTATCACACACACCCCCCCTGGTTCACTATTAGTTTGTGATGCATATGAAAAACACATAAATTATTATGATTTGCTCCTTTCTATTGATACAATCTAACCCATAGACCGGCTTTAGGGTGCTCGGAGCTTCACCAAAATCTCCTCAAGTAAGTAATCCTTAAGATACAAGAATTCCATTCTTGTGCTTCATTCACCATATCACTAACCTTGCACTCCACTAATCTCCCTTCAGGTATCTTAAAACAAACATCAAGGAGTCTTTCATCATTTCCCAACCATAAATCCTTCCAAAAATTAATTCTATTACTATCTCTACATTCCCAAGCTATCATACTCACAAGATCAAGCTAGCATTTACCAAGGAATTTTCATAACATAGAATCTAAGTCTTTTACTTAGCATTCCTCATATAGGTTTACACCACGCTCATATTTAGCTTGAAGAACACTGGAACAAAGACTGTTAGGGTGAACAAGAATATTCTAGCCAACCTCACACATCAAAGCTTTATTCATCTTAGCTAAATCACGCAAGCCCATGCCCCCACATCTTTTAGGCTTACACATAACATTTCAGCTAACAGCATGAATTTTCATTTTCCCCTTAAAGGAACCCCAAATAAAATCACGTTGTAACTTTGTAATTTCAACACAAACACCTATAGGATATATGACTATGTTGCATAGTACAAATAGGAATATGAGAGGTTACCAATTGTACCAATGTGATCCTACCTGCAAGCGACAGATTTTGCTTCTTCTAACCAAATAGCTTGTTATGTACTTTATTAATCAAATATTAAAATTTGTTTCATGTTACTCTGCCCTGAGTAATAAAGGCCCCCACGTAACATCCAAGCTCATCTTTGCACTAGAACCCACAAACATCACAGAGTGTATTCTATAATTCTCTTGACACATTCTTCAAGAAATATATGCTATTTTTTCTTTATTTACCTTCTGACTCAAGATGTTACCAAACATCTCCAAGCATTTCATTACATTACACAGTTGGCCTACATTCGCTTCACAGCACAACAACAAATCATTCGCAAAAAGTATATGAGAGACAAGAGTCTCATTCCTACCAGCTTTCATTGGTTCCCACCTTCCATCATTAATAGCATCAGAGATTATATGAGATAATTTATCCATAGCTAAACCAAACAAATAAGGAAAGAGAGGATCTCCTTGTCTCACCCCTCTTGTAGGTCTAAACCACTCCCTTTTTCACCATTCCAAGTCACAGCCATTTTCACTGATTTCATATAGAATCCAATAGGATCAATAATGTGTTCAAGTAAACTACTCTCTTTTAGCACGCCAATTATGAAGCCCTAGTTCATACGATCGTAAGTCTTCTCAAGGTCAATCTAAATTGCCATGTACCCTTTTTTTTATTCATTTTACTTATCATGTAAGCAAGCTCTTTTGCCACAATTATATTATCCTATATGTTACGGCCAGGTATAAAACTAGCTTGAAAGGGAGAAACTAACTTATCCAACACCCTTTTCAACCTATGTACCAGAATCTTGGTAACCCCTTTATATAAAATATTACACAAAGTAATTGGGCAAAAGTGCCCTACAAATTTAGGGTGATTAATCTTTGGAATCATTACCAATAAGGTTTTGTTAATTTCACTTAACCTCGAAGGCTCATCCTACGTGTTTCTAATAAATTCCATCATACTAGGTCCTACCACTTCCCAATTATGTTGATAAAAAAATAGCAAGGTAACCATCCTCACCTGGTGCCTTAAAGGCTCCCATAGAATAAAAAGCAAGTTTAATTTCTTCATCGAAGAGAGGTTTACCAACATGCTGCATCAAATCAAAGCTAATATCACCCCATTGTTGCTTAGTAACATGCCATTCTTTGTCCATAATTTATTCACTAAACAAATATTGGTAGTACTTAAAAATAGTATTACCAATCTTTATATCATCTGAGACCTATACACCTCTAGATTTGTGAAACCATAAAAATTCCTCTTGCAATAAGACTTCATTTAACTTCTTATGAATCTCTTCCTCATTTCTTAACAACATTTCATCACAATTATCATCGATCAAAGTCTGAATATTACTTAATTGTTGCTGTAGAATTCGTTTCTTTTCAACAATAGCACCAAAAACCTCCTTATTCTAGCAATAAAGATCCCTTTTCAGCATGTTTAGAGCACTCGGAGTAGCAACATTCTTTTTCCAGTAGTTATTCAAAAAATTCTTGAAATCAGCATGAACCAACCACGCAGCTTCAAACCAAAAAGGATGCTTTCCCCATTTCTTTCTCTCTAGTTCGGTATCAATAAACATAGGATGATAGTCTAAATTAATTCTAGCTAAGATCTTTACAATGGCATTAAGAAAATAACTTTGCCACTGAGAATTACATAAGGCTTTATCAAGCCTCTTATAGATTCTATCATAACTGCTCCATTTTGAACCCTTCCAAGTAAAAAAAAAGGCCCTTAGCTTCTATTTCAATAAGATTGCAACGATTAATCCAATCTTTAAACACGTTATGTCTGTGCACATTCACTCTAGCACCTCCACGTTACTCACTTGGGTCAGCAATTTCATTAAAATCTCCTGCTATTACCCAAGGTGTAGACAAACCAAATCCAATATCCTTCAAGTCTTGCCCAAATTTCATTAAAAAATATAAATATTCTATTAAATCTAATCAATTATTTGAACAATTTAGATTTAATATAGATAGCCCAAATTTAATAGAGAAAATTAGCCCAATGACCTAAAAAAATACAAATCTCATAAATTATGAATAAAGTTTTTAAATATTTTGAAATATGGCCAATTTATAAAATTAATTAGATGTGTTTTTCCTTTTTTATCCCTAGAATAAATTTATTATTAAAATAGAATATATGTGATTTAACTAATCTTCAACTATTAGATATTTCATTTTTATCATAAAAAATCATATTGTGCATGCTCCCTCTCTGATTTATCATCTCTAAATATTTTCTTCATCATATTTTTGATATGATTTTCTTAAATCATTATATTCATCTCTCGTACAGTGCTTTTCTTTATCAGAATTTTTGATTTGATTTGCTTGGATCACTATTTTCATTGCAGAACTTTTCTCTCTCTTCTTCTCTGTTTTTCCCAACTATTACAAAGACGATATTAAACATTAAAGAGAAATTCCATTATTGATCTGTAATACTACATCGTTGATATACAGCTATATATTAATGATAAATAAATTAGTAAGTTTTTACTGATATAACTTATATATCAGTGATATATAATAGTATATCACTGATATACTATCATAGATCAATATAGCCAAACAATCAGACATGACCTTATTTAAAATTGATATACAATTGTATATCAATGATATAGTATCGTATATTAGTAACACAAAAAAATATAATTATTTGTCCAAAATAGATCAAACAAAGTCCATAAAAAATTTTAGACTCTTAATTTATCACAAAAAATCAAATACCTAAACTAATAAAATAAAAAATCATGAATCTGTAGCTCCGTTTTCCTGCTGGCATGCTCGGTTCTATCAAATATTGTTGATGTATCTCACATCGCTTTTGTCTCTCATCGTTGTGACTGTGGCTCACTCGCATTGCTTTGCTATTTCTCATTCGTCTCTCTCGCATTAAATTCCGTCTTCTCTTTTGTATTTGTTTTTCTCATTCCAAAGATTTCTTATATTTTAAATCTTCTGGTATTTGAAAAAAAAGATATTAAAAAGGATAGTTTTTTAAATTAATTATAATCTAAATATTAAAAATTTTATTTTTAAAATTTTAAAAAGGATATGTTATTTTTTTTACTTGGTCTTATAATATAGGCTATATGTGTAAAAGCCTCAATTTAATATTAATTTTTTTAAAATTTTAATATTAAACTTGTATTGTCTAGATTATATTTGAATAGTCCATTTATAGAAATTAAAAAATTTATTAAACCTAATCACCAATATAGATAGTCTAAATTTAATATCGATGGCCAAAATTTAATACTAAAAATGTTATAATTATAATAATTAAATTTCTACTGTCTAAATTATATTTTGATAATCAATTTATAAAAATTATAAAAAAATTAATATTACATTTGGACCCAAATTTAATATTAATTTTTTTTCATAATTTTAATATTAAAACTTGTGCTATCTAGATTATATCTAGATACTCAATTTATAAAAATTAAAAATTTTTAATGTTAATTTGAACCACCTATATTAACTAATAAAACATATTGTTAAAATTTTTACTAATATTTTAATAAATATAAAAAATAAATACTTTAAACTGCGTGCAATGAAGGGTAGGAGGAGAAAAGCTGGGAGGACAGGATGTGGATGCTTTCTTTTTAATTGGCTTTTACTATTTTTTAATTTTTTAATCATTCAAATGGTATCCTTTTTATAGAAATGGAGGGAAATGAAGAGAGGAGAATTGGAGACTCACCATGCCCCATCTTTTTGGATGCAATTTATTCTTAGATAATTTAAAAATTTTATAAGCAGCCATTTATTTTGTCAACACTTTTTTTCATAATAAAAAATTTAAGTGAGTTGAGCTTGTAAGTTTACCAAGTCTGGGCATGCTTTCAACTTCACAAAGCACTTATATAATACTTGTAGAATCAGTTTTAATGCTAATAATTTTGGATCATCCAGATTTTAATTTAAAGTTTTTATTGTATTTTTACTAAAATAAAAATTATAAAAATTTTAATAAATCTAGATAATTTGAATTTAATTTAAATGATTCAATTTAATATTAAATTTTTTTAAAATTTTTATAAATTGATTATCCTAATGTATTTTAAACTGTCTAAATTTAAAATTTTTAACTCACAACTTTTTTCTAAAAAATATTTTTTAAAAATTTTCAATTAGGAGATTATCTTTATTTTTAATATTATATTTATCAAAATAAAAATTTATAAAAATTCTAAAAAATTAATATAAATTTGAATTATCTATAATACATATGGATAGTCTATTTATAAAAATTTTAAAAATTTTTAATATTTGATTAAATTGTCTAAATTAAGTTTATATTGTACAAATTGGTGATGAAATAAATTTATTAAATTTTTATAATTTTATAATAATAAATATAAAATAGGAATAAAAAATAAAACCTTTTAAAAAAGACTTTAAAATTAAAATCAAGATAGTCCAAAATTGGCTTCCAATATTTACAAATAGCCTACCAACAAAAACTTTGCACTAGCAATATAATTTAATTTAATAATTTTATAGGTTATAAAAATTTTATAAAATATTATATATATATATATATTATTTTATGCTTGGCTATAATGAAAAAATAATTATTATTTAGTTATTTTAGATTTTATAATATTTTTGTGAATCTCTTTTTAAAATATAATTCATTATTTAATTATTTTAAAATTTTGTAATATCTTCATACAACTCCTCATTTTATAGCATTCTCTCTCATCTATAAAGTGAGATTATTTTTAGAAGCTATTGTAACTCTTTAAAATAATTAGAAATCTCTTTTCTTTACATTCTTATTATTTTAAAAGTTTAAACTTTAAACAAAAATAATAAAATTTCACAAAAAATTCAAAAATAAATGACTTTGTCAAGGGAAAAAAAAAAGCTTAAATAAACAGGTCCTAAATCCTTGTTAACTAATTATGGCTTCAAACACAAATTCTTTCATCTGGCAATGGAATAAAATTATTATGGGACAAAATTATTTTTTATCAAATTATAAATGATGATAATAAATCAGAGAAATACTTAAGTAAACTAGGTGCATCATGTCATTTATAATATATTCAATAAAAACATGACATTTAAATGATATTAAATATAAATTGATTCTAATATTAATAATAATTGAGAGAGAGAGAAAGTAAGAAATCAAATGTATATTATATTATAAAAATAAAATTAATTTAAAAAATGTCACATAATATTTAATTTAAATTATTTGAAGCATTTTAACTGAACAAATTACAAATAACGTGATGCATTTTATCTATTTAAATATTTCTCAAAATAATATATAATTTTTTTCTTATTGAAATTTTTAACCAAAAGGGTTCACAGTACAAATAAAAATTATGTTTAACTATATTGCCAGACTAAATGAGGCAGCTCAACAACCTCAAACTCTATATGGCATACAAGTTTTTATGGCTGGTTATGTAACAAGCCTAGGTTCTAAAAAATTAATAGTTATATTATATTTGATTGGATTGGCGCATCCTGTTACGGATTAATTAAAAAGAACATAAAAATAAAAATACGAGAGAAAGTGAGAATTGCCCAATCTTTGTTTGGCTACATCACACTAAATTATAAAATATTTTAAGATAAATTATACATATAAATAAAATTTATTAAATATACATTACAATTTTATTTTCCCCAAACAAAAATATAAACACTAAAAATTGCCTCTAATTTAACGCTCTATTTACAAAAAAAAAAAGAAAGTAAAAAGAGAATATAATGTTTATGAACTAATAAAATTTTATTTTATTATGTTTTATGATTTGGTACGGAAAGAATATTTCATCATACATATTACATTCCTACTCATGCATGCTATGATTTTGCCGTTGATTATTTCAGGCTTAACCATACACAATCCAACTGGATTATATACAAAGAATAATTGGGACATTCAGCTGAAACAGACAAGGTGCAATCATCTTCACCAATGCACATAATAGCTCCATAGACACAGCAATTAATGGAAAAAGAACCTCCTCTTCAGAATCAAAACTATACCCACAAGAAAATCAATCCTCTGCACCAAAGTTCTCAGGTCGGAGGAAGGAAAAACCAAGAACTCTACAGTTTTCTAGAGGAACATGCCTAATATAGTTGAATAATTTATCATAGTCACGTATTGAATAGAGTTGGGCAAGGCCAGAAGACATTGGCAGAGCAAAATGTGGAAGTTTCTAAGCTGAACATAGAAGCACAGCCTCTATAACTGAAGTAGACACAATTCTCTTCACATCCATGATAGTCTTGAGCTGAAAGAGAGAAATTACAGTCTTTGCTCAAAACAAACGCACGCTCATCCAAGCTTTTCACATCCAACCATCTCCCCCATTCCTCATCAAGCTTATACACTTTCAGATCAACCACCTCATAGTACGTGCCCTTGTTGTTGTTAGGATCTCCTTCAACATGCATATCAACAACATAGAGACTCCCACATGATTCTACCAAATGCTTCTTCTTCCCCAAACCACACAAAGGAGGAGAAAACTGAACCAACTTCAGGGAAGAACAGTCCACCCAGTATATGGTTCCCCATCTGTCCACAACATAGAGCTGATCCTTATGAACAATTATGTCATCGTAATAGAAGTTCTTATAATCCACAAGGGTCCATTCATCATCACCAATTTTCGAAAACCCTAGTTTTCCATCGCTATTTACGGTGAAGAACCTGCAATTCTCTACCTGGGTCCAAGCAAAATTGGGGAACGCCACCACTTTCCCACTGATCTCACGATGAGGAAGAGGAAACCTCAAACCAGAACCACTTAATGATATAGAATATGCTTTTACCAGTTCGACGAATCGAAAGTTCAACAGATTCAACACCTTAGGGAAAGAGTCAGAAGGGTACCTCGAACGGAAGTGCAAGAGTCTACTGCACGTGAAAGGGTCCAAGAGACAGAGACGGCCGTAGTTGGATTCTTCAACCTTGATCAACCAGACTTTGGGTGAGGAGAAGAAGAAGTTGAAACAGTTTCGGAGAGATCGGAAAGTTCGATACGATAGATTGTGGTGGCGGTGAGTAGGCGCTGGCCAGAAGAAGTGGCGATTATCGGAGTGAAGCTAGGAGAAACTGTGCGAGAGGGAAGAACAGAGGAACGACGCCATAAGCTGCAGGTGGATCGAAATCGGAGAAGGTCGATGTGGCTCTTGAAGCATTTGCCGATCATCAGCCATAGTTCCTTGGGAAGATCAGACCAATTCACAACACTCAGATATCGATCATCCATCTGGTGAATTGGATTCTTGATCTGATTATTTGAGTTTTGGGAGAACCAGAAACTAACATCCAGTCCACAGTCTCCAGTGTGAGGACTGAGGAGTGGTTGAGTATTCGAAGACGATGAGATAAACTCAGCGAGACTTGGTCAACTTCACTTCACGCACAAAGCCACGGAGCAGCGACGATGCCTTTTCATTTTGGAAAGTTACTAAGAAGACGACAAACAAGTTTGCACCAACACGGCATAACCATCAAAAATTAAAAATCCCCTCCGGTCCTATGCTCTCTCTCTCTCTCTCTCTCTCTCTCTCTCTGGAATATGACTCAATAAGAAATCTTTCTTCAAGCATGCGCTCGCTAGCTTGACGACAATGAGATGATTTATGTTACATCGTGACTGAAAAATGAAGAAAGTCATGGTGATCTTTAGTGGATTTTTTCTTAGACTATTACATCCAATTCCTTTTTAAGGAATTAATCATATCAATAATAAGTTTCATTCAAACAAAATAAATCATATTTTTATTTTAACAATAACTCATTGAGTATTGATTCTCATATGTGATTGATTTTTTTAAGAGAAAATTAAATATAATTTTTCCTTTTTTTTCTGAAAAAGGTTTCTTTATAATAATATCTCAGAATAATTAATTTGTTTTTAAAACTTCTCTCCTTCAACTGGATGGCATAGTGGAGTTTTTTTTTCTTGAAAAAATTAGTAAAAAAAACTTGTTAGATGGAAAATTAGTTCTAAGGATCAAATAAATTGAAGGACTGAGGCTAATATTTTATTTATTAAATAATTTGAATAAATGATCGAAATACCTTTTTTAAATCAATGAAATTAAAAAAAATAAAGGTTACTTATTAAACACATGCACCTCATGCCATAAGTTTGGCATCCAAAATCAGAAGCCTTGTACCCTAGTTAGAAGTCTTGCACCTCTAGCCAGTATCTTGCACCCGAATCAGAAGCCTTGTTTTTTTGAGGATACTGGCTGAGATGCAATGCTTCTAACTTGAGGTATATGTATGGAACAAGTAGCTTTTGTTTTTTTGTTTTTCAATTTTATTGGTTTAAAGAGATATTTTAGTCATTTATTTAAATTATTTAATGAATAAAATATTAATTCTAGTTTTTCAATTGTATTTGATCTTTACCACTAATGTCCCTCTAACAAGATGCCTTTTACCAATGTTTCCTTTTTTTTTTTCTTAGTCAAAAAAAGGTCACATAGTAGAATTTCTCTGTCTATTTACTTGTTTCTATGTCTCGGCTAATTCACTTTTTTCACTTTTTTGATTTTTTTATCTTTATTTCAATACTTGCAGATCAAGTTATGGCTTGTCTTTTTATTATATATTTAAAAAAGAAAAAAGATGACACTGTATGATATCGGCGTCCGACGTGGGGAGAGAGTTCAGATAGGGGCTAAACAAATTGGTCTGCGGGAGGAGAATTTACATATGTATCGCCCCATCTAATCCATAACTTATTTTTTTTAAAAGAAATATTTTTCTTTTTATACGTCCCTGAAAAAAGATATACGGAAAATATAAATTTTATCCCTATGCATCTATACTTTCAGCGCGATATGGTATTTGTTTTTATTTTTTATTTTATTATTTCAAGTTTCTTAGATTTTATATGCATGCAATGTTAATACTTAAAAACTTAAAAATGACAAGTTTGACAACCAAATTAATTAGTCCTTATGAAGAAAATAGCAGCCATTTTGCTCAGATTATATATTATTCATCATAATTTTATCAACTTGTCAAAAAAATTAAACAAGTGTAAGTGTGAGAGAGTGAGTGAGAGTGTGCGTGCGTGAGAGAGAGAGAGAGAGTGAGTGAGAGAGAGAGTGAGTGAGAGAGAGAGAGAATTTAACTCCAACAATTATGATAAAGACTAACATTGGATACATATAAAGCTTAAAGGACTATGAATAATGAAATAAAAATATAAAGACTAATGCTAAAATACATTAAAAATGTAAGACAAATAATTATATTTTTCCAAAGATATATTATTAGTTATTTTCTTCTAATTTGATCTTTTTCTAATTTTTTAAGAATAGAGTAAAAAGTTATATATGAGATGAAATGTTTTTGAGGATGTTATATTTAATAAGAATAAACTGAAAATTTTCTAACTTTTGTAGAGAAGTAAATAATTTAATTAAATTTTATTAGTTCTAGTGAGGTGCTTATTAATTTTGATGATGGAATTGGAAATGACTTATATACAAGATTAGAGGGAGCTATACTATTAAATAGTCCTATTTATTCTTCCAATCCAAAATATAAATATCTCTTAACAATACTTTGCATGCTTACAAAATCTTTATTCTAATAAAATTATATATATATATATATATATATTCTTTTTATCCTTAGTTTTAAATTATAATAAGTGAGAAGAAAGTCATAAATAAGCAAACATGAGAATTCAAGAAATATTCTTTCAGTTTTAAAATATAATACACTTTTAAGCAAAGTTACACAAACCCATAAAATTCATTAATTATAGTTTACAACTTTAATTTTTTCAAAACAAAAATATAAATTTTTAAAATACCCTTTATTTAATGATCCATTTATGAAAACATGTTAAAAAGAGAAAATATAATAAAAATGATAATATTAAAAAAGTATCATTAGTAAAACCTTATTTTTCTCAATGTGTTTATATTTTGAGATATCAAATCTCTCCTAAAAGTATTTTATAATTTAGGGTGGATGTAGTACAAGGAATAAAATGAGGAAAAAAATTTCTTGCAAATATTAAGGTTCTTATATTTTAAACCAAGATTAGCTTGTAAAAAATACTGGTATTTTGAACAGGAGAGAGTACCCATTAATTTTATCTAAAAATTCAATAAGTTAGTAAGTCACTAACTTTACCTATATCAAATGTACATATTTTAATGATGTACATTCTCTCATCAATATTTAATAGAATATAAAGGAAAAAGTCATAAAAATTTAATAATGTAATTTATAAATAAGATATAAAATTTTTTTTCTCTATTTTATAAATAAGATGAGATGGAGTATTAATAATTTCTTAATTTTTTAAATATTTATTGAATTAATTTAATATTAAAATTTAGGTTAAAGCATATTTTTAATTCTTTAACTTTATATAAAATTTTAATTTAATTTTTTAATTTTATATGATATTTTTTTAATTCTTTAACTCTCACATGTTATTTTTAGATAATTACTTTTAATATAAATCATCATTATTTTTAAAAAAATTAAATTTAACAAGTAAATATTTAAAAATATTTTATTAATGTTGAAAAGTTTAACCTAAAAATTTATTGAGATGAAACTAATGATAATAAAATTATAAAATTAAAAAATATTTTATAAAATTAAAAGGTTAAAATAAAATTTTATATAAAATTAAAGAATTATATGTATATTTTAATTTAAAATTTTTTAAAAAGTTTTTTAACAGTAACATCTGATCATGGAACAGCAAAAGGTGTTCATGGGCATTGTTGGCAGCACATTACTGGTTCTTTATTCGTTCATTCTCATGGCTCCATTTTCCCGGAAAATAATCACGGACTGGAAATATAAAAGTTGGTTGAAACGTTATCAGGCGCGAGGGAAAAAGAAAGAAAATAAATAAATAGATCTTTTCATTTTGGTGCTCGGAGAAGACGACCTTGAAAGCTGAAACCATGAACGTAGAAGAAGAGGTTGAGCGACTCAAACAAGAAATAAAGAGGCTTGGCCAGGCCCAGCCAGATGGCTCTTACAAGGTACACAAAAGGATTCTCTTTTCTATTTAATCTTGTTTTTGAATCTTTCAGCACTCGATGCAGAGTTTGCTGATACGAATCTGATATTTTGTTTTGTGGATCTAGATCGTGGGTTCATGTATTGATTTGCTCCTTGCTTTTTACTAGTTTATTCTATATTACTTGTTCCTAGCTCTGGATCTATGTACGCCCTTTGAAACGATCCTAGAAGATGAGAAATTGGGGTTTAATTTTACCATTATGCTCAGATCTGAAACTGAGCTAAAATCTGGTGGGATGCTAAGTTTTGGAACCTATATCAATAAGAAGGGACGAAGTACCAACTGTCTTTGCCATAATGGTGAATGGTGATATACTACTGCAAGAAACATTTACGTTTCCTTTGTATCCAGAAGCTTTTCGTTCTATTTAATCTTCTGTCTTGTATTCACTGTCATTTCTGGCCCCTTTAGTCTATCTAAACAAACAGATAGAAGAACATCGCAGGAAGAAAAGTTAAGGTGTTGATTTGATTCTTTGAGCCAGCAAGGCAAACACTGCATGATCTTAATTAAATGGGGTAGCAGCCTTCAGACAGTTTGCTTTGTTTATATACTGATATACATTCATACATTTGCTTACATAGAATAATGCATCAATCAAGGGAGTGTGTTTCTGAGTCTTCTTCAATCAAATCATCTATATGCAAATTGTAGCAGCACATTGTTCAACTTTAATCTTAATCTTGAGTTGGACTTATTTTGCTGACAAAACCAGTAGCAGAAGTGGACAAAGCAAGTCAAGAATGGATTTTACTATAAATTAGACATGTTTTCCCTGTATGGTAAAAAGTTAGAAGAATGGGCTGCATTATTCACAACTTGTGAATAGTGTAACTTACCGTAGGTTTTATATTATACATTGAATTTAAGCACATGGACATGTGACTTATCCATGATTGATTTGGTCTACAATTTGATCTTTACAAGAATTTCTCAACTAATACAGTCACAAGCTAATGTACTTTTGGAATTTGTCACCAATCTCTTGTGACGAAAAAGACATGGCTTGTATTCTGAAGGTCACTTTTGGCACGCTGTTTAATGATGAGCAATGTGCAAATATATTTGAGGCACTTGTGGGGACACTACGAGCAGGGAAGAAGAGGAAAGTAGTGGCATATGATGGCGAGCTTCTGCTTCAAGGTGTCCATGATAATGTCGAGATCACGCTCAAGCCAACTGATGCACCTGTGAAGAGTTAAAGAGTACTCTTAGTCCTGAGAAATTCTTGGGAATAATATAATTCAGTACATTCAGTGGATGGGGATTCAGTCTGCACAAGTAAGGCTTTAAGCTTTATTATAGTGTTGAAAATAATCCTTGACCATTCCTTGTGTGTTATAATTTCTCTTCTGTTGCTTGAGTCTCTTATGGTTTGTGTAATGCCATTTCATGTGTGGACAAGTGTTTGTATGGTAAGCAACTCTCATTAAGTGAGTTTACTCAAAACCACTGTGAGTTTGAGCTAAATATGAGTGTGAGAAAGATGACATATCAGAATGGTAACAATTATGATGTGTTAATCCACGTGATTCTTTTCAGCATCCTTGTCATTTCTTTGAGCAAATTATCAATATGAATATATAAATATAAATGTTATAGCAAATCATACTAGGTATAATTTATGAATAATAATATGACTTATTGTATCTCTTGCAACTTTTGGAACCTACTTTTCAAATTTATCTAGAAATTGTATTTCCCTACTAAGACATTGAACAGTATGATCTATCCATTACAAATAATTAAAATAAGAGATGGATAAAGATCCAATTGAAAAATTCTTCCAGATTTTTGAGTGCAACTTTCTGATGCATTCTTGAGGGATTAAAATATGCAGTTACCAGTTCCCATATTTTAGTATGTCAAGATATTAACCCTGGTGAAAAACATTTGTATGATGCACTACCAGTTGGAAAAAACAGGTCTTTTGTAGATGTTATTACTATAAGACTTTCATTTGTAGGCCTCTAATTTTAAAAATTAGCTGAAGTTACTGTTGATAAAAAGGAAAATTAATCTCCATAATTATGGAATATAAAATCTTTGGAAGTGACAAGCAATTAACTTATGATATGTGTTAGAAAATTATTCATTAAGGGTTTAATGCCATTAAAGATGATATGAAATTCAAAGATAAAATTTTTGGCAGCTTATGAACATTCACATACCAGTTAATGGAACTTTGCTTGTAATTGCAAAGACATGCATTACATGCACATCACATTTAGATCACTTTCAACTCTTCATATTTAACATCAGATTTTAATATTTCATTTCAAATGATACAGAATGTAAAATAATATCAATTATTTTCGTGAATGATTTTTCTTTTTCATTTTTTTTTTCTGGCATTCTTCTTAATCTCAACCACTGTTCGACCCATATAACTAATGGGGCAAACAGATGACTAACAAATCTTAATTGGACCGTAGCTTTGGTTATTATTATCATTATCATCTTTTCGTGAGGCTGGATTCTGTTGTTGGACATATTCCTCATGTTCTCTAAATTTTTTAAATAGAAAGAATAATTTTTTTATTCTATTTATAAACCAAACTAAATTTGTCACAATTTTTTTATTTTACCCCTAACAGATATTTGTGGGAAAACATATTATTAAAATATTTATATTTAGTATAAATATAATTAAAAACTTGTTAAATTTTTAAACAAAGCTAATAAGTTTCAAAATTTTGACTTGATTCTTGCAGAACATATTAGAAATAACTCATAAATTTGAATCAGAAGAGCAAATAATGTGTGGGCTGAAGCAAGATTTTGGCGCTTGAAGGAGAATCTCTACCTTCCCATGTGCGTGGAGAGGAGACATCGTGCTTTTGTTTTGATGTTTTGAATGCTACTTCCTGCCATTTTGGTTACTCTTTATAGCTTAGATTATTAGACATCCACTCTCGATTATTTTCTACAAGTGAGCAACAATTCTAAAACTGGGTTCCATCATCCAAGAGAACAATACTGTCCGATGAAGGCTTACTAAATTATTCCTACAGAATCAAGTGGTTGTGGGATTGAATCAGTACAAAAAGTGGGCAAAATGCTCAAGGTGAATTCAATTAAGCGAAAAATGCCTGGCAGGGCTTGATACAAGACCTAATATTTCCATCTTTAATGTACATAAAAAAGTGGGGAAAATTGGTTGAAAGGGCAAGGAAGAAGGCCATCCCTGGGGGCTTCTGTCATGAAGAACCTGTCAGAATAAATGCTTGAAGAAGGCTCTGAGCTGCTTGGGTTTCATCAGGCGTACCGGATATAACAATGGTCCTGTCTCTTGTTCCTGGACGTGGTTCGTGGACAATAACCTTGGCACCTGAAATCTGATTAACAGAATAACTTGTTTAAGTCAGAGAAAAAGATTAAAAGCACCCATAATATGCTCATAGAGCAACAGGCTATTCTAAATATGGCGTTTTTAGGGTTCAAACAAGATTTAATTGACTAATGATGATTATTCTCTCCAGTTGGGGTTGTTGGAGGAGCAAGCGGTCAGTTCTCACAAGTACATCACTTCAAATAGAGCATCATTTTTTAAGTCGTCCCATAATAGACTTTAAGACAAATAAAAAAATCCTGAACTCACTTGAGTGATTGCTGGATCTTAAATAGGTCGTTCAAAATTAAATTGACTTAGTCATTATTCGATCACAATTATGTAATTAAAAATATTATTATGTAGTTTTGAGGTACTATTCTCAAGTTATGCCTTTACTTATGGGCTTGTAAACACTTGGCCTACCATCTTAACTATAAAACAGAAGCTTCTATACAAGTCAAAAGTCATTTACTCCTCCAAACTAAGGATTTTCTCATCCTTCGTCTCCATAGTTTTAGGGATTACCAATGCAAGTTCACAAGGGTCAACGTAAGGAGCTGATGATAAACTACTAAACAAGAAACATTGCATATGTGCATATTCTTCTGAGTTCATACCTTTCTCAAACGAGCCAAATTGCTACCATTTTCCCCATAAACTGAGCCAATAACATCATCAGGAATAACAATTTCCACAGTTGTATTAGTCACCATAGCTATTTTGCTTCCGCTGTGGGGGAAAAAACACTCATCAGGAGTCTGCTATAGACTCTTGAATAAGCAACAACTTTACTCTAAGACAAGGGTAAACAAAAAGCAAATGTGCCAGAATCCCAGAATAACTGATGTGAAATGGAATGGTAGGCGGTAGTTTAAGTATAATAATAATGATGGTAGTGTCATGCAGTTTTGTTGTAAGCACCACTGAATTTGCAGTTTTGTTGTAAGCACCACTGAATTTGGGTGTCCAAACAAAGGGTCCAATTAACATTAACATTACAGCATGGCAAAACAACGTGCAAAGAGTGCTGGTAAAACTCGGGGCAAATTTTGTGAAAACCAGATTGAACTGGTTAGTTACTGCTCCAACTGTAAATTAGCCAGGAATATGTTCGATCCAGACAGAACCTGGCTCTGGGAAAACCACTTGCCATTGAACCAGATAGAACAACACTGAATCAGCAAGTTTTGGAGAACTTAAAACTGTCACAAGCTAACAAGTGATGATGCGGCGACCGTTTAAGGCTGGTCTCTAAAAAGAGTTGGAAGGGTTACACGCAAGAACAGTACCTGTTTCTCAGGTTGCTTGGTGAACCACCCAACAAAGAGACCAATGCCTCTGCTGGGATTACTTTGTGGAAACATTCTATTTGATAATAATATTTAATGCATTTTATCATATTTGATCAAATACAGTAAAAATATATAATATATTAACCATTTGATACTTTCATGTCTTATTAATGTGTTGTCATTATATCATATTGAGATGAATTTAGATGATATGATTGTATATAATAAATCATAAAATATGAAATGCTTAAAAGATTCTAAGAAAGCCTATAGTTCATTGTACTTCAAATTATAGCTTTGCATTCACACCAAGTCTAATGGACATGTTCGAGTATCACCAACCTGCCAAGTTCTAAGCCACCTTTTAGAGAAGTGAATCCCCTGCCAACATCATTAATGCCTCTCGAGTTTATCCCAGAAACCGTCTGCAATCAAATTTATTGATATAAATAGGGAACAAATTGAAAGGGAAAAACAGACAGTAGAAAGAGAGGAATACCCGTGGTGCCCATGACCCTGGTGAAGAGGGATGATCTAAATAGCGAGAAACAACTTGTTCTATGTTTTGAGACATGGTATGTCTACTCAGACTATGAGAAGGACCAATGGCTGGTTGGACACCAATAGAAACAGGTTCCCTCAATCTCCCATGAGGGCTGGTATCAGGTAATACAGATGTAATGGTTTTTGTTCCTACACTGTTCTGTGTGCTGGAAAACAGATTATCTCGCAATCTGCCAGTTGCATTATACAATGCATCTTGAACATTTGAAAACTCTCCTGATATCTGAGGGGACAAAAGAGGATACAGTTAACCGAATGCATTGGGCCTCAGTGTGCGTGTTTAGAGGATTTTTTTTTTTTTTTGGGGGGGGGGGAGGAAGGGGTTTATAAAACTCAATACTGTGGGAAAAAAATAAAGTGGTTATTTTGTCAGCTTCAAATCACTGCGATGGGAGTGTTTATAGACAATAAGAATCGATATGTGCAGCAATGTTGTTAAATCTCCTGTAGCAGAATCTTGAAAGAGTTCAGGAATTCCATGTTTATTACATCCAGGAAACCGTTGGTTAAAGTCGTATAATTTCGTAAATTTTTTTATTTTTCTTATTGTTGATAGAGATGACAGTTTGCATAATTAACATGTGCATCATTATCGATATTATGCAAACCATTAACATGTGCATCATTATCGATATTATGCAAACCATCTTTTGGCTTGTCTGGAAGACAATAATAGATTTCCAGTGAAGATTATACAAGTATATAAAGGAAGAACAAGAAATAGCTTCTACTCAATTTCAAGCCTTTATGTGGCAGTTGTCATATAACTAATGCATGCACCAGCAAGTTTGGCTAGTCTAAAGATGAAAACTATAATACAAACCCATAAGGATGAGGAAGAAACAGCTACTCCTTCAGTATCAGACTCCTCCAAATAAGAGAGAAAGGATGACTTACTAAAGAACACGTGAAGGGAAAAATGTGCTCATTTAAGGCTTATAAAGATAGAATGTTTGGACATCTAGGAAGTTGACATGATGAAATTAAATGAAAAGTCTAACACTAAGATGTTGCCTGGATTTATAAACAGTAAACTTTGAACACAGACACAAGGCACACCCTATCTGTTAATTACTTCAAGTCCAACCAAGCATATTATGAGAGGGGGAAGGGAAAGAGCAGTTTATAACTGAAAAAGGAATAAAGGAAATATCAAAATCCTCAATAAAAGAAAGGCTTTAGAAAATCGGCTCTATAGGTCACTAATTCTAGGTCCCGTTTTTCTCCAAGATGAGCGACACACCTAATTGCAAAACAAAAATCCTCACTTTATACATAAACAGGTAGTAATCTGCATCCACATTGGAGAACGTATGCTGGACCTACTTCAAATGGATACTGATCAAAGATAATTCCCCCTCTGAACTAAGGAATCTGAACCAGTAGTAATATGAAATGCTCCACAAACAATCACTATTTGCTACTTCAAATAAATCACTAAACTTCCTACAGTAATTATGACTCAGTCAACTGCAATAGGCAGATTTGCTGGAATTTACCTAAGTCAGAGATGTCCTCATGCTTGTAGTGTATGGCAGATATCAATCGAAAGTACTACTAGCCATGAAATCAAACACCAAGACACATTTTTCCCCAACTTCATTTCATAATTTAACAGCCTAGAGAAGGAAAATTGATGGCAATACAAAGGGGCACTAATAAATTGCAATTTCCAGAAAATATGTCAAAAGAGTGGAGGCATAAATCTCAAATTGACATCAAATACAACATAAAGGTTCACGATTTTTCAGAAGAGAAATTACATGGTGCCAATGATTTCGGTGAAGAATTTATTTAGAGAAATAATAGTGAAATTTAAAGACAAATGGGATTCCTCAACATAGTTTGATTGTACAAAGCAAAGAAGAAATGATATGCAAACCTGTACTAACTGCTCATTATGTGATGCGCACTTTGGAGCCTGATCAGTCCCCATTATTTTTATACAGCACCAGTTGCCTTCCGCATTTCTGTAATTATTGATCCTCCTTTTCCCAATAAACAACCAACATGGTTTGATGAGACCACAAGTCTTGCAGTAACACTTGACCCCTTTGATCCTGAGTCTAGCCCCTTCTCAATGCCTGCTTCAACAGTCCTGGAGAAAACAAGGACAATGGCCTTCTGTGCTGGGGAATATCTTGATTCAAGGTTCTGCACAATTTCGATAAGCCATCAGAAAAAAAAATTATGATTATAATAATAGCAATACAGATGACAAGCAATTATAACAAGCAGAGGTAAAAGTGAAATCGCAATATTTAACAAACCTCAGAAGCAGTAACAGTAATCAATCTGTCATCACATTCTTCCACCAAAGGACCAATACTTATAGTAGCCCCAGTCTCATTCTGAAGGGCCCTGACAATACTTCCACCTTTTCCAATTACACCACCAACCCTATCATTGGAACAAAGAATTCTAAAGGAAACTTCCTGCTTATGCGTTGCTGGATCCAGGGGTGAGACTCTGTTTACCTCAGCTGACAGTGAATGAACTCCTGAAGCATAGTTGTTAGGTATAGTAGATACCACAGAGCCTCTCTGCAGAAGATGGTCGGCATGCAGATTAGATAAAGTCTCACGTGGAACTACAGTTAAATTGTCATGTGGAATGCCAACTAAGCTTTCATGCTGAACCACTTCATGGGGCTTGCTTCCCATCATCTTTGACCTGCTCGGTGGAGGAAAATCTTGAAGACGGCGAGAAACAGCAAGAAGTGCCTTCTTTACAGGCTGCACATTGCCTTCTATCTGCCATAACATGAGAATAACTTTCCTTAATATGAAAAATAAACAATGGATTTTATAGAAAGTGAAGCTCAGTAACCATCACCACATACTATCATCAGTCAGTCAGGAAATGTCACAATTCTAAGCCATTAAATTAGAAGTTCAATTCCACACTTCACCTACTAGAACACACTTATTCTATGAAAGGAATAATCTAATTTTTTAGACATGGAAATTACTCAATTAGTTTATGGCTACCTTCCAATTCCTCTACAGCAGTGTCAAAAATAGCTGTGAAGCTTTAAACCTGATTGATCACACAAATTATCCCAATAATGAACTAGGCACACATGTTCACTACCAATATAAACCAACCAATCCAAGAAGTAAAACATTCATGTTTTAGAGAATTAATATTCAGAAGGAAAAACTATCTTGCTGCCAAGCCCAGAAGATAGACATATTTTAAAATGAGACAACTATTTATATAACAACTCCCTTTGTGTCCTTTTTTTTTTTTTGAAAGGCCAGCATTGCAGCATGATATCAACGCACTATATAATTAGAGTTTGATTGTGTGCAGAAGCCAATAAATACAAAATCTAACCCTTAATGGGCAAAATAGGCTTACCATCTCAAGTTTGCATAGTTTCATCATGTCAATGATTAGCTAAATCACAAATTATAGCCACATCTCTCAACGGTAATCACAATCACATTAATCATACATTTCCCTTGGTGTATATTGTCACATCCAAGAATTTAGTTAGTTGACATAAACTAACTGAGGATTAGTGTGAGGGCAAATTAACTAAGAATAAAAGACCATATGGAAATTTTATTAAGGAAGATTCAGTAAAATTAATTAGGAATAAAATCCCCATGGTTCGCATTTAATTAAAAAAATAGAAAATATCCTCACTTTTCTAATGCATATTAAGTAATAAGGCCCGTTACAAATTGTATTAGGATGAACCAAGAACTTCAACCGCTCACTCTTTGACCACCACCAAGCAAGTCCACTCACTCTTTGACCTGCTAAGTACTAACATCACCAACTCACTCGTCCTCTTAATTCATCACTTCCCACTTTAGCCCCAGAGAAAGAGAGATGCAACTGAGCAGGGAAACTCCAAGCTCCAAGGCAACTGACTTTGAAACCTTGCACGATTATCAACTCAAATAAGGACATCCCTTTTATAAACAAGAGGTTGTAATTGGGAAGTACCACAACAAATACCACTTTTGCTAGTGTGGGACGTTAATTGGGAGAGGCAATTCAGGTCCCAGAATGACTAATACACAGCAACAGTTTTTCAAATTTCAATGCTAGTTGAGGACTTTATAGCTATATTTTGCTTTTCTTCAATCAAATCTTGTTTTAAACCAGCTGATTGTGAATTAGTCAAGTAGAAATGGTCCATTTAGTTCCTAATGAAAGCTCAGTTGCCAATAATATGGTCTGCTTCAGTCATAACTTTAGATTAAACCACTTGTGACTTAAGGGAAGTTAAATTGTAAGTCATTGGATGCCTAGCTTAACAGTCTTGTCAAAAACCAGAAAATTTGAATCAGAGCAATATTTTTGAGTTGGTCTGTTCATGGGGGTAAATAAACCTCAAAACGAACTAAAATTTCAGTAATGATGTAGATAACATGTGAAAAGAATAGTATGCCAAATTTGGTGAAAATTATAGTGTCCCCAAACCATCACCAAAAGTTAGCGTAAATGGCATTTTTGTGCTTAGTGATAGGGTCAACAAGGAGCATTGCCAGTGCCACCCCATGTTAAATAGCAGTGCTCAGGCTCCAATTACTTAAGTCATAGAAATTGCGTGAACTGCATCCTTGATCCTAGGTTTCATTACCAAACGGGTGAGTGAGGAATTTTACAGTACCAGTGCTTTCTCCTGTCCTTTAACTGTTCTTTGTGCAAGGACAAAGAAACTTAGTTTAAATTAGGCTAACATTGCTTTTAACACAAAGAAACTTAGTTTAAATTAGGCTAACATTGCTTTTAAACAGAATTGGGTACTCAGTAAATGAGACAACTAGGAGTTGGATCCAAAAATGAACTCAGGTTTAAGTCGTGATGATTAGTTAGATAATAAAACGTTTTATATTTTTTCAAAAAACTCATTATGCAAATTAAGATTCTGTGTTACTACAACTCTGATTTTTTGATAAAATCCAAGTTGGGCACTTTTAGATTAACGTTGTACATGTATGATGCCTCAAAAAGAACCAAAGGTTGAGGGAACTAGTTCTCCAAACCCAACCTATCTGTGCCCATGGCCCTAGACAAAGACAACAAACCCAAACTCCATCCTAACCTTCATCAAGTTGAGTAAAATAAAAATTATTTAATCTCAAGCATCAACAATGCTTTCAGACTTTATCAGCAGAATATATTAATAGAAAGATCCTAATTCCTCCCAAACCACCAATCAACTGCAAAGTCATGAACCCTATCAGTGATCTGCCACTCTCAACCCCTAGACTAGAGACCATGTCCTCTTTACTTACTTCAGTTGGAAGCATTTTCACATCAGGATATCTTGAATTTTAAATATAACGATTCTTAAATTAAAATATTATACAAACAACTCCCCTCGGCAGTTTAGTGAAGCCCAAACCCATAAAGAACTCTAACTCATTCACAGTATTAAGTTGTACTGTCATGTCTTGAGTCTGCTTGACGCTACGCTACATTAGTTATGAGGCAGGTTAGCAAAACACTACACTACCATAATTTCCTATATGAAGAACCGGCGTTAATCATCTTACCTCAATCATTTCGTCGGACGGGGCAGCGCAAGGTGACAACTTTTCCGCCAAAACTTTAATTTTACATCCGCTGTCCTTCCTAATCTTCTCCACCACCTTCCCTCCCTTCCCAATGAGCGGTCCAACCTGTGCTTCATCCGCCAGCAGCCTACAGGTCACTACTCCATCCCCCACTTTAATGCCGTCAGTCTCCGCCGCAACATCCAGAATTCTCTCGAACACCTTCAGCAGTGCTTCCTGAGCTTTTGAGACCTCAACAGCTTCTTCTTCGCCCCCGCCATCTCCATCATCGTCATCCTCCTCGGCCGGCTCCGAATCCGAATTTTGACTCTGGTGTCTTAGAAAAACCTTGCCGCTGAGAGCACCCGGAGCAATGACAACAATGACCCTATCCGGCGATTCGGATGGGGCATCTTCGACGCGGATCTTAGCCCCGGTAACTTGCTGGAGGTTCTGTATGACAGAACCAGACTTGCCAATTACGCCGCCGATTCGGGAAGCTTGGCAGAGCAATCGGAAAGCAACATGGCCCGGAGGAATACTGAGGGGTGGCGGTGGATGCTTGGACTTGGAGCGCTTGAATGACCCATTTGCTGCATACGGGTTCGGGTCGGCCAAACCAGTTTCAGTGTACAATATCGAACGCTTCTTCACTGGTGGAGCGACAAAGCTGCTTCCCATAATCCTATCTGTCTCTTTCCTCCTCTCAATCTCTCTGGGATCCACACACTCTCTAAGAATATTGAATACCTAAAAATAACGTAAATGCATGCAATTTCTCTCTCTCCCACAGTCCCACCCTAAATTATTTGTAGTTTTTTTCTTCGTTTATCATTTTTCCCGGCTCGACGGGAAGAGAAGAGGAAAAGGGAGAAGGAATGGGTTTAGTTTTGGAATTTCGTCTGCTAAAATGCGCGGAAAGAGATGGATGCGATGCGCAGTACGCCTAGGGTTTACGAAGGCTTCGACAGCTCGAACCTCAAACCTTTGTTTCAGCCTGAGGTTGCTCGGCCGTGAAAATGATTTTTTAAACGTTTTGTTAATGTTAATAGAGCAGAATATAATGAAATCCTTCCGTCTTGCTAAAATTATAAAAGCTGTTTTTATTTTTGTAATCTTTAATATATTAGGAATAGGAATATTTTGCTAACAATTCTAAAATATATAATTTTTTTATTTATAATTATGTTAAAAATTATAAAAATTATTAGTTTTCCCTTATATTTAATCGTTTATTCTCTTTCCCAATTTAAAAAACCTTAAATGGTTAACTATGTCAATATTTAAATAAGTAATTTAAAATTGTTGTGTTAAAATTAATAAAAATTAAGGAAAAATAAACATAAATTATGCTGAGTAATTTATTATATTAAATTATTATTTCATAAATATTTAAACTAAGTTTTTTAATATTATTTTAGTCAATTTATGTATATAATTTTTTTCTAAAATTACTCAATAAATATATTTACATTATTAAAATTTAAAATATAAATTAAAAAGTAAAAAATATGCATTAATATTTTTTGGTAATTTGAATAATTTTTAGATAATATTTATATTTTAAAGAAGGATCTTTTAATCCAATATATGTAATTGTCGACTAACGGTTAAATGGATAAAAATAAAATTTTAAAAATAAAATAAATGTTTGTATTTTGTAATTACTCATATTAGGAAAGATTCATATATATATTTTTAAAAATAGAAGGAAAGTATATATGTAATTAAAATAAAATAGAGGGAAAGTTAGAGTATTTTATTCTTGTTATTATGATTTTTGATTTTGATTTGCATTATACTCCCTCCCTACTGAATTATAATAGATAGCTTTAAGTAATTTTGTTATCCTAATGAGTATTAAATAATTTTAAAAAATAAGTTAATTTAGGAAAAATAGCGTTCTATTAATAATATTTTTTAATATTAATCTTTAAGTGAAAAAAAATTAAAATGATATTATAGTATTAAATCTATATGAACATTTTTAAAAGTTTATACTTGTATTTTAAAAAAATTGTATGACTTATTTTAGATATTAGAATATCTTAACTTGTACTTTAGAACATATGCATGTAATATTACAATGAGTCCAATCAAAAAAAATGTAAATGTTGGCCAAAAAAAAAACTCAGTAAAATTCAAACTTAAAAAAATAGTCAATCTTTAAGTGAAAATACTTCTAGGCTGCAACCCATAATGGTCGAGTACATATTATTATTATTAATATTATATATAAAATTTGAAATATATAATTTGAGGCAATAAAAATTTTAAAAATATATTGTGGATATCAATTCAAACTATAACAAGAATCTCATATGCAAAGTGAAAGTTATATTTAAAACTTTATTTATTGGCAATTTGAGACTCTTAAAGTTATAATTATAATTAAATGTTTGTTTGCTCAGTGAAAATAAATGAAATAAAATGTAATGAATTAGAAAAATAAAAATAAAAACAAATTAAGGAGGTGTTTAGTGAGAGGGAAGAGAAGATGGGCGATTTTGCCCCCTCCTTATTTTATTTGAAAAATTAAAAGGAAGAAAAGGGAAATTTTTTTTAAGATCTCCCCTCCCCTCCAAATTGGAGAGATTGGAAAAAGAGGGGTAAAATTTTTTATACCCTAATTAATATGTCTTTTATGATAAGTTTAAGAAATACAAATATATTTTTTCAATATCTCAATATTAATAAAATGAGAGTAAAATTATTCATATATAATTTATTTTTCTTCCTTCTTCTCCTGAACTAAATAAAGTAAACATTAAATCCCCCCTTCCATTCGTTCGAACCAAATACACCTTAAATTATTTAATCTCTCAAAATAAACATGAAAAAAACTTAATATCACATATTTTAAAAGTAAAAATCACCACACCCATCACAAATCTTAAGAATCATGACTCATAATCTCATAAACTAAATTAATTACTCATTTCTTCTCATGTGAACATGGTTAATTTCTCTCTTTTATTTTTTATATTTATTTTTTAATCAATTTCATTTTATTTCAGCAAGCAAATGGCCATACAAGAGGTGACATTTACAACTTGTTTTTTAAAATTTTTTCTCCAAAATCTAATAGTCATTAAATTAGCATCCCACCGTCAATCTCCCATTGACGAAAAATCATCATTTTATAGTTTATTTCATGTACTAAACAATATTTTTAATTTTCTAAATATTTACATTTTGTTAGGTTATTGCATCAAAATTGTTTAAAGTTTTAACGAAACAAAATAAAATACTTTAATTTTTTACGAGCTCTTCTTTTACATATGCTTGGATATATTTCTATGATTTTTCAGAAAATAATAGTTAAAAACCTGCCATTTTATATTAATTATGACAGCCCTAACATAATTTAAAAATTAAAACAAAACTATTCAATTAAAAAAATTGAGTGAACACTTTGCATGTACAAACAGAACAAAGGATGCATCGTCACTGTTACTGATGAAAAGGTTCAAACAACACATAATACGACAATCTCTTCAGAAATAGGAACATTCCTCAAATACTGTTTGCTTCAACTGGATTTACAGATATCAAGGTCGTCTCCTTCCCACAAGGCAAATTTGAATTTACGACCTCATGAATTATTGGCCAAAATTTTGTTAAATAAATTAATCTTTGTTGGTTTCTCGATTTCTTATTTATTAACAAGTAAATATACTGTGGATTTATTGTTTATATATATATATATACACACGTATATATACATGTATCATATGTATCGATATGAATTAATCGGTGTTATCAGATACAATCACACCAAATGGAAAGCCAAAAAAAAAAAAAAAGGATAATTATTAACACAAGTAATGGTCATTGGAAAATGCATAGAATCAGCTGGTACTCTCGTAGCATTACTGACAGCGAATCAAAATTGCAGTCCATGATCAAACCTCATAACCAGGATTGACTTTTTGTTGAACATCTCCATAACTCTCCAACTCTTCCATATCTTCCAAGCTCCCCAGAAACAGAGGAAGTCTTTGATGCAGTTTAACAGGTTGAAGTGAAAGAATCCTATTTTTCCCATCAGACCCTCTTCCCCCAGCCTGCTCTACAATGAAACTCAGAGGGTTTGCTTCATAAACAAGACGAAGATGATCCCTTGGATTCATTGCCACACCACCATACATCAAAGTTCTGTGCAGATCAGCCACCAGAGAACATATATACCGTGCCGAGTACTTCTTTGGATTTTTACCTTTCCCTTGTCTCACGGTGTCTATATATCGCCGCAAACCTTCAGGCCAGTCGAAGTATCGAGCATCATTCACAGAATAGATTTGCCCTGCAAGCCGAAAACTATGCACATTAGCCCTCACAAATGACACAGGAAAATGCAACTGTGTATAGGACCACATAATTAGGTATGCGGTCTACTAATCCACTTCTCTCTCTCTCTCTCTCTCTCTCTCTCTCTAAATTCTAAATGCAGTTTCTGTGTTCATTTTGTAAATATGGAAGATCAGTTTGATGATGATAGCCAACCAACAAAAATTTGCCCAATGTAAACATGTTAAAGGCAAGTCACATTAACCGAGGGGAATGCTTGATTAAATTGATTGAGGGAATTGAATCAGTTTATCTTGAACTTTTGAGTTCAAGTCTTAGGATATGCAACCACATTAAATAAAAAGCCAAAGGCATCCTCAAAATAGCCATGAGATTACCGTTGGTAATAACAGTCCCACACAGCAAGGGCTCAAATTAGCTTAGGCAGGTGGTGATAATACTCCTAGGTTTCCCAAAATATCATGCAATGTAATTAAAAAAAAAAAAGGCAAGTCAAATTATGCTTGACATATTTACATGTCTAAATATGTTTGACATATTTACATGTCTATGACTACATGCTTAGATAGTTCAGTCTACCTAAGATGATCTCTCTAACCACAAGTGAAAATGCAATGAAACAGAGATATTTCATATGACTAATCATAACTCAGAAATATCCACCAAATAATAACAAGGGTCAACACTAGAACTATTAGATTCACGTTAGATATGGGATATGTAGGTATGAGTGTTACCACGAGGAGGAATTTTGATGCTTGGATTTGTTAGAATGAAGTCTCCTGTTGAATGATCAAGAGTGAATGCCTGTGTCCCTGAACCAAAGGTGGTGCATAGAATAGTGGCAGATGAATAGAGAACATAGCCAGCACCAACCAACCTTGTCCCACTCTGAAGTGAATTAAGCGTAGTCTTCTCCTCAATAGGTAGGTTATCTAGTTCAGTGAGGCGCTTATATATGCCAAAAATTGTACCTGTTGGAATGGATGCATCGATATTCCGAGAACCATCAAGGGGATCTGTTACCACCACATAAGGACCATCATCACTTATCCAGATCGGATTATCATTTTCTTCAGAAGCCATGACAGCCACTTTTCCAGAATTTTTTAGTGAAGACAAGATAATTTCGTTCTGCAATAATTCATTGCATGAGAACTGATCAATCAGTCACTTTCTTTTTTCTTGTGTTACAATAACATCCAGATGATTGAAAAATTACAGTATTGAATAGGTAAGGCAGAATGCCAGAAAAGAACTTCTAAAAAGGAAAGCTCAGAAAGGTTATAGATATAAAGCATGCAACACTACATTTTTAAGATAAGATCATTCTAATCTGTGATTGACAATAGTCCAACAATCCAATAATAACTATTATGTATTAAGATTTTAAGATGACATAATTCTATTTCGCAACTGACTGTAGTCTAGGTGATTGGGTTGAATCTGAACCAAGTCCGGATGGCTGCTTGTCACATGTTTAAGAAATTCCCCATTCCAAGTAAAGAATTGTCCCTAATAGGCTTTTGGTCTGGCAAAGTGTATGTAAATCAGTTTAGGACAATAAACTTCAGGACATGCCAAGTAGACATTAGCAATCAAAAGAAAGGCATCCCAATACTATACAAACTAACCTTGAGAGTAATTTGATCAATGCTCTTAGTATGAAACCACAAATTAGAAAATTTCAAAAAGATGTTGGTGACGGTGTGAGGTGTCCTTGTTAAAAGTTATATAAAGAGAACTATTTTTTTTTTTGGGCACTGAACACGCACTTGCATCTCATTTTCATTACAAGCAAGAACCAAAGAAAAAGAGTTCAGTAAGGCATAATTTACAAATAGAGGCCATCACGCCTTCATTTCATCCCTTTATGTTACTCTCCAGCAAACTAAGAAACATGGATACTTATAGCAGATACAAATAATTCAGAAACTTTATCACCACAAAATATGTAGCGTCAAGATGAAATTTGCATTCTCACATTAAGATTGACACACTATTTTGCTCTATACTTAAAGTATCGTTGTTATATAGCTTACCTAACAAGCATATCATTCTCTTCTCACTTTTTGTATAACTAAGTTTAGGTGTGTTGGGTAAGGCTAAGCTCAAAAAATTACCAATCAACTATGAGCACGCTCCTTACCAATAGCTTTTTGTTGGAATTCTCTTCTCGCTTTTAATCCTTATATATCAATTTTACTAAGAAAATCATATTCCTATGCATGCAATGAAAAGCAACATGAAACATTAATAATTAGCAAGCAAGTTCTCTCTGGAAAGACATACCGAGACGATATCAAGCGGCTTCGGAGCATCTCTGTCAGACCCAGAAGCAGCAGCTGAACCGAGACCTGACCGTTTCCCAAGAGAGTAATTGAAAGGAGAAGCCACAAGAGCAGCGATTTGCTTGCAAGCGTACTGTATATGATAGAGCAAAACCACCAAATCATCTTCCACATTGAGTCCTCTCTTACCCACAAACTCCATGAACGAACAAAACCCATCATCACCCGGAGATGAAGAAGAGAAGAACCACCCAGTCCTATCTGTGACCAAACTCGAGAGCCAGAAAGCGAAGCCATTCTTGGTCTGTTGAATGGAAGAAGTCGAGTTCTTGACGGAAGAGTCGAGAATCTCGGACGGAAAGTTGGGAATTGATGCAAGAGTGATGTGGAAGCTGACTGCATAATTAGGAAAATCTTTGTGGGGTTGAGAGCAATGTTGTTACCATCTGAGAATTTGAATGGTTAGTGTCTCGGAGAACACTGTCGCGGCCCACACAGGCTTGAAGCGCCTTCTGCTTGGTCCTCCTCACCTTCGGGCGAGGAAGAATGGTGGCCAAAATAAGCTGCTAAGAAGATTGAGGATAAATATGAAATTTTCGTTTTTGCTTTTTCACAACTCGCCATTGCACTTTCAGTTGATAAATAAACATGAACATCAAATTATCTTCATGGGAAAGTTAATAGGCACATGTGGTGAATAATGGTAGAACTAGAAACATGTAGTAATTAGTTTCATAAGTTTTCTCGCTTCAGAAAAGTGATGATATTTATTTAGTTCGAACAACGTATTTAAGAAGTTGATAGGGTCAAGAAACATGTTAGCACCTGGAACGAACTTAGTTTGATATATATATATATATATATATATTTAAAAATATATCATATTGTATTTGAGAGAACTTTAACAAATATTTTTAAAACTTAAAATAACCGTCAACAAGTTAGACCACGAGCTTTAAAGCTTGTTATTTTTTATTTGCATGGCAGTTGCTATGTTTTTTTTTTTTTGGGTATATGGCACTTGTTATTTTAGTTGACCCTCCTTTCATTTTTCTCCATTTTATCCCTATTAAAAATGTACAAATAATCATCAACATACCAATATTTTTTTTTTTTGGAAATGATCAACACACCAAGTTATAATATTTATAATTATAATTTTTTTTTAAATTCCATGCAATATAGAGTAAATATGTGTGGTTGGGTTACAGACTGTGTGCTTCACCGTTCTCATGCTAAAGAGTCAGTTTTGAATAATTTCTTGTCAGGAATATTAGTGCTACCTTCTTTCATTTGAAATTTAATTTAGTTAGTTGGCTTGATTTAAGGTTTCGAGAGAGACTTGGTTTAACAACTGACATAATACTCCCATGGACTATAGTACAGGGTGTTTTTGGAATTGAATTCTCTCCATACTCTTTCTCAATACACTTCTCCATATTTAATCTCAACCATTCACTTAACTATTGTTTTTTAATGGTGTGAAATTGCTAATTATAGCATGAAAATAAATATAATATTCATTTAATGGTTATTATTAATAAGCATTGTGGTCTTATTTTCAACGGTATTTATTTTAATGTCATAATTAGCAATCTCATACTATTAAACTAAAACAATAATAAAATGAATGGTTGGGATTGAATATAGAGAAATGTATTAAGAGAAAGTATGGAAAGGATTCAGATCTTATGAAAAACTTGTTTGGTTTAAAATATAGAGTATTTGTTAGGTTCTAAAATATTTTTTCCAATTAACACCCTCACTTTATCATATTACATCCACTCAACTAATTAAGGAGAGTGTTTTGAATAAATCAAATGTCATATTTTATTCCACTTGAAAGTAGGATTGAAAATATATAAAGATTTACATAAAATCAATATTTTAACTAATTTTTTATAAAAACAGAAATTAGTTAATAATAACTTATATTGTGATCGAAAGATTATAATACATGATATAATTATTGAACACTTTTCTTTCTTTTAAAAAAAGAACAATGAATGATTTTAGGACTAGAGAAAAAAAGAAAACTTCAGTTAAGTGTCACTATAGAGAATTAATTTTAGGTGGGTTTAAAAATTTTTTAAAATTTCAATTTAGTCAAGGGAAGAAAAGTCAAAATAATTTTAACGGTGAAAAGACTAAAATACCCTTCATTTGTGATATAGAATCACTAGTTATTAATTTTATTACTTGACTTGTTAATTTACGAATATAAGTTGCAAATTATATAAGTTAGCATATCAATAATTATATAAGACTTGGCATTAATTTTTCAATCATAAGTAACGATATCAGTTGTTAAATTACTGACTATACTTGTTAATTGATCAACATCAGTTGTAAATTAGTGACAGGTTTTGTAATTTACTAACATCAATTGTAAATTTTTGATATGTTTTATAATTTACTATTGATGTTAATAAATTAACAAATAAAGTTAAAAACTTAACAACTAATGCTGCTGCTTATATGGCAAACAAATGTAATTTACAATTGATATTGGTAAATTAATAAGTGTAATAAAAAAAATTAATAATTAGTAATTCTGCATAACAAGTTAAAGGTATTTTAATTTTTTTATCATTAAATTTTTTTTAACTTTTCTTCCATAGAGTGAAGTAAAATTTTAGAATTTTTTGGATCCATCTGAAATTAATTTTTTACCGTGATTCTTAACCAAAATTCTTCCAAAGAAAAAAAGAACAGTGTGTGGGGGCATATTGAGGGTGAAGTAAACCATAAAATAAATCTAACTGGTGGATGCTTTTGACTAGTACAGCTGCTTTGCCACAGCACAATCATACACTTAATTGGAAACAAGAGACCAAAATTTTTATGATGGCTGTGAATGCGACGGCAATCTTGAACTTATCTTCACGTTCTTATCCATCACAGGCACAATCCTAGACTTTTGAAACAGAGTCACTTGCTAAATATCAAGGGCCAGAACCCTCCCGTATATTATTCTGTCATAAGACCCCCCCTCTCTCTATATACATATATATGCGCGCGGGCGCAGAAACACCCTTCTCTGAGTACCATAAAGTTGGAAAGGAAGAAGAAATTAAGCAAAGATGGTGTCACAGACAGTTGAGCTGTTGAAGAATGAGATCCCTCTGGAGCAGGAGGCCTTTGTTTTGCCTCAAGACTCTGTGAATGGTCTTGTTCTTGTGGACATCATCAATGGCTTCTGCACTGTTGGCGCTGGAAATCTGGTATCTTCTTCCTTAATTTTCCACTAACCCATCAAATGCCAGCTCTGCTATAAATATGCATGCACAGTTGGATCAAATTAAGCTTGAAAGATGATGATTGGACCATGTTTGTTTGTAGGCTCCAGCAGAACCCAATATGCAGATTTCAGGGATGATTGATGAATCCGCAAGGCTGGCCAGATTGTTCTGTGAGAAGAAACTCCCAATTATGGCGTTTCTGGATTCTCACCATCCAAACAAGCCAGAAGATCCTTACCCTGCTCACTGTCTTATCGGCTCTGATGAATCAAATCTAGTTCCAGGTTTAGGAAATCCCTTGACTTCTTGTTTTTTTTCTTTCTTTCTCTATCAATATTTGATTCAGGTTTCATTCATCCTATCACTAGAATAGATTGTAGAAAGTGTCCATTTTTGAAGATTGGCTATTCAAATTGCAGCATTAAGATGGCTAGAGAGCGAACCAAACGTGACAATCAGACGTAAAGACTGTTTTGATGGATATTTGGGCTCCATGGAAGAAGATGGCTCTAATGTTTTTGCAGATTGGGTTAAGAACAACAACATCAAAACTGTAAGTATATTAAATTGCAACAACATAAAACCTCAAGTGTTGTTACATTCAGGCGATTCAATCAGAAACATCTGATTTTGTGTTGGTGTGAAGTTGGTGGTTGTAGGAGTGTGCACAGATATATGTGTTCTGGACTTTGTAAGTTCCACAATGTCTGCTAAAAACAGAGGGTTTCTGAATCCTTTGGAAAAGGTGGTGGTGTATTCAAATGGGTGTGCAACTTTTGACTTCCCTCTTGATGTTGCCAGAACATGAAAGGAGCTTTAGCTCATCCTCAGGTAAATGAAGCGCGCGCGTGCGCACAACACCCACATACAAACCTTGACATACAGAAAAATGTTTTTGCTGTCTCATATCATATGAATGTTGGGGAGGCACAAAAAAATCCATCAGGTCCGCTAAAATATAACTTGAAGGAATCAAAGTTTTTGATCTTTTCTACTTTGTATGCTCATCTTTTATCTGTACCCAGATTGTAGGGTCATGCATTGTATAGGACCATCTGCAGGATAAGTTGCACACTGCTCATAATTTATATATAATATGATCTTTAGTAGACTTATTACACCCACAGGATAATGAAACCTTTAGATTTTCAAGTTTGTTTCAATTATCTATTTGGTCCCTAAATTTAATTTCTATCAATTTTGTTTCTCATATTTTCTTAAGTTATCATGTTATTTTTTTTTAGGTTTTAAAATACAAATTAGCTCTCAAAATAATTCGATATGTCAAGTATGTTGAAAACTTGATACGCATATGTGGCTTAATAAGAACAATTCAGCTTTCAAGTTGATTTAATTTTTATCAATATAGTCTTTTATGCTACTTTTTGTTTGTTAGTTTTTTTTTTTAAAAAAAGTTGAATATGTTTTTTCACCTAAATAAGTATACTTCTTTTCATTAATCTATGTAATTGTCAACCCAATATTCTGTTACCCATGTCAGTTGATTTTAATAGTGTTACCTCATCTTCAAATAGCAAGGATTAGATTAATAATTGAGGCCAGCTTAAAGAACTGAATTGATAAAAATAAAATAAAATTGAGGAATCAAATTGATAGTTGAGGTAAGCTTAACATATTAAAAATTTTGCTATCCTAAATATATATACATGCACATACATGTTATTCAATGCAAACATTTCTTTAAAGGGGAAAAAGAAGTCACATAGGACTCTAACAATGAATGTGATTTGATTTGTTTTCCAGGAGTTTATGCATCATGTAGGTTTGTACATGGCAAAAGAGAGAGGAGCCAAGATAGCCAACCAAGTTTTGTTTGGTGAAGTGAAACCATGAGGCTATTCAACAAACTTGTCTACTTTGTATTGCCCTTATATATCTCATAGATATGAATATGATGCTTTAATAATGAGCCAAAATGTATTGGTCATTTGGAGATGATTCTTCAGGAGCTTGTATAAATATAATAATCACTGTAGTATGTAAAATTAGACTATATGTTCGTGTTATACATGAAGTTTGAAGTGAATTGTTACTATTTATTTATTTTGTTTATATATGCTGTAAAAAAATGATCATTTAGAAGTATATTTGGTATTTGAATTATATTGTTATCATATCTTATGTAAAATATGTGTAAAAGCAAGATGGTGAGATATACTTGCCACACAGAAAAAATGTTGAAGCCATATTAATTAATATTAGATCTGTAAAAGATATAAACTTGTATAAAATATATGGAGTTGAATGCCTGTCATGCTAATTTAATTATTTGGGTTGTCATGCATTTTAGATATCAGGTCATTTAAAATATGGTTTCTTTGCAGTTACCAATCCTGCTGGCAGCTATGATTATTTGTTGTATATTTAGAGCTCAAATTTAAGACCTTTAATTAAGAGACATAAATTCTTTATTAGTTGATGTAAGCGCCAGATAGTTCTTGAAATAAGCATTGAATTTAAACCAATAGAAGAATTAATTTACATAATAATATAATATAATTTTTTTGTAATTATAATGTACTATTAAACATGCAATAAATTTTTAGACGATTATTTTTTTTTAACCTGATTAAAAGATAATCGTTGTCAAAGAATCATAGCTATAGACATTGACACATTATTCTTTTTTATAATATCTTAAATAAAATATCTATCATATTTTTTAATTCTTATTCTTATTCTTCCCTTCCCATGGTGGTTGTTTTTTTTAATAAATATTTTCAAGAGGGAATATCAATTAGATTCCAAAAAAATTGATTAAAAGACATTGATCTTCCGGACAAAATTTAATGAAAAATAAATTATTAATATTAATTTAAGTAATTATAAATGAAATTTTTTATTATAATTTTAAAATTATATTTAATATTTAAATACTTATTTATAATTATATCGATTGATATTTTAAATTTATTAATTTAATATGTTGGAACCTCATTCCTCTTTTTTTTTTTTTTTTGGTTAATTTTTTAAAGCGTAGTTCACCCGCGAGGCGATTTCCACGAGGCAACACGGAAACGAACCATAGAGAAATCAACTCCAAAGTGCTTTCATTCCTTGACAAGTAAAGAAGCATCGAAGACCGGAAATGTGGTGCAAAGGATCAAGGACAACGAAAAAGCTCGAAACTTTCAAACGAGCTCAAGCTTATGAGAGAGAGAGAGTGAGAGAGAGAGAGAGAGAGATGTGAGAGTGAGTATAGCATTCTGGGTTTCTCCCGATTTTGCAGGTTTTCTTCTGGCCTGGTGAAGCGTTTTCTCGAAGTGCAGAAAGCTCGAGAAAATGTCGAGAAACGAGGTGGGGGAGAGCGTGCCTATTCTTTCTTCAAATAACGGAGTTAGAGCGAGACCGGACCTGTTCTTAGTGGCGTGTAGATGCTTCAGCTTGCTGACCAGTTTGGCTGCCATTCTCTGCATAGTCTTCAATGTTCTATCTGCTATAAGGAGCTTCAAGCACATATCTGGTGTATGTTTGCATCACTATCTCTCTTTTCTAACTTTTACTTTTTAGTGGTGATGGGTGTCATCTTTCATCCTCTACTAATTTTTAATGGTTTTTGTGGGAGTGATTTATAGATTTTCGATGGCATATTTCGATGCTATGCGGTTTTGATATCTTGTTTGGTAGTTCTGGCTGAAACAGAATGGAGCTTGATCATGAAGTCATTCAAGGCATTTTCTCTTCACCAGCCAATTTGCTACGGTTAATGTTAATGTTGTGTTTCCCATAGTCTAATTAGATTTTACTCAATCCTTTACAGGCTTTGGAGTGTTGGCCTTGCAGGGGTATGCTACAGATCTTGTACGTGTTCGGTCTAGTGAGAATTATGATGCTTATATTTGGTTCACTCATCTTTACCCGATTTTTCTTTTTTTTTTTTAATTTTTCCCTTCATTCCCATGACCTTGAAAAGTGTTTGGTTAGTTAAAACAGGCATATTTTAGCAGTGGCCACTAGAAAATGCTGGTATTTATTACCTAAATTAAGTTTGTAATTTGGTGTTGGTATGTAGAATGCTGGGAAATGTTGTGAGAGAAACTGACTTACCATAGAATGAGAAGCTACTTTTAGGTATATCATGGCAGAGATCTTCTTGTTTGGTTTCTGAATTGTGGTTTTCTTTCTGCAGTGTTGCAGTAATGACAAGAGCCTACCCCAATTTTGTTGGGGAGCGAACAGAATCTATTCTTCAGAACGTAGCATGCTATCTGCTTCTTGCTTGTGGTGTACTTTATGTTGTTTCGGTGAGATCATTGGACAGTGTAATTACGCTGTTTAGAGCGTCTTCTTGCCTTTGCGTCCACATGTATGCCAAACTGTTTGTTAGTAAATTCTTTGAAAGGATGTTATTTATATAACTTATTTAGAAAAGCCATATTCATGTTTTACTTTTTCAATTGGCTTAGCAGATATTGAGCAGTGAATGTTTTCTTTGTAGACTGAGGGCACTTAAAAATTCCGTTTATGATGCAGTATTTAAACTTACATACCATGATCTATTGCCCATCGACTTGGTATTTATTTCAGATTGTATATATGATACATCTTTAAACAGGTCTCAATTTTTTATTATTATTATTATTATTATTATTATTATTATTATTATTATTATTATTATTATTATTTTGAGTGAAGATTTCAATTTATTTATTGTTTTATTATTCTCCCTCTTTACTTTTTTCTTTGTTCTTCCTCAATTAGACTGTTGGTCTCTGTTTCTCAATCTTGGAATCAAAGACAAAGCTGACATTATTTATAATAATAATAATTCAAGGGAATCCTATGTATTAGCTTTATGAAAAGTGCTCGGGAACAGAGGGAGACCTTAAGAGAGCAAGCAGCTAAGGATCTGGAGGTAAGCTTTTATGTTAAAATGTGATGATTTCCCCCCTTTAAATTGCACTCTGTTGTCTATGTCATTCTTTGTACTTCTTAATTCTTAGTCTAATGACATGATAAAGCACTGCTTGCGACTTTAAGCATGAGTACGTGACATAGAATTGATGCATAGTTTCAGAAGCAATGGCAATGTCTCTTTTTTCTTAGCCTGAAAGGGGGAAAGGATAAGAAATCAAGGGTTAATTGATATGGTTGGTCTTGACTCTTGATAGACATTGCATGCACGAGGAGGAATGTGTCATCCTTGTAGGCTAGAGAGTCCTAAAATTTTCTTCTGCTATCAAACCAGGAAATGGAAGATGAATACATATTTATCATGATTTCAAATTGAATGAACTCTACATTTTTTTTCCCTAAACGCTAAAATATTGTGAACAGTCGTGTGAATAGGACTGAGAAATATAATACATGTTGAATATGGAAGGCTTGCAGTGTTCCTGTTGGATTAGTAGCCATGGCAAGAGTTTTTGCCTATGTTGGTGGATTCTCATAAAATTCTCATTAGAAGTGGAGGTTTGACATAGATTGATAGGATTTGGACTCTGTTATCTTTCTTAGGAAGCTTAAAAAGATTTAATCTCCATTTAAGAAAAACTGCTTTTTTGCGGGAAAGTTTTGAGATAATTTTATTTAGATCTAGTCTTGAAAAACTTGTATGATTGAACTGATCACTAAGAATTGCACATATATCATATTCCAGGGTTTCTGCACCTTGTGTACATTTCATGTTCAGCCCATTTTACATAATATTTTATGACAAGTAGAAGAAATTGATTTAAAGTCTATAAGAAGACAAGACATTTATGATTCCCAATAATATAGAAGCATGTTAACTAAAATATGAATACTAAAAAGAAGAGAACATAATAGTAGAAATAATTGCGTATAAAAATAAGATGAAGATAATTAAATTTAAATCGAGGCTTGAATCTGTGGATGCTAATATATTCCTATAACTAATCAAATAAAAACCTAAAAACCTCTTAATGGAAAAAAATTAATTTTTTTCTTGAAATCATATTCTTGGTATGTATCATTACTTCCTAATTAATAATAATATTATTTTTCTAGACTATGTCATTAATTTTATTTTATACCTTCATATTCAATAACCAATTTATCTTAAATTAGATATTATTATCTGCATTAATCCATGATTTTATATTTTAAATATATATCTTATCCCGGGGTGACACACTCTCTACACGATCCACTTTTGACATTTCTATGCATCTGTCAATGGTTAACTTGTTCATCTGTAGCAAACTAGGTTTAAAGTGCTTTTCCAATCCATGTTCTGCTTCATTTATTTATTGGCAAACATGGTTCTGCTTTATTAATTTGATTATGGATTCCTACCAGGAGTTGGAACGGCGTAGAGAAGAGCTTGAACGTCTGCTTCTTGCAGAAAGAGTATGAAAGCTTTTGAATCAAGAAATGCCGAAACAGTCTCATGCTACATGGTGAAGGTACCTCCAACAAGCAACAGCAACGTCATTCAGTTTATGATATTGCATGCGTGAACACTGTATTTTTACTATGAACATGGTACGACAATGTCGTTTTGTACATTCTTTCTCTCTGTCACTCTCTTGTATCCTTTGTAACTATTGAACCTTGTTCTACTAGTAGAGCAATTGACTGTAGCCAATTCCGTGGAATCTATGAACACTTCATGTAAATACCCTCCTTGACATGAAAATAACAACAATTTGGAGAGTTGTTTTGTATAGTGTTTATCATCCAAGAATCTGTATTTTCAATGTATCTTGGGATTATATAGGTAGATGTTACGTGTTTAATACAGAGGAATATAGTTGTGACACTGTGATGTGATCTCTTGAATGATGGTTAGTTTGACAAAAGGACATCTAATTCTGTTAATTATCTCCTTTTACTTTATCTCTTCTATTTGGGAAGATGTACATAAAGAGAGAGAACACCATCTTTGTAACTTCACTTGAAAATTAACTTCAAGTAAGCTAGTTCCCGTGATTTCTTACAAATGATCAAGCAGCTGAAAATTATGTGCTCAATTTCTTACTTCTTGTTTAATTCGTTGAATTTTGATGACTATAAAATTGTAATAACAATGGTGTTGGAATTAAATTCTTTGATATTTGGTTAATTATTATATGAGGCTGTTATGCTATTTATTTTCCAATTGAGATGCTGTCATGATGCGTTGGGTGCTGTCCAAATTTATTTAATTTTCAATCCCTTGTTGCATTGAGTGCTAGTCATATCTCTTGTGAGTTTGTGAGATATGATTGTGCATTAAGCACACTTAAGTTTGGCTAATCATTTTCTTAATTAATTTGAGGTCTCATTTGGTTAAAACAAATGATGGAATTGGTAGTTAACAACATAATTAATTTGTCATTTTTAAGCACAATTAGTTTTGAGGATTAATTTAGAGTCTTAGTTAATTTTAAAAAACCTAAGAGTTTGAATTCCTAATAATTAATAGGATGTCTTTAGAACCAAATGGGGGTAAGAGGAAATTGATTTGATAGAGCAAGGATAAGAGAGGGAGTTTATGTGCCTAGGAAGGTCATCATATTGCATTTTAATCACATATTTCAACCATTTTTAAATCTATCTAATTTTCAAAAAATACCAAAATATTAGTTAACTTTTAATTCTAATTTGTTTTAATTCCAATCAACAAATCCAATCAATTGATCACTGTTCTTTGGTAGATTTAATCAACTAAGATTTTAATTTTTAATCAACTTCACAAAAGATTTGACCCAAGTTGCTCTTTATATACATTAGGGTGTTTCTTACTTTATTTTAGTTGCATGCATGACTATTGCACGTCAAATTTTGGCACCTTTGCCTGAAGTTGGTTTAATTGATTCTTTGATTTTTTTTAATTTTGCCTTTCATTGTTTATATCCCTTGTTTATATTTAAGAACAGTGATTAGTTGATTGAAATTAAGACAAGCTAGAATTAAAAGCTAACTAATATCTTTGGCATTTTTTGAAAATATGACGGATTTGAAAATGATTGGAATGTGTGATTAAAATACAATATGATGGACTTCCTTATCTTTACTCTATCTAATTAATTTCCTCCCACCCCTAATTGATTTTAAAGACATCCTAGCAACCACTAGGAATTAGCACTTTTTGGTTCTTTAAATTAACTAGGACTTCAAATTGATCCTTATAACTAATTGTGTTTAAAAATGACCAATTAATTATGCTGTTAACTACCAATTTTAGCCCTTGCCTTAACCAAATGAGACTTCAAATTGATTAAGAAAATGATTAGCAAGCTCAAGTGTGCTTAATGCACAACTATGTCTCATAAGCTCACAAGAGGTAACTAGCACTCAATGCAATAAGACATTGAAAATTAAACAAATTTGGATAGCACACAAATCATCATGATAGCACCTCAATTGGAAAATAAATAACAAAACAACCTTATATAATACTTTACCAAGCATGACAAAATTCAATTCCAACAACTATTATCATTACAATGTCATACTCATTAAAATTTAAGGAATTAAATATGAGATAAAAAATAAGAGAAAGTCCCAAAATTCAAGAACTCAAAGAAGGTTCAGTTATGCATCCTAGGATGGTGAAGCAAGCCTAGCTACTTCTTATATAGACCTCCATAGCTTCTCTTTGTTGATCAACAATAGAATCCACTATGGATGAACTTTTGAAGAATACACCCTTGATGAATGGAAGAGAAAGAGCAATCTGGTTATGGGACTTTGATTTGGTCAATGAGAGGAAGAGAATGGTGTTTTTGGATTGTGAAATGGGGGGATTTAAGGTGGAGAAGTGATTTTGGTCAAAAAAAAAAAAGGTGAAGAAGTGATGGAAGGGAGGCTAGGGTTCATGGAGGGTGTTGGGAGGAAATGAAGGAAGTGAATGGATGAAGACGAGTGGAAAAACGAGAACGAGTACTGTCGATGTCGCTGCATGAAAACTGATTGTTCTAGGGGTGTTTGAGGTTGCTTAAGACTAATCTAATGCCCAGCAATCATGTCCATCAAGTGCTCTAAAGTGACATGAGACTTGTCTGCATTTAAAGATCTTTTCACATAGTATTTTATGTATAGCATTAAATTTTAAAAATAAATTATTTAAATGATAATAAATGAAAATGAAAGGCAAAACTAAATCTGAAAATAGATGGAGAAATTAAAAAATAACATGATGGAAATGATAAAAAAATGCATAGCAAAAATAAGAAAAAAAATTAATTTTAAAATATAAAATTGTTATGACTATCCCCGTGTTTTTTTTTTTTTGAGATTTCTTTCATCATTTGTAACCTTTTGATCATCAAATTAACTCATCCAAGGGCTTCAATTTTGTACAATGGGCTATCATTATCATCCAAGAGCTTCCCATGACTTAAAATACATATTAAACCCATTAAATATCAAGTTATGAACAAATAATTATATGCCTTATAAATTTATTCAACTTAGTGTGGCTTATGAAAATTTAATGAAGTTAATTAGAATGATAAAATGGGAGATTAGAAGATGAAATTAGCTGTGGTAAGTTTCCTATAAGTTCTTAATTACAGAAAATAAATTTAGTACACTTTCAAAATTCATAGGAAAGTACAATTAAAATATAAAAGATATGTATTTTAAAAGATATTTTAGTGAATAACTAACAATTTAAATTGAATTAAATCAAATTAAACTCATGAGATAAATGAAAAACTAAAAATTAACAAATGATAAAAAAATTTATTTTTCAGAAATTATTTTCAAAAATTATAGTTTTGCCCCAAAGCTTTTAGACTTTTCATTTCTACCTAAAAAGTTTTGAAAATTACAAAACTATCCCAAATGATCTTAAAGAATTCTAATTTGCACAAAATACCCCTAAGAAGTGTTAAAAGCTGAGAAAAATAATATAAATAAATAATAATTATCAGAGGAAAAACATTTGAATTTCAAAACCTTGTTGATGAGAATCTTCATCTAGAGAGTCATGATGATTTTGTTTGCTGTCTCAACATATGAGGAGGAGTCTAGTTTTGGATGTTGATCATTGTGACAGGATTTTGACTTTCTAAATTGGCTGGTTTAAATTTAAGTTTTCAACTTGTAATTTTGTAAGTAATAAATTTATTGGTTTATTAAAAAAAAGTGACCTCCAATCATCTTCATTTTAGATTAAAAACGTTACAAGCATAACAATAAACTTGGAATGTCTAAATATAATTTAGACAGTCTAGATAGATGATGATCACTCCATGCTCATTGAATCCAATTTTGAAAGATGGGTCAAAAGATAGCATGTTTTCATCAAATTGTGCTGTTTGCCATGGCGTTCATGGAAAATTTGATAAAAGAAGATAGTATGATCTTGCGTAGAGTCTACGTCTAATTTTTATGCACATTATTTATTTTCTTTTTCTCCCCAAATGTCATACAACTTTACTTTTACAAATGTTAATGTTCAAAATTAAATTGATTGCTTCACAATGCTTTGTTTGTTCCACTCTCGTTACAATCTTACTAGAGCTCCAATTTCTCCAGCCTCTATTCCGGACACTCTATTATTGATTTGCAAAGTGGTAAACAAATTGATCTAAGATAAGCTAGCCATTTCATTACTGGGATTAAATTTTAATGCCTAAGGTAAATTCCCTTGAACATTATAGAAAGATCCACATAGTTCACGGTCATAATTAAATCACAACACAAGCTCCAATTAACTGGCACAAGTGCTTATTTTTTCCCCCTTTTCTTTCTTTCTTACTGATATTTATTTAGTATTCAATATTTTACAGGGCCTAATTCATTTCATAAAGTTGAAGTTGTTGATAAAATTATGGATTTTCTTTTAGTGCTATCTTTTTCTTAAGTTCGGTTGTGCGCACGCGTTTCAATAACTAAAAAGTAATAACTCATCCTTCGTGTTTGATGTACTTCACATTTATTAAGCAAACATCTTATAATTTGTATTCATATATTACAATAAATGTAGACCATATATAAAACTAGGCAAATAGAGGAGAAATGGGGCCAAACTTGAGGCTTACCATAGATTCATGAATGAAGATGCTGCATTAGGCTCCTATATGATGCAACGGTAAATTAGAAGGCGAGAGACAAACTTTGGGAATCTTTAGCTGCCTAACTTGAAAGCATCCACAAAGAGACCTAAGCACACTCCAGCTTTCCAGAAGTTCATCATCGTCACAAAAGATTGCAACCTCCCAGTCCTCATGGTAGAAGGTTTTCTGTACATGAGCACGCCAATCCCCTCAATTGCAGCCACCACAACACCGGCAACCAGAACATCCCAGTCGCCGGTCTGCCCAAGGATTGTAGCCAGTGCATTTGCTGTGTAGAAACCTAGAAGAAGCAGGAATATCTTCATAGGGAAATTCTTTCTGGCTGAGTTCAGTTTTTCTAGTAGTTGTCTGCCACCTGCTGTCAGAATCCTACCCAATCGTGTGCTGCCAAAACCGGAACTAGCATCATTGAGGCTTTGTTGTTCGCCATTACCTGGCACTCCACCTGTGTTCAGGGCAAAGGCTATTTTCCATCCTAACCTTCTTACCAGGAAACTGAACCAATGTATTGAAAATCAATGATTTTGCAAGTACATGAAACAACTGGGTTGCTCCCCTAGTTGTAAGATAGGAAACAAACACGCAAACAAAGAATTCAGCATTAATTAGAAACCATGCCACCAATTTGACTTGTCAAGAGTTGACTGTCTCTAATTCTGGCAACCACTAGAGTTCATTAAAAAACAATACGTACGGAAGAAAGGAATGTGGAAGCTCTGTGCATTAGCATGAAAGAAAAAGAATGAATATACTGTCATGGGAACAACGCATAATATCCATTTTTGTGACATGAATTTCTAGACAACATTCTCACAGGATCATATTATGATAACTAGTAAAAGGACAAAAAACCAGCATGACTTTGGACAAATTAGAAACTGTAAGAGTTTGAACTATTCATATTTTGAAACATGCTTTAAAGTTTTACCAGCCATGCACAAATGATGTGGTGCCGACTTTTAGAGCTTGTCCAGAAAAGCTTGGCTCACTGCACCAGCTTTGGATTCTGTAAGTTGCAACACTTATACAGGATTTATCAGGGCATTCATTCTCTGAAGTTGATAATCCTGGCTGCGGAATCATACATCTCACTTGACAGGCCATGTCCTACAAATTCAGAAATTCTTGATTGGCAGCAAATGGAGATAGGTTTGTTGGTAGCAGTTCTCAGGATTGTAATCTGCACCAAGTTTTATGTACAGAGATTCACATGATGCATCGATAATTAGACAACAACTTATCAAGAGTTAAACTTCAAACCGGAAAACATTGGACTAATTACACTTGTGATAAGAGGAGGATGTACTTGGAAGTCTAGCATTGTAAAGCACTCTTTCCAACAAAACGTTTGTGACAAAATTTAAAATGACCCCAATCTTCTGGGACCAAAAATCACTTTCTTTGTTTAGATAAAACCCTTGATTCACTTTTAATTAATAAATTAATTGTGGATTGTCGCTCAAATGACAGTACAATGTCGTGTAATATTCTCACCTCAGAATCTTGATCCAACTTTAGACTACAATCAATTTTCCTTTGAGATAATTATAATATATTTGAAATCAGATTGCTGAAATTTAGTAGCATCTAAACACAAACAACGTCGAATGTTTAACAGTTCAAACTCAAATGCAGAGATTCCAGAGAACAATCCTACGAGTCCCTTGGAAATGAAATGCAAGCATGAACAGTGGAAGCAAGCAAGTGGAGCGTGGGAATGGGTAAGGCAAAAGGAGAAGAGCTCAATTAGTGATCAAGATCAAACTTGTAATTGAAAACAAAATATGAGGTCAAACTGTCCGCCAAATTCTAAAGAGAGCGTACCTGAGAAGTGACTGGAGGCAGCAGAGAGCAAATAGAGTCTGAAATGTGATTTGATAATTGTGAACAACCACAACCTGTAAGAACAAATAGAAGAAATAGAATCTGACAATGTGATGAACAACACCAGCAAGACAAAAGATTGGAGGGAAAAAACACAACCGGAGAGACAAAGAAAGAAGGAATGAACATCGCCTGAGGAAGCGCCGAATAGTGAAGCTCCTGATATGAAGAAGAAAATGTGACCGGAAACGCACCTGAGATATTCGCCGGCGAGAGAGAAAGCTGGGAGTGTGTGGGTATGAGCAAGCTCTTCCCGAGTCCTATCCTGCTGGCTGCTACGGCTCCACTCTCTGTTTTTTTTTTTTTTTTAAATAGTCAAATAAATAATTAAATGCCACTCTTCTCTGTTACTTTTCCACCAAACAATATTTTCTTTAAAAAACAAGAATTAGATGAGTTGGGTTCATGTCAGGACATGCCTAAGTAACAATGAACACTTACAAAAATATTTTATTCAAAAAACATTATTTTGCTCCAATGATTTTACTTATTTATATTAATTTAGTTTTTGAGTATTTATTTTTTACTGTCGAGGATTTGAATAATCAAACCCTTGAGCAGTATTTGGTTCAAGATTTTTTAAGGAAAGGGGAGGCTATTTTTTTTTTATTTAATTTCTTCCTCCCATCTAATCAAACAAGGTCTCAATAAAATTTCTTTTATTTCTTTCCTTCTTTCTATTAAGCCAAACACTAAATTAAATTAGTATAAGATTTATATACTTAATATACTTTTATCCAATCAAATTATGATAAGTGATTTTAGTACATTAATAATATTAATTAACAAGATCTTTTTATATAATAAATAATTTATATAAGATTCACATGTCTTGATTTAATTAGAGACGAGCACTTCACTTTATTTTTTTTATTTAAATTAACTTTTCAAACCTTTTATTTTGTGTTTAGTTTTTTTTTTTCAATCCCTCATTCCAATGGAACTCATGTTATTCATGGTACAAATAAAATATATGGCATCTTAAAATATAAATATTGGATTAAAGGGCATTTTATCCTTCAACTATCTACTTAGAAATGTCTGGTATTTTAAACTTTTGGCACAATTTCTTTTTAACTTTTAAAAATAGTGCGTTAACTATTTTTTAAAAAAATTAACTTTGATCCTTTTCCTAAAAATTATTTTAAAAAATTCAAAAGGGATATAATTGACATTAATTTTCTTATAGAATACTTATACGTAATTTTATGAGTCATTTTTTATAATTTTTGAAGTCATTTTTTAATTTTTTTTTTAAAATCAACTAGCTATCAAAATTAACCTTTTAAATATCAGAACATCCAATGCACTATTTTTAAAAATTGAATGAGAGAAATTACACTATATAAAAGTTTAAAATACTATATGCTTCAAAGCAAATAGTTGGGAAGCAAAAATTCCTTTTAATCTTAAAATATTTAATTTATATCATCATATCTAATGAAAAGTCAAACCATGACCTCATTTATCATAAGTTCATATATAATTTTTTACCTTTGTTTAATTTAATATTTTTCATGTATCATAACAGTTTTTGGCATTTATTATTAATGATAAGTGATCTTTCTACCCCCAATATAATACTTGCAAGGCATAGAAGTTTGAATGTGAAATATTTTAAGGCAAAAATACACACTCATTGTTAAACTCTTTATTGCCCAAAACCTTAAAATTATCAAAGCTGCCACCACTCAATAGCATCTTAAAATATAAAATGCAAAGTGTTAGCATGTATGTGTTACCTGCATGCTAACGCTATACGTTTTATATGTTATTAGAAAATGAAATAAAAAATTAAATAATTGATGAATACTTGATATAAAAAAAAAAATCCCAATAGCCTTTGTATTTGGAAAAAGAACTATAAGCATGACTAGCTCTTACTGGTGAGAATGATAAAGTTGAAAACAAAATGGTTGGTTATAATCACTAGCCTTTGTACCAGGAGAAATAGAAGCCTATTACTGTTATATATACTAACCATGGACAAGTTTTGACATGACAAAAAGCCCTTTAATCTCCTCCATTCCTTTTCTTCCTATCTCTCCGTGCAATCTGTATTGGGGTTTCTACCCTTTTTTTTTTCTGGTACTTCTACTGTGACATATTAACATTTTTGCATCATAGTAAACAAAAAAAGCCTGTTTTTAACACTATTCACATTGACATTAAGCAAGATCCTTTGAAAAGGCTTCTTGTGATTGGCTTTTCACCTTCACTGTCCACAAGCCTTCTCCTCTTGGCATCTCGTTCACCAGACTCACAAGCTGGTGGCTGTGTCTTGCAAACTGATTCATCATCTTCAAGATTGATGGTCTCACATGGATTACCATTTACCTCCAAAGAGGAAGGAGATTTAACACTTGCAACTACATCATCTTCCATGTCATTTGCCTCTTGAGAATCCTGAACAATACAGTCTGCAAGTTCTTCACTGGAGGCTGAAGAACATTGCTCAAGCATGTCATTCTTGTCAGAAGGGTTAGACCCTTCAGTTTTCTCCTGGGGGCAGTTTTCTTGAGTTTCTGTCTCTAATGTATTCCAGGGCGCATGTGAATGTGCGTCATTGGCGTCTTTAAAGTTCATGGAGAATCCCTGCAATGATGCTTCTGATGATCTCAAATATGATGTGGACGGGAAGTCAGATGTGGACAAGGCAAGTTGAGAATCTTCCATCAATAACGGTGATACCGTTGTTTCTTCATCATCCTCATCAATTTCCTGCTTTCAAGCGGAAAACAAATAACAAACGAATCTGACGTCGGCCTATCAACATCTTTCTGTAGAAGGCACGAGTTCAAGTAGTAACGCGCCACTAATTAAAGTCTCTTATTAGAGATTAATACCGTGTGCAGCTAATTTCCACTTTTCTTTCTTCTACTTTATGAAACAAAATGTATGCGGTACACCAATGTCAAAGAGCCTTAAAAACTATGCATCCGCCTAGCATACGTAGCTTTTAGCTTCAATTAAATTCTACCTCCCATTGACATGACTGCCTAAAATTTCTTGAACCAGTAAATGATTGAGATGTAACAATTTAGTAATTGAAGTCAACAAGCCTCTAAATATCAAGAGACAATAATTAGGATCAGCCAGCATTGTTTGTTCTTTCTCATGAAAGATTCAATAAAATTTTATGTAGAGTGTTGATGACCTAATACAACCACAACCTTAATCTAAGATTGGGACTAGCTATGAAACATGGACAAAGTAAACCCTTGGCTTGGACGCCCTTTATGTTGTTGTTCGTTGAACAATAAATATGCTTGATCTAAAAACCACCTGATGAATAGATAGTTTATATTAAAAAATGTTTTAATATGATTTACTATAAATCACATGGGTTGGAACACTAGCTAAATAATTAAAATTCATTACCTCAATGGGTGACATGAAGCCCCTTTGATGACAAGTTATAACCCGCTGAAAATTTGCAGAAGATGAATCTCCAACTGTTCCTTGCAAGTCCATGGAAAAAATTTCTCGCTCTCTAATACTTGACACGACTCTTGTAGGGGAAGCTACAGAGAACCGAATATTTGTCCCCTGTTTAGCAGAAAAGAAAGAATTCCCTCCGCATAATGTCAGATGACAACTCCCACCAAAAGTACCAGCTTCCATTTTGTCCTCTGAGAGAGAACTTTTGCTAATGCAATCATTTGGGAGGACTTTAGGAGAATTATCTTGGAAGACATCATAAATTAGCTCCTGAATATGAGCTCGTTTCAGAGAAGCCTCTACCGGAGGGAACCACTTGCTCTTCAAAAGGGGCAGAAAAAGCAAAAATAAATAAAAAAAATAAAATTATCTGTGACTCAGTATACAACACAAGCCAGCTTTCAATATATCTATCAAAATTCAAAAGTCAGCACCTAGTAGTTAAAGTTGTAAATGCGGTATAAAGGTAGAGGAAATATAAGTGTTCACGCTAAGAGAAGTCACACACCAAGTCAGAGAACTTTGTGATCTTAAAAGGGTTAAAGTTGATGGGAGCTTCATTGAGGAAACGTTCCACATAATGAAGCAGAAAGAGACCACAGTCGTATAAGTTTTCCTGCTGTGGAAGCTGATATAATGTGGAGACAAGCAGAAATTTAGAAGTTGCATTTATATTCCACATATTTAGATGTCAAACAAGAGAGACTGAGAGTACCTCTAGTGAGACAAATCGCAAATGTAAGAATTTCGAAGAAACATCATCCACCATATCACGGTGCCTCTCTTTCCATTCTTCACATAGGTAACTGTCATAGGATATAAAGAAAAGCGCTCATAATCAGCCATAATGATTTTTTTAATTATAACTTGAAATGAATTTATTTACATACCCTATGTAATGGTTTGCTACCATTTTTTTTTTTTAAAGACATTTGCTTCAACATCCTCCCCCATTCCCCTTCCCCAAAAAGGGGGAAAAAGAATAAAGAAAAGAAAAGAAAGACAAAGAAGAAAGAGAGAAAAAGAGGAAGGAAAAGCAGCAGTCACACCTTGAATTCACAAGGCACCCTATATTCTATCTATTTTGTGTAGATCATATCCAATCCTATCCACTTTGACTTCAAGACCTTTTATAATCCAAAATCTGAGCTAACAGACAGATACCTTTGGAACACATTTTTGAGACCCTTGTGACTCCCTCTTAAGGAATCCATGTGCAAGATGCAAGGTACCTTTGAAGATTCCTTAATTTCTTCATCTGCAAGAGAGCCAAGTAAATAGGGTATTGGGTGATGTCCAAATAAACCATAAAAAATTCAACTCAAAGGAGAAGGACCTTGGAAACATGCCACTTCACCAGGATGACAGATGACAATCAAACTCCAGTGAAGGCTGCCAGTAGCAAGATTCAAGAATTATTTTTTTATCAGAATACAGCATAATCCCAATAAATAAGCAAGTTCAGTTAGTTTCCCACCTATAGTTTATAGGAACAAAAATACAGTCCTTTTCAAAAAGGTTCACTTTCCTTGTCCATTTCCGAACGCGTTGAAATGCTGCCTTACCATCACAAGCACTTGGTGGATCTTTGTCTAGATCAGCAAGCTTCCGAAAGAAGAAGCAATTGAAAAAGTGAAACCTGTTCTGCTCATTGGGAGGGATTTTATTTTTCAAATACCTATTAAGTACAACAGATTTAGCATAAATTAGTTACTAGAGAGCATAAAATGAAAAGGTATGTCTACATTTACTGAGTAATTCTATTATTTTAAAAAAATGGAGCGCAAGACTACCTAGATTGTAAGCATTTGTGAGAGATAAATTATATACAGGATTTTCTCCATGACAAAAATAAATTTATAGCTACGTAAATGAAGAATGAAGTCAAGAAAAAGCTATAACTTCAGCAGTACTGCTTACTTGATATAAAAATCAATGATGTTATCGTTAATGAAGGTCTCTGGCTGTAGAAGCTCAATATCTCTCTTACTAAGAGAAACAGCATCAGCATCCCCCTTTGGATATATAATCTCATCAAAAGTCTCATCAAAACTGCAAAGCATGACATCATACCAGCAGAAATTTCTTCAAACAATTTATATTATACTGATACGCTATTAGGTGCATGACCATGAATGATTTGTAATTATATATTACACAATCTCAGATCGCCTTTTGTTGGAAGTTAATTCAGCTAAAGTGATCCAGCGATGCATCCAGAATGGTTTGAGAAACAGGATACATTTTTGTACTACCAAAATGGTTTGAGAAAATTAGGTTTTGAAAGAAATGCATCCAGCAAGACAGATCATGACAATAACACTAATTAATTAATAAGTATCAAAAACCTTTTTTTGGGCCAATCAGTATCTAAAATCTCATATGCAGCGCACCCACCAACACAATTAATAACATAGATCATATTTTGACGGTGACATGATTAAGCAAGCACAAATGCTAAATTGACTTACATGGGAAGATAACGCATCTGAGAGACATGGCTATTCTGGCCAAATTGAGAATTTTTTTCATTATCTGTATCGAGGCTGCATGCATGTAAACAAAATACCAATCAACACCTGACAAGATTCAGCAACCTCCTCCTCATACAACTAAATGAAAGGCTATAGCATAAAGACAAAATGAGACCAAAATTTACTCAAACATTAAGCAGAAAAACTACAAAAGAAGCTTATATGACCTAAAAATTGCTTCCACAACAGATCACAAAATGACCATACAAAAAGAATACATTTACATGAGTATGAAAGAAGAGCTGAAAATTTAATCCGAGTTACAAGCACAACATATTAATTCATACTTGCACACATTGACACACAAAAGTATTGAGAATTTGAGATGCTCCTGCGACAAAACACTAAAACATCCACAGACGGTATAAATGATGTTAAGGGGGAAGATGTGGATGACTGCAGAATACTAGCAATGAAGGTGAACTCCAAATATTTTACTACACAGACACTCGCTCGAAACAGACAAATAATACAACACAAGACCCTTCAAGAACAGAACAAGTTACTGTCTTTAGAGAGGTTGACACTCCACCCAAAACCTGACCAAAATTCTTATTGCCCTTCCTTCTCAGCTTTTCCCTCCATATACCAGTCAACAACTCTTTAGCTATTCCCTCCTGCCTCTTCTTCATGAGTATCTTCTTTTGCTCCTCTTCTTCTCTGTCTTATCTGATTCTTAACCTTTGGGATTTCTTCTGGACCAATGGTCCTCCCCTTTTCTTACCCATTTGCCAATCCATTATGTCCCCTTCTTTGTGTTTTGGAGGCAGCAGTGGGTTAATAGCCATCAGAAACTAACCCATCTCATCAAAAGAAAACAATTTCACGATATGAAATACCAATCACATGATACATGTGGGCATAAAATCCATAGAACTAGCATATTACTATGCTGTTAAGTCAAAGCAACTTAGACAAATCAAAGTAGCAAGACACATCGGCGGGCTTTTTACCATTTGTTTGAACAGTAATAGTAATTTTTCAACTTTCTCCACCCAACAAAACAAGGCAAAAGGTGAACTCTGGAAGCAATCATCAGAACACTTAGAATTGATAAGTATTGCATCCCCAGCAAGTTAGGCAATAAAATACTTACTCAAAAATATCATTCCATATATCAGCATATCTCACATCCAATGATTTTACCGCCTCTTCTAATTTAGACCAGCAGGGATCATAAACTGCAAATTTCAGCTCCTTAAATCCTGCATGAATTTAATAAAAGGGACCAGATGTTAAACCAACAACCGATAATTTTCACATAAGGTACAGCCATTTCTGGAACCGTGTTTCTTTTTCCCTCAAATAATCTCAAATAAGAGATGATCAAAACAAAAACAACTAACAACCAGCAATCAACTAGTCTAGATTTTTCCAGAATATGGGAGATAATAAAAAGGAAAACTTCATCTTTTTATTTTTTATAGTAAAGGAAACTTCATCTTTAATTAAAAAGTAAATCACACAAACCTCTGAATCTGGCTAAAATTACATAGACCTCACCTCCATTTTTAAAAAATATATTTAACAACCCTTAAAACAAAAAACTTCCCCTCCCTTCAGCCAAATTTTAATTTTTCTGACCAAAATACCCTTCATCTAGAATTTTCTCGGTTAAAGAAATATGTATTTAGGCTTAATCAAGGCTATTTTGTCCAACATTTTTAAATTGAACTAAAGTGCAGAGTTAATTTTTTTAGTTTAAGAGACATCTTTCATAATGTATCAAAACAACAGAAAAGAGAAGTCTTTTATTTCAAGAGAGATCCATGTAGACTTTAAAAATAGAATGGACGTTTGCGTATTTTAGCAAAACTCATAGTAGATCTATAGAAGTTAGTCTTAATCAAAAACATAATAGAACAAGGGAAATATTAGATCTAAAACCACCATATAAAATGTTTAGCTTCAAAAGATACAAGGAGCACCCAGCTGAAGCAGTATCTCATTCTATAATATATTCTCTTTAAATAAGAATACTACAGAGTTAAGACATGCAAAGCAGCCTGTGAAATTAAAAAATACCATAAGCGTGCCTGAAGAACAATAACTAGGTCTACACAAATGGGGAGAAAAAGGAAAAATAAATGAGACTATTTTAAGGGAACCTTGATTGTGATTTTCATTTCCAGCTTCTCTAGAATCTTCTGATGTAAGGAAAAGGTTGATCATGGCTGTTTCAACCTACAGCAAGCAGATATTCAAATTGATTTAAAACCTTTGGTTTGGGAGCAAAATGAGGAAGGGAAGAAATAAAAGTCAATGAAAAGGGGAAGAATAAAATTGAAGAGGCAGGAAGTAATTATCTTTAACTTTGTTTGGATGTCTATAAATGAATAACGGGCAAAATCATTCAGAACCAAATTTTGACCTCCAACATTTTGTTTCAAAAGAAAAAAAAATAGTCAGAAGGAATAACGCTTTGGAGGAGGGTACTATATCTTCCTAAAAGAAGAGAAATATTACGCAAAACAGAAAAGCAGAAGGACAAAGTATGATATGAAGCAAAGTAGTCCATTCTCCATCTGTAACACAAAAGAGATGACCACTTGAAGAGGCCACAACGCATAAGTCAAATAAAGAGATGACTTAAACACTGTATCAACAATTAAAAAGATGGAAACTCCCTTAAAAATAAGACAATTCCTCCCCGAATCGAGCAAAAAATCAAAAATAAAACAAAAGGGCCAAAAGCTGTGCATTGCCCAAAGTATTGACCTTTCTATTGTCACTGAACTCTAAGTACAATGCAGAAAAATTAGCTACAGGGCCCAAGGGCACCCATAAGACTACCATCAGGATGATATTTAGGCCCCGTTTGGCTCGCTGGAAGTATTTTGAAGGACATTGAATTGGAAATGCAACTGGAAAAGGAAAATGAATTGGGTTTAAAAGTATGGTTTGGTATACTAGAAAATTTAAATGGAATTCTTGAACACAAAAATGTTAAAATACAATAATACCCTCATAAAAAATAAATTAAAAAATTATCACCCAAAAATCACTTCATCTCCCAGTCCTTCCCTCTGGCATCTCCGGCACACTATACCAGTTGGACATGGGGTGATGGTTTAGTGCTTAACATCAAAATCAAGCCCCCTAAAAAAAGATCAAAACTGCAGAGTAAAAAGGCAAGGGAATCCTACAAAATTCAAGAAACGAACTTTCACCCACTCCTCTTCCATCAAGCATGAAACAAGAGTCGAACCTAAAAAATGTATCAAATTGAATCATTATTGCACATTGACAAAACAGCATCTTCTCCCTATTACACTGGAAAAATCCAAAATACAATACAGTCCTAACGAGAGTCACAAATCAGTAAATCAAACCATTGTCATTGAATCAAAGCAGATCTGGAAAAAAGCAAACAGGGGAGCCTGCAGGTCAAATTCAAAGCAAATGACGGAGAAGATGAGATGCAATGGTGACAGAGAAGTCAAGTGGCAGAGCATGGTCGGATTTGCAACATCTTTGATGGTGGGGCACAATGGACAGTGAAGATGAGAAGTGGTCAAAGAATGGAGGTGAAGGAGAATGGCAGGGGAGGAAGAAGGTCAAAGAAGGTGTATTGGAATTTTGAGAAATTACGGAGGGTATTTTGGTTAGCAAAATTAACTTCCTAGGAAAATATAATTTTCTTTGGGTCTGAGGAGGGAACCAAATTTCCATTTTATTCCCTGAATTTTAATTCCCAAGCATTAAATTTCATACCAACCAATCAAAGGAATTTATTGATTCCTTTTCCATTTCCTTTTCCTGAAGCTAATTTCCAACCAACCAAACGAGCCCTTACAGAAAGACAACAGTGAAATGGGAATAAATTAGGCTTACTTTCAAATTTTCTCCGTACTTCCTCACTAATTTTGGAGAAACTGATATTGCCAGTCCTGAGGTTAAATATTTTCAAATTTTCATCCCCCACAATAAAGGGGAATCCCCATTTTCCTAAACAAAAAACTACACTCCCAAAACCATTCCCTACATTTCCATCCATTCCAATACGTGAGAGAAGAGGAAAAAAGGATGTAATTTGCCTGTTCACACCAACAGGACACGATTTTTATGACATTGTCAATTGACCACTCAAATTTATAAGTTTCTCCACTTCCATTGACAGCTGAGCCTTCAAGTTTGACAGAGCTGCAAGAGAATGTTAACCGAGAGTCGGTGGAATATATATCCCCATACAGAATAAAATCGGGGTTGACATCAACCACCTTTTTCTCGCCATTCTGCAAAGGAAAGAAACAAAAGTCTATCAGAAATATCTAAAACACAACCAAGGAAAACATTGAAACAAAAATTGACAATGATCTATTTATCCGTTGTCCCCATGAGCAAAATTATGCATGCAATATTTTGCTTAGTTTAAAATAATAATATAATATTTCACTTTAAAGCATATATTAAATACAAAATTTAAAACAAACCACTAACGTGCAATGATTGTTTAGTTAAGCAAATTTGATTAAGAAAACACTAACCATACTAACTATAGCTTATCTCATTCATATCATTACTTTACCCTTTACCATAAAGAAATCTTGTTTTCATTTAAAAATGCAAGCAAAAATATATGTGAAATAAATCATCATCTGTGGTTAGACCTAATATTTATTGTATATATTTGCTGTAAATAGTTTAGGAGAATATCTCAAATAGTTATTTGTTATTATTATAGGATATTCGTTTTTTGGGTCAATCTTCTTAATTCTCGGAGATCTGATCACGTTTCTCTAGTATTTATCCTTGTACTCTTTCTCTACTAGAAGATAGAAGTTCAATAAGCTTCATTGCTACATGGTACCAGAGCACGGCTTATCTTATGAAACTTCTGATCACTTTGATTTAGAAAAAGCCAAGACCAAGTCGAACCCAAATCTTTCCTCCTCAATATCGAAGAACAATGGGTCCTCGAAAACTTATCCGAGTAAGGTAGGCAGTCCCCTTAGGTTGACTACCAGTCATAAAGGATCGTCGGCATATATCATCACTGTTAAGCTCAGTGGAGAAAATTATCGGGTGTGGGCTCAAGTGATTAAACTTGCAATTGGAGGAAGAGGGAAGATGGGCTATATTGATGGTTCATCGAGAATTCCAAAGGACTCTAAATCATAGGAGGCTTAACGCTAGCACACTAAAAATTCCTTGGTCTCATCGTGGCTGATAAATGTGATGGTTCTAGAAATTCAGCAGAGTTTCATGTTTCTTCCTACAATTCATAAGATCTAGAAGGCAATATGTGACTCACACTCTAATGGGAAGGACCTTACAAGACTTTATGAACTGAAAACTAAGGCCTAGACGCTACAACAAGGAGAACATGAGGTTACTGCCTTTTGGCCAGAACAAACGGCCATTTGGCAAGAATTGGACTTGATGATAGAAGTGGAATGATCCAATAGAAAAGATGCTATTCGCTATAAGGAGCAAATTGAGGTGAACGTGTTTTCCAATTTCTTGCTGGACTTCATCAATCCCTAAATGATGTTCGAGGGAGGATTCTGAATCATATGCCACTCCCATCAACAAGAAAAGTATTCTTTGAGGTATGTCGTGAAGCTTCTAGACGAAAGGTAATGCTTCTTAGAACTACTCCATCTTCATCTCCTTCTCTAGACTCTGCTACACTCATCAGCAAGAGTGGTGATAACCAAAAGGGCCTAAAAGGGAAGATTACTTGTGACCATTGCAAAAAGACTGGACACACACGTGATACTTGTCAAGAAATCCATGGTAAGCCAGTGGACTGGAAACCGAGAAAAGGAAAGACTAGAGGTTACCAAACATCTAATGATGTACAACCATAAAAACCAGATTTAATACCACCAGTGCCCCAAATTGATAAGAAGCAACTAGGTAAGTTACTTGAGATGTTAAATGTACTTCAAAAGGTTATCAACATCAGCAGTCAAATCATACTACCTAATGACCCACAGAGGTAATTGTGCTTTTTACTCACCACTACTACTAATTACAAATGGATTGTTGATACTAGGGCATCAGATCATATGACCTCTAATTCAAAATTATTTAGTACATATGTCCCTAGTGGTGGGAACGAGAAAATTAGTACAACAAATGGGACATCTTCAATTGCAGGAACAGGGAGTGTGATTATTTCTGATGCTATGAAATTAGAACATGTGTTGCATGTCCCGCATTTAGCTTGCAGTTTATTGTCAATAAGTAAGCTAACAAAACAAGAAAATTGTTGGGCTCATTTTTGTTCCACTCACTGTATTTTTAGTACCTCATATCGGGGAAGATGATTGGGAGTGCTAAAGAACATAATAATCTCTACTATTTAGATGAATCAACCATGAGTACACTCAGGTCTCGAATTCAATGCAATGTTGCATCTACAACTGAGAATAAAGACTTTAAAGATCTTATGTTATGGCATAGGAGAATGGGTCAACTAAATTTCCAATATTTATGTCATTTGTTTACCAAATTCCAATATAATAAAATTTCTTCCTTTCATTGTACCAATTGTGAACTTGCTAAAGATCAAAGATCAAGTTTCAAACCTGTTCAGTATAAATCAACTCATCCTTTTTCAATAATCCATAGCAATTTATGGGGGCCTACTCATATTCCTAATCGCACAAACAAATAGACGATCACATTAGAATGTGTTGGGTTTACCTAATGCATGATAAATCCTCAGTTCCATCTATCTTTTTTGATTTCTTTACAATGATAAAGAACCAATTCAATACCTCTATTCAAGTGATGCATACCGATAATGGCACATAATACTTCAATAATGCCATGGATCTATTCCTTAAAGAGCATGGCATCATTCATAAGAGTACTTGGCCTAACACTCCCCAACAAAATGGCATTGCGGAATGGAAAAACAAACAGTTGTTAGAAGTTGCTCGTGCCCTCTTATTTACTTGTAATGCACCAAAGTATTTCTGGGGGAATGCAATTTTAACAGCTACCTATTTCATAAATTGCATGCCTAGTCAGGTCATTTCCTATTCTACACCCCTTGAAAAATTAAAAGAAACTCATTCTGTTAGCCACCTTGATACTAACCTACCTCTTAGAATTTTTGGCTGCACTGCTTATGCTCATGCTCACTCATCCCATAAATTGGAACCTAAAGCTGTTCCTCGCATTTTTCTAGGATATTCCTCAACTCAGAAGGGATATAAGTGCTTTGACCCACGTTCTAAAAGTTTGCACGTCAGTCGTGACGTCACCTTTGCTGAACATATCCCAGTCTCTTCCAAAGCTTTGACTCCAGGGGAGAGGGGGAGTGATTCTCAGCTTTTGAGTAAGAACTCAGCTATTTCTGAAAATTCTGAATTACTTCCAGAATTATTTCCAGCCTCTGAAAAGTCCCAAACACACCCCACAAATACCAGAATTCTTATCCAGCCACTTACCGATTCTAGTATTCAATCTTCTATGCCAACAATTGAAGTGAAAAGTCTTTCAGATTATAATGCAGGAAAAGCACTAAACAAGACACCATTGACATACTCAAGAAAGAAATGGCAAAATAGAGAGACTGTTATGTTTGAAGCACAACCTGAATCTGAACCAATAGAGGTTCCTGAAGTTGAAAGTGACATAAGAGTTAAATCTGGAGGGAAAGAAGTGGCTGAGAATGAAGAATCTGATGAGTTAAACTTGCCTATAGCCATCAGGAAACAACCCAAAACATGCACACAGCATCCAATTCAGAAATTTGTACGCTACCATGCCTTATCTCCTCAATTTCGTGCGTTTGTAACAAACCTAGATGAAGTAAAGATTCCATCTGACATACATGAGGCACTTAGCATACCTGAATGGAAGAATGTTGTGATGGAGGAAATGAATGCATGAAAAAAGAATGGTACTTGGGAGTTAGTAGAACTTCCAAAAGGGAAGAAGGTTGCAGGGTGCAAGTGGGTTTTACCCCAAAATATGCTTCTATGGGTAAGTTGGACAGGTTAAAAGCCAGATTAGTGGCAAGAGGGTTCACTCAGACTTATGGCTTGGACTACAAAAACCTTCTGCCCCTGTTGCTAAACTTAATACCATCAGAATTCTAATTTCTGTTGCTGTAAATCTTGACTGGTCACTTAATCAACTAGATATCAAGAATGCATTTCTCAATGGAGACTTGAAAGAGGAAGTATTCATGACTTTACCTCCAGGTTTTGATAAGGGACACAGCAATCATGTATGCAAACTGAAAAAAATCTCTGTATGGTTTAAAACAATCACCCAGAGCATGGTTTGATAGATTTTCAAGAGTATTGAGGACTGAAGGATACAAACAAGGGTTATCCGATCATACCATGTTTGTGAAAGTGAGTAATGGGAAAAGATGCATACTCATAGTGTATGTAGATGATATAATCATCACAGGTGACTATGAAGAGGAATTACTCATAATAAAGAAGGCTCTTCGAAAAGAGTTTGAAGTAAAGGATCTAGGAAAATTGAAATATTTCCGAGGTATGGAGGTTGCAAGATCACAGCGTGGGATCTACGTGTCTCAAAGAAAATATGTTCTTGACTTGCTGACCGAAACCAACATACTGGGGTGTAAACCTGTAGAAACACCCATGGTGGTTCAAAAGAAGAAAAAAGAAAAGAAGGAAAATGTCTCCGAAGAAGAACAACTTGAAGAAGAAGTAGAAGAGGAGAAAAATGAACCAGCAGACAAAGAGAGATATCAGAGACTAGTAGGAAAATAAATCCATCTCTCTCATACACGTCCAAATATTGCCTTTGCAGTGAGTGTAGCAAGCCAATTTATGTGTGATCCTAGGAGGAGGCACATGGAAGCAATATACAGAATTTTAAAGTACCTAAAGGGAGCCCCCGGGAAAGGGTTATTATTCAAAAAGCAAAGTCTATGATCTATAGGGATTTATACAGATGTAGACTAGGGAGGAACTCACCAAGATAAAAGATCAACATTAGGATACTACTCATTCATTTGGGGAAATCTAGTTACTAGGAAGAGCCAGAAGCAGAGAGTGGTCTCAAAGAGTAGTGCAGAGTCAAAATTAAGGTCACTAGCTTAGGGGATCACGGAAGTACTATGGATAAGACGTGTTATGGATGAAATACATGTTAATAGTGATCCTCCATCAAAGCTCTACTGTGATAACAAATCTGCAATTAGTATGGCGCTAAATCCTGTTCAACACAAAAGATCTAAGCATATGAAAATTGATAGACACTTCATAAGAGAAAAAGTTGAAGAAGGAACTTTATGTCTTGTCTATCTACCAACTAAACTTCAAGCAGCAGATGTCCCAACCAAGAGCTTGCACAAACCAGCTTTTGATAGTTGTATAAGCAAGTTGGATATGTTTAGCATCTACAATCCAACTTGCAAGGGAGTGTGGTTAGACCTAATATTTATTGTACATATTTGCTGTAAATAGTTTAGGAGAATATCTCAGGTAGTTATTTGTTATTATTATAGGATATTCGTTTTTGGGTCAATCTCCTTAATTCTCGAAGATCTGATCACATTTCTCTTGTATTTATCCCTGTACCCTTTCTCAGCTGGAAGATAGAAGTTCAATAAGCCTCATTGCTACATCATCATATCAAATTGACACATAATCCTGTAATATTTACATTCCATTCGACCCTACAAAATTTACAATTTCATATTGTATTATATATATTATAATATATATATATATATTATGTTATGCTTTCTCCACATGAATTTTTTATTCCTCTCTATCACTTGTTATCCAGAACAGTGATTACAAAACCAAAATTTTAATAAATCAAATATGGACGAGAAGCACTCTTACAATTTCAAAAGCTGCAGAGACATAATCCATTAACTTGCCTTCAAAGAAAACTGAATCACCAGATTTAGAACTGATAGTCAGATAGCGTCAAACAAGAACAGAATAAGGGAGATTATTAACTGGTCATCAATGAACTAATAATTCATATGTCACTTAGACAAAACTTTAGAGAATATAAAAATACCTTCAATGTCTTCTGAAGTCGAAGTTGAAGTTGAAGTTGATGAAGCACTCATTTGACTACTTATATCATCATTGCAAATTAAATCATGTGAATCATTCTGGAAAAGAAATAAATTAAATATGGTCAGAAAAAGCGCCTATGATTTTCCTCTAAACAAGGATGAGTAGGAGACACAACAAAATTAAGATGGGCAAGAGCAATTACTCCAAATTCAAGGTTGCTTTTCTGAAAACCATCCAAGCTAGACATCTCTTTTGCAGTATTCTCTTGTAGTGATGCATCAACTGAGCATGAATTGTCCTGTGCACATTTATGATCCATACCACAACTCCCAGCCTCTAATGGCTTGCTTCTACTGTCCTCCAGTGAAGAATTCAATTCTTGGGCAATTTCATGTGCTTCTTCAGTTGAAAACAGAAACCATCAACAACACTTACAAGTAATGATACACTTTTCGCAAGAATGACTTGTACCTTCGGCATCTAAATCAATTGGATCACTGCTAATATCCTTATGCAGGCTCTTGGGGCCTTGTGCAACTGCATATTACCAACAATGGAAAGCAAAATGATAGTAAAACTGATAATACTTTACAAAGTATATAAGTTGTGACAACAAGGGGAAGCAACACAGAATGCCATTAAAAAGCAGAACACAGCAATGATAAACAAGCAAAGGGAACAAAAAATATTTACATTCTAGTTGCAAAAACAAGGGGAAGAAACACAAAATGAAACTAAGCGTGTGTGCTTAGATTAGTGTTTGCAAAACTGTCTTTACACAAACTGAAGTTTGGGTAAAACTGTAAAAGTAAGTCAATTTAACATGATTTATGTTTAAATACTTAAAAAAAAAAGGTCAGGCAAATTGAAAACTTTTTTGCATGATATAAATCAAAAGCATACTTAGATTGTGTACTGGCTGAAAAAGAAATGGGTTTTATGATATATGTATATAAAATTTGATCTCTTTTAATTAATAATAAGTGATAAAATGAAAAATCAAATAAAAAATTGAACCAATGAAAAAATATTGAAAATATTATTTAAAAATATCAGAAACTGATGGTATTTTATGTGTTTGACAACGAGGCAATACTGGCTCTTGAATGTGCTTTGCAAACATTGAATGCAAATTGTTAATGCTTTTTGATACAACCCACTTGAATTTCCTTACAATAGACTTATGTATTCATATGATGTATATAAAAAATGTGAAGAAAAAATACATGTATCCTTTTTTTGCTACTTAGTGTGAATAATTTTGTTCACCAATAGAAGCACTAGAGACAATGGTAATGTTGCTTGACACAATGGCTTTCTAGTCCTTGAAGTCCATGGTTTGGGTGAACATAACAACATAATGCATCCTAAGTGCTATCCTCCCTTCCTCTATACGGCAGCAGGTCTTGGGACCATACACGTTTAGCAGTAGCTGGGGATATAAAGTAGCTAGATTAGCTGTCCCCTAATCAAGCGTATTTCTAAAATTTGTGACACACAGGATATTATTTTCATAATTCTTACAAAATCATGAAAAGTTACAGTATGCAACAACATAAACACAATACCTGTATGTTTTATCAAATGAAAATGTTGATATTAAGTGCCAATGTCATTCTTGCGGCAAGGTAAATAATTAATGGCAGAACTGAATTGGTGAATTTAATTCAACCAACTTGATGCATGCAGTTACCCAGTAATATGAACTGCAAATCTGACATCCTACATTTTATGCTTAGGCATGATTAGAATTCAAATGAGGTTCAGTAGTCAGCCCTAGTTGGGTTAAGATATGAATCAAGCATAATTATTACAATAATCGGAAGCATCCCCAAAGGAGAAACAAGACAGGAGAGGAATTTCAATACAGCTTTATTGTTTCAAAGCTTAAAAGCCAAACCCAGAAAATTGCACAACAGAGAAATGGAAAATTGAGCACAAATAAAGAAAACTAATGAATCAAATGCAGAGAAGGAAACAGTGACCAGGGAAGGACACACAGAGATCAAAGCACAAAGACCATTGCAAGCACAGTGCAATCAGAAACGCCGAGCAGGGAAGGAGACAGATGAAGAAGTCACAGATCCAGCAATCAATCAACAAGTACAACAGACAGCAACAATTTATTTTAAGACAGAATAAAATGGAAGATAAAGGCAGATAATAAATGCACAGATTCAGCGACCAATCAGCAACCAGAAATGCCCAGCAGAGAAGAAAACAGACAAGAAGGTAGAAAATAGAGCGTTAGATTGGGAATTAGGGTTAATTAGGTAATTGTAGGGAGAGGGTAGTATGGGAATTTAGTAAATATCTCTATAAATAGGGTCAGCAGATATGTATTCACTATCTTGGTGAAAAATCATCTTAGTTTTCCTTTATCTTCTATTTTCGATGTGTCACAGAGGGAGTCTGGAAAACCAATCAGAGAAGAAAGCAGATAGATAGCAAAAAGAGATGAAGGTAAAGGGTTGAAATTTTTAAAACACACATTAAATGCAAAAGAACACATTTTTTAACACAAAGTAACGCAGAAGCAGGTCTCAATAGCTTCTACTCAAATGCTGGTTTAAGGGAGAATGCTGTTTACTAAAGATGGTATCATGTTTGGTTTCAAATTGTTTCAATACTGGTTTTTAGTTTTGAAATGACGTTTCAGGCTCCTAAACATTGATCCAAACATAGCTTAAAAGCAAAAGCAAGGCACAAAGAAATGATAGGCAAACAAAGGGAATAATAAATATTTACATTCCATTTTAGCCTCATTAAAAATTGCTTTCATCCCATTTCTGGCTTCTTTAACCATTGCCACATTTCTTTAGTGGCATAATATTCAGTCCAAGTTTTAGTGTTTGGGAAACAGTTTTGGTATCCCAAAACTTCTGTTTCCTATGCCTCAAAAAATCCATTCCCAAGATTGTTGGATTTTGGGAAACTGAAACTTTTTCCCCAAGGTGCTGCTAAATATGAAAAAAAAGCATACGGAATGAAGTACTAGCGCATTGGGTACTTTCGAGAGAGCAGATTAGTCAGACTCATAGTCACAGGTGCAGTGCCTCAAGCAATTAGTATACACATGTAATATACATGTTCCCATATTTGGCTCTACATCTCAGTTTCTTTCTTTAACTTCGATGTTTTCCATCACCAATTAATTATCAAAAACACATCCATGTTTCTATTTACAATAAATTACCCCTTCTAGAACTTCCTATAAAACCCTAACTAACACATCCAATCATCAGAATACACAATAAGCTGAATTGGTAAATAATAATATTTAGAAATTTTAAGGTATAGTTTTGGGGTGGAAAATGTTAAAGGATTACAAACTACAAGAACATTGTTCCATCTAATAACATTAATCTTATTATGTGATTAATATTAGTTTAATTATCCTAAAAATTGTTGGTTAAAAAATTATCCTAAAACTTGCAACACAAGAATGGGGAAATAATTAAACCTACAAAATCGCCGATTAAAATTTACTAGACCAAATAAAGTAGTAAACCCCTCTACAGAAGGTGTCAGCATCAGAATTCAATACATGATACACAAGGCTATGAGGTGAAGACGCCAAAAAGATAGTTTTGGTAAAAGAACTTTCCTTCTGAATTTAACTAGCCCTCGTAATTAGTGGATGTTAAAATTTCAAATCGAGCTTCGTTAGTTTTCTCAGCATGTAATCAGCCACAAGAATAATTTCACATTGGTCGCTGGACCACTTTGTAACAAACAAATTAAAGTTGACTAAATTATCAGCTGATCGAGAATCAGCATTGTATCCAATTTTTTTTTTTTAATTTCACCCCACTTCTGCGTTTACTCCGTAACACATTTGCAAACTAACATTTCCGCAAGAGTCCAGGTAAATTGAAAGCCAAATTGCAATATTTAGCTAAGGTGACTTTCAGTTTTCAAAAGACTCCTCCCTCCCCCACTCCATGCCCCAATTTCCCACTTCCCACATGATCAGAGTATGCAAAACTCAGACAAACCCAACATAAAAGTGATCAAACCATTTTCCAGCAAAAATCATTAAACAGGAGAAGAATGTAAAAATTAAAAGATACTTACAAACTTGAAGGAACGTATACTTGGTAATGGGGGAACCGCGATTCTTCTTAGGGTTCGCGAACTTGCCCAAAATACGCTCGGACGCCATCTCGATACACGCATCCTCTTCGTTAAATTCGAAAACATGGAATTTCTCTGTTGAGGATGCTGCAGCAGCAGAAGCAGAAGCAGAAGACGAGGATCTTCTGGGCGGGGTCATGGAGCGAGTCCGAGTGAGTGAGAAACTTGACCGAATTCACAAGAAAAAACGTGCCGTTTGGCGTTGGGGATTGTTTTATTTTCGTTCTCGATGTTTTAGAACGACATTACTGATTTGGCTCATCGAGACTCGGCGACGAAACTTGAAGTCATGGATTCGTTCACATCGACCCGGGACCGGGACAAGGGTCCGGCTCCTTCTCTCGCATTCTTCATTTTGCTTCTCCCGTAAGCCTTGTATTTAAGATGGAAGACGCGCGCTCTTTCTTGGCGTTGTTAAATGTACGTAAAACTAATTGAAGTTTTATTGTGTGACATTTTCAATTTTATCACTCATTTTACAAAAAAGTTAATTTTTTAAGATATTATAAAAAAATAAGATGTAATTTTATTTTTAATTTTAATTTTAAATACAACTGTATTTAATCTTTCATATTAATTAAGAAAGAATAAAATTAAAAAATAATTTAATTATTATAAGATATCTTACATTTTGAACTAAAAATTACTTTTAAAATGTGTTTTTTAAATAAGATCAAAAAATATTTATTAAAAAAATAGTTTTATGAAGAGGCTGCTCTGTCATTAAAAAAAATAAAAAAATAATCATTATTTGTCTTAGTAGTAGCATCACCTTTCTTGTTCTAAAGAGACTTTAATGTTGACATATTTATTAACATTGACATGTTTATTTGTATACATAGATGTGTGAGTTTTTCTTTATTATAGAAAAAAGGTTAAGTTAAAAGTAAAATTATCCAAAAGAAAGAAAAGAAAATGCAGCTTGATGATTTTTCTATTATTAGATAGATTGAGATCTTGTATATAACAATTACAAAATAGTCAAAAATTACTTTCCAATACGTTTTTATTTTTATTAAAAAAAAAGTGTGTGTGTGTGTAACGGGGGAGTTTTAACCTTTTGAAACATTGCCTTGTGTGACATATCGGACAATGGATAAAAGACAATTTAATGAATAAATGCCACGTTTAATACGATGGAATGGTTTTTATAAAATGAAAATAGGAATGAAAATAAGGATAAAAATAGTTTTAAAAAATATGTTTGATACGGTTGAATTTTTCAATGGAATCATACATTTACGTTTGTTTGGTGTGCAAGTTTTAGTCAAGAAAAGTAATACTTTATTTTTAAAAGAGTAATTGCATTTTTTTTTCAGATGAATGGACAGAGTTTTTTGGCCAAAAATGGACAAGGGGTTAAATAAAACATCAATATGTACAACGAAATGATGAATAAAGGATTTTAAGATGATCTTCCACTACCATAAATAAAAGTGATTTCCAAAAATTTCTCTCTCTTTTAAAAAATATAAAATATTTTAATTAAATTCCACCCCTAATAAAAAAATTACTTATCTCCAAACTAATATCATGTTTACATATTTATCCTTATTTAATAAAATTTCACTTCACAATAAATATAAAGTGATTTACTTATCATGGGCTTTTTAAAAAAAATATAAATTAATTATATCTCAAAACACTAAAAAAGTTTTACATTTTTTAACATTTAATTTATTAAAAAATGCTTTATATTTTTAAACAAAGGGATTAACAAGTTTTTAACTTTATCCCTATTAAATATACTTACTTTAAAAACAAAATATACTATAATATTTAATAATCTTCTCAATATTTAATAAGGGCAAAATGATAAAGATAAATATAATAATTATCAAGGTGCCTTATAAATAGGACTGTAATAAATTCTCTCTCTATTCCTACATGTAAGACTAGAAAAGTATATCTCATCAATTTCATTCTTCAGCAGCAATAGTTGCAGCAAGGGCCTGAAACCCACAATAAGGGTGAATGTACAATCAAGAGACGTTGATGCCTTTAAGGGCTAATTAAAGCAAAATTCATGTTTTTGCCATTTAATTTGATATTCTAATATAGAACATTATATTATAATCATAACAAAGCATGAAAAAATAACCATACCATAATGCTTTATTCGTGTGTCATGTTTTCTGGAAGAGAATTATAGAACGTTACATACAAGCAATTATTCATATACTTACCACAGAAGGTCACTAATACAGTTTACTTTGGGAGGTCAATGATTGCAATAGTTTGTCGTCATTAAGATCAAGTGGAAGACAGAGTGAGTGATCATATATAACTTTTTAATTGAATATGAATTTCACCACAGGTGACGAGAAAGAAAATAGTTTAATAATTTTAGAGTGTAAGAAGTTGTTTGGTTTTTTTTTTTAATGAAAAAAATTGACTTTTTAAAAAGCATTGAATGTGAATTTTGAAATGTGCCCTCTAAAATCTTTTCAAAAGCACATCCATAACATTTTGACCTTGATAATTTTGCCTTTGCCTTTTACTTCCACATCAAGTCATTTTTGTATTTTCCTTTCTTTTCTCTCTCAATTCAATGAATGCTTCATGATTTCCTTTCTTTGTTTTATTAGAATTAATAAAATTAATTAAATAGGTTATTAATAATTACTATGTTAATTAATATTCTTATTATTTAATCTAAGATGCCAAATTTTATATTATTTAAAAAAATATCACATTTTTTAAGCATTTATAATATATTATATTTGTATAAAAAAATTATAAATCATAATAAATCAATATTCTTTTAATAATTGTATATTTAAAAGTACATTTCATTATATATAATAATTCAAACAACTTTTAGTTTATTAAATTAACTTCTAAAAAAATGTATTCAAACACAAATTTCATTATAACAATTGAATATTACTAAACTAATTTTTGTCAAATAAATTTTTGATAAAATAACTTCTAGTAGTCAATGAAAAATTAAACAAGCATGAAGTGATGGGAACTTAAATTGCATGCTCACATTGTATACATTATCTAAGTGTTATATAACTCTAGTGATATATTAATATGTGTGATTGTCTTTGTTACAAAAAAAAAATGAATTTTCAAAAATTACGAGAGAAAGGGTGTGGTAGTCTAATGCTTTCATTGTATATCAAGAGGTAAAACTGCCTTCCTTTCATCAAACCATCCTTAATCCTTATGTTACTATTTATTGCATTCTTGAGGTATTGAAATTTGAGTACTACCATCATTTATGTTTTGAGTAATAAGCATTATTTCTTAAAATTTGAGATCCAACTCAAGTATGATTTAAAATTAAAATACATGGACCAAAAGTATTATAGAAAAAATGATGAAGAGGTCTCAAAGAAATTAATTAATTCAAATTAGGTTACAAAATGCCAAACTCTAATATTTTACAAGTTCGACTCTCAATTTTATAATTTCATTGCAATAAATTTGAAACTTGTGTTCTAAATTTTAATGAGGAAAATAAATTTATTTATTCTTTAATCATATTAAAATTTGAAGAATAAGTTACAAATTTATCATAATAAAATTATTTGTTAATCTACATAGCTTTTTGAGATAAGTTGAGAAAAAGTGAGAAAACTAAGCTATTTTTGTTGGAATGTTTATATAGATTTATATTAATTAATAAGCCTAAACAGATTGGTTTTTATGATCTTATGTGGATCGTGATAAGTTGATCACACAAGTGAGACCAATGGGCAGAGGCTAACCCACAACCAATTAGCCGTTAGTTATTTCCTATCTCTTAACTGACTGAGTCAGAAATAGTAAAATATAATTATTTAATTATTTAATAAAGTATTTACTGATCTAATCTTTATAAGGATCAGTTGATAACCACAAACACACGATATATTTTCTTTTGCTCCATTATCTCTGCACTTTCTTAAAAACTTTGGGGACTAGTAGGTTGTGTATCAGTCTACACTCGAGATAATCGAGCTTTCTCAAGCAATCAATGGATTCTTCAAGTACGTATATATTACTTTATCTAATTATATATGAATTGAGATATTAGATCTAATAATTTTTATAGAGAAATTTTTAAAGACAAAAGTAACCCTTTTCAACCCCATCGGACATCCATTTATCTCATACAAGTTGTGATAGAGTCTTCGTCTTTATTCCCTCCTCTTCTCTTTTAACGTGCTTCAATCTGCCTCATCTCACCCACTCTTTTCTCAAGGTTGATTTTCATATATTTGCTGCCGACTCTGTTTTCTTTTTTCTTTGGTTGTGTTCTCTTTTTTTTGAAGGTTAGAAAAATGCAGAACTGTCATATTAATTTCATTTGTAATTTCCCCCCTCTCCTTCCTTTGCCCATTAAAGGTTTTCTTGTATCCATTGGCTTTTATTGATATATCAGATTGCGCCCCCAGTGGCTTGCGTGTGTGGAGAAATTTTCTCAACAACAATGTCACCTGTTCAAGACACAGCATCTAATAAAGAGAGAGCAAGAGATATCACTTGAGAAAGGAAAGCTTTCATTGAGATATATATATATATATATATGAGATTTAAGGTAGAGACTAGAGAGTGCAGGATAAAGCAGTAGATGCTTTGAGGATGTTTTACTCAATAACATAGTACTCTTTTCTTTTTCTTCATAGTTTAAGAATGTTTTAATCATAGTAGAGTAATTCCTTACTCTAACACACCTAAAGTATGAATTCAAGATTAAAGAAATCATTATGTGAATGTGTTAAAAAATGATTTTTTTCTATTATTGTAACTAAACACTGAATATTTTCTGATTTTTTTCAAAATTTCTCCAAAATAAATCATCTTTTTATACAAATTTTAAACTATCTAAAAATTGCTTATTTTTTAATTTTAAATAAACAAACCCAATATCTAACCAACTATTATCTAAATTTTTGCTTCTCAACGTTGTTGTCCATTGAGCGTAACGCATTAAAGAAATTTTCTCTCGATATAAGTTAATCACAATTTTAAGATGCTTCTATATTACCATATTCAAAAGATTCAATATCATGATAGTATTACAATCTATCAATTATAAATTTATCACAACCTTCAGCAACATCCTCTTTGAACAAGTATACCCAACTTAAAAAATCCCTACTCTCATAATTTAACACATACCTTTATTCTTTGCATCAAGTCGTTGGGCAGCTGATCTAAGTAATTATCATCACTATGGAGTGCCAAGGGCATGACCAATGAAATCAATTGTATCATCTTCTAACCCATATTTCCTACAAATTATGGAGAAATAATGAAAAACATAAAGTCAATCTCAAGATAACATTAATATTTTGTCTTTGTTAATACAGTGTCATTATATAGGAAAATGTCTTAGTTGATAAAACAAGCAATTGTTTCCCAAATCTGAAGTCATCAATTTCATTTTGTTGACAAAATCTCATCGTGCTTGCAAATACATTGACAGATAAAAAATTTGTATATATTAATTTGACATGCATAGTACAACTACTAAGCTTCTTAATTGAAAGGGAAGCAAAAACAAGAAGAATAATCTTTGCTGATATGTAACTCCTTGTCTCAAATTCAGCTGTTTTGCTGTGACTTGGTTCAAATCTAGCCCTTCATCATGAGATTTTGGGTCATTAATTTTCGTCATAGACTTGGACATTACTGAAGAATTTTGAGCTCGATGCTTCTCAAACAGTCCCATTAATATTTATTACAGTGAGTCAACATCAGTCTCTTATTATGCACAAAGCTGCCATCTTGACAGCTTTAAAGTTCAAATACTTAGAAACATCTGTGTGAATCAAAACTCGAACCAAAGCTCCATTTGCCAGATAATGAACTAAGCAAAGCATATGCAAAGTTGGCATTTAGAAAAATGAATTGGAAATAGAGAAGACAAATCTTCAAATTAAACATACTAAAACACAGTCCATATGATGAACAACTAAGAAAATAGGAGGAAATATCATTTAATGCATTGAAGAGAGCTAAAGCAAATTGCAGTGTCTCCTAGCATTAAATCTACTTTCTTTTTCACTGGAGCAGTGTTAGTAGTGTTTGTTGTAGGACCTCCATAAGCATGAAGAAGCAGAAGCGTTGGGTGTAAAATAATGGGTTTGTTGGAAATAAAATCCAACATATGGAGCCACACATGTGTGTATAAAAAATGTGTGGCCATTGTTTAATTAAATCTAAATAAAGTGAACTATTTAAGTTAAAGTTTTAAGATTTAGGGGTATAATTGTGATGGGATAAATGTGTAGAGACTAAGGTGACATTTATGTATCACTTTGATCTCTACACATTTATCCCATCATAAACAAACCTATTAACCCAATAAATAGGGTTGTAATCATTGATTTGGTCGGTCACAAGGAATGTTTTCCTATCCCCCTTCTTGAAAATATACAGAGTTTCCACTGATGGAAACACACCCTTTCAATCGTATAATTGATAGGAAATTAGAGATGTTTCATAGTTCATTTGGTTTCAATTTTCGTAAACTAGATATTTGTGATTCGTTAGAGTAGTTGGTTGCAAAATTGAATTTAGTTAGTATCACTCACTCAATAAGTATCTCAATTATAACCATTGAATTCTATCAATACTTACAAATTATTAAGATATATTTTCTTTCAAAAATTCAAGACAATTCTCACAACTAAAAAATCTTTACTTGTGTTGTTCCCTTCAAAAATATAAGATTTAATAATTTTTAAGTATTATATGACCAAGGAAAAACTTTTACACACACAAAGAAGTGTTTTTTTTTTTTACCAGCAAGAAACTTCATTAAGGAAGATCAGCATAGACATGTGTGTATATATATATATATATATAAATTATTTATTTTCATTTAAATCAAAACATGTGTATTTTTATAGATTATTTATTTTACAATAACTTTTTATTATTAATATTATTAACATGATATATATAGATAAGTCTACATGTCTTGATTTAATTAAATAAAAGTATATTAAGTATATAACATTTAATGCATAAGGCTTATACTTAAATCACTCATTAAATCCAAATTCTTGATTGAATATGATATATATAATTTTGTTTCTAATGGTCAATGATGCTTCGTGGTGGTCAAATTTAAGATGATGTAATAAAAGATATTTTTTTTACCACCTGGATGATGTAATAAAAGATTAGATCGGTAATGATTATATACAAAGAAAAATTAAAATGTCACTAATTAGTATTGGTTATGGTAAAAGAAAATACTCCTTTTATTTAAAAATGTGAGATATTTTTTGAGGAGTTGAATATTAAAAAATGTAAGGCATATTTTTAGGCTTTTGAGGTGTAATTATTACCCTTTTTTCAAAAGTATCCCTATTGATAAATGACTTTATATTTATTGTAGGGTATTTTATAGGGGTAAATATGAAAAGATAGAGTTATTTAAAAAGTAGGTAATTACTTTATTAGGGGTGAGATTCAATTAAAAATATCTTATATTTTTTAACGGAGGGAGTACTGTTCCCTCTTTATCAAATTACAAGATATTAAATTAATACGCAATTTAAATTTTAAATTATAGATTCAAGGGCGATTTGAACATTAAACTTTTAAAATTTACATTCTAAATCCTAAATAATTAAAGCTAGGACAATTTTACCCCATCATTAAATTTAATTAAATGTTCATAAGCTTTTTAGAATTTTTGGTCTAATATGTGATTTTGACCAAATTTCAGTGTCCCCCTCTCTCTTCCCCTTATTTGAGAAAAACTGCATATTAGACCCTAATTTTTAAAAAACTTATAGATATTTATTAAAATTTAATGGTGAGGTAAAATTATTTTAACTTTAATTATTCAAGATTCAGAATGTACTTTTTAAAAGTTTAGGGTTTAAATTGTCCCTAAAATATTTTTGAAAGAGATTCGATATCCTAAAATATAAAACATTTTGAAAAAAATTAAGGTTTCATTAAATAAACTTATTTTAATATTACCTTTTTCTCTCTATTTAATTGATGTCCCTATCTCTTTTCAATATATTTAATGAAGGATATTTTTAAAAGTTTATAGTTTTATTTTAAAAAAATATTGTTATATGTATTTAATGAGGTTTATCCAAAAAAAATGATATATGAAATTTTATCCAAAAATATTTTATAATTTAAAATGAAGATAGTATCATTTAAATATGTGATCTCAAATTTGGTTTTTGATTTCTTACACTGTATTTTATTCTCTTATTTTTTAAAATTTCATAATCTATTCTTTTTACATAAAAAAATTATGTTTTTTTTCATTAATTTACATAACTTTTGTCAATATTATTTTACCAATGTTAACAAAATTTAACAATATTACTTACCTTTTAAACATTAAAATCTAAATTGTTGACCAAAGTAAATTTAAAGAATTAAGGTTAAAATATAATTTTAGTCCTCTAACTTTACATAAAGTGTCAATTTGATCCTTTAATTTTATAAAGTATCTTTTTAATCCTTTAACTCAAATATCATTAGTTTCAAATTGTTATTTTGAAAAAAAAAATTAAACTCAATATGTCAACATTTAAGAATATTTTATCAATATTTAAAAATTTAATATAAAAATTTGTTGGGATAAAACTATTATTGTTAGGTTTAAAGAACTAAAAAGATACTATCTTCGTCTCAAATTATAGGGTACTTTTGAAAGAGTTTATCCACCCCAAAATGTAAAACACTTTGGATAAATTAAGGTTTTATTAAATGTGCTAATTTTAATATTATCCTTTTTCTCTCTATAATTAATTTTCATCCTTTTTCTTTTCAATATATTAAATAATGGATATTTTTAAAATTTTATATTTTTATTTTGAAAAGATAAGGTTGTTAATTAAATTTAATGAGGTTTATTAATATGTAAAATTTTATGTAAAAGTGTCTTATTATTTGAGATGAAAGGAGTACTTTATAAAGTTAAAAAACTAAAATAAAATATTGTATAAAGTTAAAGGACTAGATGTACACTTTAATCAAGAATTAAATTGATAATTGATTAAATTTGAGGGACAAAATTGATAATTGAGATAAATTTAAGAAATTAAAAGTTGTTTTCCATATTATTATTATTATATGAAAATATTTTTTCTTAACTACCTCAATTTTAGTAAGTATATTAATCATGAGAAATAAAGAATGAAAAAACTATAATATTAATAAAAGTAATCATTATATTATAGAAATCTATTCTCCAAGTAAATCCTTATGAACAGTAACTCAAGGTAATATTGGCATTTTAAAGACATGTAAAATATAGCTCCTTCACGTGTCTTGAAGAATATGAAGGAGGTTAGGGGCTTTTTTGGTTTTTCGTAGTTCAATGCCAGAGGACAAAAAGTTATTTCATATTCCTTAGAAAGGTGCCCTTTATCTGATGGTTACTCATAATTACCCCTTGGACAAAGGAAGAATCATTATTAAAGCTGTTTCCTATCTCTTTGACCAAGTGACCATGCTTTTGCTTCCTTCCTCCAGAAAAAAAAATTATAAGTATCGATTTCTAAGACTGGTGATAATTAAAGCTGTCAACATCACTTATTCAACCGAAGCAAAATATCCCTTTCTCTCAAAAACCCTATCGAGATGGAATGGACTCTACTGTCTGTGCCTCACATCACCGTTCACTCATATTCTTTGGAAATAGCTCCTGGTAAATTTTTCACTTTCCTTCCATGCTAGCACGCCATTCTCTTCAAACCCACCAGTTACTACTCCAAATCATTCATCTTAGAAGCCAGTCTGTCTACTCCTCCTGGATCTTTACCTCTGTTTGCCCATATCATCTCCATTGTCAGATTTTTCAACCATCTCTATAGTTTTCTGATTCCACCTCAATATGGCTTCATCTAATCATATGGATTCGGACGCACACCATTATGATATGCTCAATAGTCTTGATCTCACCAAGATCAGTCGCCGTATACTTGTGAAGGTAGACCATATTTATCCTTGTGTTGGTGACAAAGTTTATGAGCTTGATCTCGGTTACCCTAAGCATGCACGGTCCATTAACCTTATGGTATTTGATGCTCAGGTATTTTTACTTTAACCATTTATATTTTCATTCTCATAGATCTATTATACATTTAACTTTTCTTTCTTTCCTTAAAATATCTTAAGGGTACTCGAATGGAAGTGTTGATTAAGGGCCCTGAGATCCTGGCTCGGTTTAGGAACCGATTTAAAGTTGATAAAACTTATGACATCACAAACCTAGAAGTGAACCGTGGAGGTCAACCTGTTCATAGGAAGTATCACATTTCATTGTTGCTGTGTTCTGAAATATGTGAACATTCCTCTAATTTCCTTGGCCATAACTTCAAGCTCTGTTTAGTTTATGACCTCAAGGCAAGTAATTTCCCTTCTTCCCATCTAATCGGTGAGTAATTTTTCATTCATGTTATGTTAGTATGTTTTATGTCATATAGTCATTAGTGGTCACATCAGACTAATTAATTTCTCTTGTAGATGTTGCTGGTCTTTGTGTGCATGTTGGAGACCTTAAATGGGAGAACGTCGAAATTCATGATGGCCTATTGACAAGGAAGCTGTGGATAGTTCTACAAGATATACAGTGAGATATATATTAGTTAGAATTAATATTTAATTTTTATTGTCGCCTAACATATTAAGAATTAAGAAATTATTAATATAAGTATTCATAGCTTCATTATCATCATTAGTGAGGACTTGTCTAGAACGTTCACTATCTAAAGCAAGTCTTGGGACATTAATGAACCTTATATGATATAAAGCATGCCATGTTTTGCTTCATAGTTGATTTTTCTTTAATATAGGCTTTTTTTTATCGACGTTATCATGTCTTTTTCAATGAAGTTTATTACTTTGGCTTAAGTCTTGCACCCTCTATGATTTCTTTTGCAAAAATTAATTGATAATCATAATTTTTCTTATTCATTTATTTACCACAATAAATTTCACAAACAATAATTGTATTTTATGCTTAATGATTTTATTCCACCTTATGCTTGAGATAGGCGGGACATGATTCCTTGTGTCTTACAAAGAGATTATGTAGTGGATGCATGGACAACATACCAAGCATGCAAAGATCATAAGAGCCTACTTTATGTAGTCATTCGATATGCTATTTTGTTTAGAGGCCTCGGTAATATGATTATCCTCTTATATCCCTTTGATTGCATAAAGTTCTGTTACATTATTTGCCTATGTTTGTCATAATGACTGTTTTTATTCTTTTGCAGGAAGCAATTGTTTGGAGGAGTTCAAGAATGCTACCAAAGTCTATTGGTATATCGACCCTCTACACCCTGACCTTGCCGGCAGTGACTTAGCTATGTGAAGAGAATTTTATCTTTAGTCAAGACTTGTGAAGGTTATTGTTAGAGTTTACTTCTTTTATGTTTTTCATCTTTTATTTTTTTATTATCTGGGTGTTTCATATGGTTTAGACCAACATAGTGTCTCCAATAAGCATTGTAATATTATTACATGGTATAGGCCATGTTATATATTAAGAGTAGATAATCAGTACTTTAGCCAATGGCTTGACTATTACCAATTCACTATTTCAGATTTATACAGTTGCTTATTGGTTCTACATACATCTAATAAGTTTGCTGCACATTTATCTATAATTATAATTTGCATCAGATTTATTTTGTAAACAATTTTCAAAGAGGATTGATTTATTTGTGCAGCCATCCTAATTAGTATAATGTTATCACTGATGATATGGCAGTGTTACACATTGTATTAGTCATCATGTGTTTGTCTAGGATATTAATTTAATTAACTCTACAAGCTTATGATTTAGGTTATTTTGGCTATAAAATGGGTACCACATAAAAAAAGTAAATAGTACAACTTCTTCAATTTATGAATAAACACTTGATATGATTGGTCATGACAAATGTTGTAATCCTTTTTGCATGTGCATATGCATTTAAAATTTAGCTGTTTTGTATCATATGGTATACATTCTTGCATCATATATCACTTAACCATCCTTATCGTGTTTGAGTTTTATTTATATGGATTACCTTGGCCAGTAATATAATAATAGGTCCTATTTACTACCTAAGACTATGTTTGCTACAGAATGGTTACCAATTCACATAGAGCCAATGGTATAACTTCCTCAATATATGAATAAACACTTTATATGATAGGTTACAACAAATGTTGTAATCCCTTTTGCAAGAGCATATGCATTTAAATTTCAACTGTGAATTGTAACATCCCAAAAATTAACCTAAGATTAATTAAATTAATTTAGAGCAAATGAGTAATTTTGGAGAAATATTTAGAGATAAATAATTTTAGTTAGAAGATTATTATTGGATTTAATTTAGATAAAATCTAAAGTTATAACTTTTTTTAAAAAATAGAGATAATAATAATATTATTAAAAAAAAGAAGAAAGGAGGAAGAAGGAAAAGGAATACTACATTTAAAAAAAAGGGAAATAACAATTGCGGGCGCGTGTGTGTGAGTTTGACATTATATATATAATAAAAGAGAGAGAGAGAGAGACAAACCGTTTTTCCCACCCACTTTCTTTTATTTCTTTCCCTCCACATGTGCGTGTAAGGTATAAAAAAATAATAAATAAATATGAAAAGAAAGAAAGAATATTAAATAAATTAAAAAAAATGAGAAAAGGGAGGCGGACGTTCACATGTGTGCATTGAAGAAAGCAAAAGAAAGAGAGTAAAGGCCATGGGACCCACGCTTGTTTTAAAAAAACACTTTGCCTTATTTCATCTATTTCTCTTCCTTCTTTCTTCATCTGCGTCTGGTGCGAACAGAGAGCGAGCGAGAGAACACGAGCGACGCTGCGGTGGTAGGAGCTGATTTAGAAGGTGATACTTCATAATGGAATACTTCAGATGAGATTTTAAGTATTCTAAGACTAGGTAAGTATTCTAAATATTTTTTCTTAGTCGTTTTTTCCTTTGAGCTGCAGATTCTGAAATTTTAAAAAAAATCTAAGGTTTGAAAGAGGGATGAATTTTTGATGAGAAAATCTAGTTGTTGAGATTGTTGGTAATGTAATAAATATTCTAAAATATTATTTTGTTGATAGAATTGGAATTTGAGGCATTTGAGTTTATTTCTAGATCCTATGGGTAGATTTTTGGTTAAATTCAAAAATATAAATTAATTTGTTGATATTTAGATGATTATTTGAGATGAAAAATAAATTATTATGGCTAGAGCTGGAAATTTGGGTGGGCCGGGCTTATTCAGGCTCAGCCCGAATAGGCCCGGCTTGAATAAGCCCGAACTCGAACAGGTCCGACTCCTCGAAAAGCCCGAATAATCAAGCCCGGCTCAAATTCCTTCGGGCTTCGAGCGGCCCGAATACCTGAATTTAATTTTTAAAATTATTTTTAATTATTATTTTTACTTTGAAATTAATTATTTTATTTTATAAAAAATATGAAATATATTTTTTTAATATTTAAATGATGTCTAGGACTCAAATATATGATATTTTAGTATAAATAATCTAAAACTTAAAGAATTAATTAATATTTATTATATTATATATATTTTTTAAAAATATAATTTTTTTATTCGGGTATTCGGGCCAAGCCCGAACCCGATCGGGCTTGGCCCGAATTTTTTTGAGCCTATTCGGGTCGGCCCGAATAGGCCCGAACATAAAAAATACCTTTTTTTAAACCCGGTCTTAAAATTTTTCGGGCCAATTCGGGCTAACCTGCTAGGCTTGACCCGAATTACTGACTCTAATTATGGCTATAGAATAATGATTCTAGGCTTGAAATCAAGTTTGTAATTTTGGATATTTTATATGCGAATTTTTGGAATAAAAATAGAGATTTTGATTTTTGAAAATTATGTGAATGATGTTTTTAGCCAAACTTTAATGAAATTATTGTGAGGGAGACTATTTAACCAAGTGGATAGGTTCAAATACATGAAATTAAATTTTAGAATTCAAGAGACTAAGACTAAGTTCTTAAAAAATAAAATAAAATAAATACTTAGGTGTTAGAATATGAGTGAAAATTGTGTTAATAATATGATTGACACATTGGGATATGATTAATTGTAGATTAATTTCCTTTAACACTATTCAAGCTTTGGAAGTATTGTAACTTGAGGGGTAACCTTTGACCTCTCAAAGGTTGAGGTAATCGGGGGAAAATCTATTTTATGCATTTGTATGTTAATTAATTAATTATGTTAGTGAAACAAAAGAATATATATATATATATAAATTTGAAATAGTTGTTTGTAATGCATGCGACTTTGTTGAGACCTTATAATTTGTGACCAAGTTAATTGTGACTTGGTATAAGTAATGGGATTGATGTTAATGATGATGTGCACAATCTTGACTATAAATTATGAATTATATATGAGTTTTTTTTTTGAAATGTATATTATTATTATCATACCATTTGAGTGATTGATGGCTATGTTGAGAATATGATTATAATTGTAGAAATGAGAAAATGTAGTAATTATGCGAATAATGTATATGTAGCTATTTGTGCAAATTTTATACTTGACTTTATTCTTGAAATTATTCACATGAGTTAAATGTTAATATGATTAACATGTTATTAATGTGATTGTTTGAATGGTCACCTTGATAAATTTATTGGCTACTTGCATTCATGATTAATTATCATGCATTTGTATAACTTAGATATACCTTGGTTACTGAGTGGTTGTACTCATCCCTCTCTTTTAACATATTACAGGAGCTAGCTCATCTCAGAAGAACAGAGGAAAGGAGCATTAGGTCAAGTAATAATAATCACTTCTGTAGGCCTCTCTCCTTTTATTTGATATGTGTATTTAGTTTATGATATTGCCAACTAGGATAATATATTCTTGATCCACTTGCATTATGGGTTTTGTGTTGGGGAAAATGTATTTTGGGCCCTGGGGAATGTGGTTTGATGCTTGTGCTATAATTACGGGCTAAAATATTTGTGTGAGTAAAAATAGTTATTATCATGCTTTCGCATATGTTTAATTAAATGATATGAGTTCTTAAAATATTTTAAAGACTTTGGATCCCTTTGTATTAAATAGTTTGTGAAAAATACATGTTAAGAATTCATTTAGGTTAATCTCGTAATGGATAATCCATTTGGGTTAGTGCTTGATTAACCATAGTTAGTGTGATGGTTAGTATGATGATTAAGTCCTAATTTATGATGCCCTTTACATGAATTATATCATATGGTTTACAATCTTGCATTATATATCATCTATCCCTCCTTATCATGTTTGAGTTTTATTTTTCATGAACTTAAACATCATTTCGCAGTTGTTGTCATATTTCATTCAACTACAGTAGTCATAATGTCATAATATGTTCTCTTTACTCTATCTTAGACTCTGTTGATGATTTTATCCATTACAAAATTTTTGAACTATGCATGAATCTTAAGGAATTGTTAAAATTATCATGGTTGAGTTTTATTTCAAATGGATTATAACATACTAAAATTTAATGTCCATCAGTTTGAGGCTATTATCATTTTTCATTCAATAGCCCTTAAGGACTACTAAAATATACTAATATGGATTTATAGACTAGGAATACATAAGGAGTTACAGACAAATCACTCCTCATACTCCATGACATACTATAATTAAATTACCAACTACTCCTTTAGATGAATATTACTACGTGTCATTCAGAAACATAAAGATTACATGAAATTAAAATACCACTCATAAATCATACTTATAACCCTGTATAATGGATGCCCTATTTTTATTAACCTGATACAAATCCCAACTTAGCCCCAAGCTCAGTGCTCTCTGGAAGTGCCAAAACATTTGCATTGGGTATGTCATTAACTTCATTTGTTCCTTCCTCTGTTATGTTGTTGTGATTTGTTATGTTTTGAGAATCTACTTGATATGCTAACGTGCTCTGAATTGGTTGCCATGCCACTATCACTGAAGTGGCTGTAATGTTAACCCATCCAAATACAAAACATGGCTGGCTTGATATTATTTTCATGTAAGTATCATTTTCCCAGTCTCTTATAATCATGGCCTTGTCTATTGTTCTTGGCCACCTCACCTTGAGAGTTGATGCATGGCTCCTCAATCTTGAGAAGTAGAATTTTGGTTGTCTAAATGACTCACCCCCTGCTGAATCCCATTGGTGGTTCACAAGTCCCTTTGATCTCGTAATCCTATATAAGTTATGAAAATTTAAGTAACACTTACCATACCACCTATAAGTACCGGGTCGCACATAGTCTCCTTTATATCCTGTACACGTTATTCTCCAGCTTACTTGTACCTCATCCATTACTATAATTGGGCCACAGCAGATACGTAATGTTGTAACCCTATAATTCTTCCATCCTTGAATCACTGCATATAGATTTTCCTCAGTGAAATTATAGTAGTTGATCATTATGAGCAGTATGTCTGATGTCTTTTGTGTTTTATGATTTGAAGGCTGGGACTATTTGCTTGACAAGATGGTGATGTGTTTGCTTTTGGTTTCCACATTATGTAATAGTTCAGCTGTCCCCACACATTATGCCTACTATGTCATTTATTTTAGTCCTTTGGTTAATATGAGAAATC